CCAATCACAGGGCTCCATGTTGGCCGGTGTCCGCTGTGGTCAGCAGGAAGAACGGCCCGGTGTGTGTACTGTTAGCAGGCTGATTCCTTCATATTGATCGAACTCACATTGATCAGTGACTCACCGTTTCCCGCCTCCAGCCGCTGCCTCAGAGACGGTGCTGGTTGATGTCTGCTTCCGGTGCGGCGCGAGACTCACGGAGGAGAAGCTGCCGTTAGCCGTTAGCCGTTAGCCGTTAGCCGGGGACCGTCAGAGGTGAGCGCTGTTAGCATTAGCATTAGCATCCCGCCGCTCTCACAGCGGTTCTGACCCGAAACACTCCGACAGAACCGGGTTGGCATGGTGACGGCACACCACCGGGATCCACGCGCTATAAAGCTTTATTGATTCTATCATGACAGTGTGTAGGTGTTTGATTGACACCTGATACACAATATGATCACCACCATCCTCTAGAGTCCTACTATTATTATTATTATCATTATTATATAATAATAATAATATATAATAATAATAATTATTATTAATATATATTATAATATATTATTATTATTATTATATATTATTATTATTATCATTATTATTATTATTATTATTATTATTATCATTATTATTGTTATTATATATATAATAATAATATATAATAATAATAATTATTATTAATATATATTATAATATATTATTATTATTATTATATATTATTATTATTATATATAATAATAATAATGATAATAATATATTATTATTATTATATATTATAATTATTATTATTATTATTATTATTATATTATAATATATTATTATTATTATATATTATAATATATTATTATTATTATTATTGTTATTATATTATTATTATTATTATTATTGTTAATTATTATTATTATTATTATATATTATTATATTATTATTATTATATATTATTATATATTGTTATATATTATTGTTATTATTATTATTATTGTTATATATTATTATTATTATTATATATTATTATTATTATATTATTATTATATATAATAATTATTATTATTATTATTATTATTATTATATATAATAATAATAATAATATATTATTATTATTATTATTATATATTATAATATATTATTATTATTATTATTATATATTATTATTATTATTATTATAATTATTGTTATTATATTATTATTATTATTTATATTATTATTATTACTATTATTATTATTATATATATAATAATAATAATAATAATAATTATTATTATTATTATTATTATTATTTATATTATTATTATTATTTATATTATTTTTATTATTATTATTATATATAATAATAGTAATAATAATAATAATTATTATTATTATATATTATTATTATTATTATATATTATTATTATTATATATTATTATTATATATTATTATTATTATATATTATTATTATTATTATTATTATTATATATATATTATTATTATTATTATTATAAATTATTATTCTTATATATTATTATTATTGTTGTTGTTGTTATTATTATTATTATTATTATTATTATTTTTATTATAATATATTATAACAATAATATATTATTAATATCATTATTATTATTATATATTATTATTATTATTATTATTATTATATATTATTATTGTTATTATTATTATTATATATTATTATTGTTATTATTATTATATTATTATTATTATATATAATAATATATTATTATATATATTATTATTATATATTATTATTATTATATATATTATTATTATTTATTATATATAATAATATATTATTATTATTATTATTATTATATATTATTATATATTATTATAATTATATATAATAATAATAATATATTATTATTATTATAATATATAATAATAATCATATATAATATGGGATTAATCACGTGTTTCACTTTAAATGTCCTCATTTGGCTTTTATATGCAAATATTAATAAATGTGTTTGAGATTAAATCAGGATATATTTCCCCTAACCCTAACAGTCCATTTATCAGCCATTAAAGTAATCATATTATACTGGTTTTATAGACCGGTACTGGTTTTGTAGACCGGTACTGGTTTTGTAGACCGGTACTGGTTTTGTAGACCGGTACTGGTTTTGTAGACCGGTACTGGTTTTATAGACCGGTACTGGTTTTGTAGACCGGTACTGGTTTTGTAGACCGGTACTGGTTTTGTAGACCGGTACTGGTTTTGTAGACGGGTTTAACATTAACCCATATGACTCCACACAGCTACTCAGAAGGTGCTTTCTGAAATAAATGACTTTATTACTGAAGTTAAAGACTCTTTAACCCGGTGGAGAGGGGACAGGAAGCGACGCAGGGTTTCAACCCCTCGCAGTCGCCCAGAGAGAATCCCTTTCAGACCCAACAGTCCAGACCCTGAACCCCCCAGCGTTGTGTTTCTGTCTGCCGTCCTCAGGTGGTTCTTGTATGGGTGAGTGAGCGACAGCCATGAGTGCGGAGCCGGACGCCCTGGCCGTGGTCAACCAGCTGAGGGACCTGGCCGCCGACCCCATGAACCGCAGGGCCATCGTCCAGGACCAGGGCTGCCTGCCCGGACTCATCCTGTTCCTGGACCACCCCAACCCTCAGGTGGTCTACTCTGCCCTCCTGGTGAGCTCACGTTCTGTTTCAGTGCTCCAGGTTTTGGTACGGCTGCTTGGGTCTCCGGCTGACTGTGATTGGTGGTTGTTCCCAGGCGATCCGTTACCTGGCAGAATGTCGGGCCAACCGGGAGAAGCTGAAGGGGGAGCTGGGGATGATGCTGAGCCTCCAGAACGTCGTACAGAAGTGAGCCTCATCTGATTTCCTTCTGAGAATCTGCCACCGATCAAAGTGATTCATTAAAATGAGCCCAGTAGAATACTGCCGTAGAGTCTGTTGTTCTCAAACCGCACACAGGGATTCATTCTGGGCTTCATCCCCTCCAGGTCGACCACCCCCGGAGAGACGAAGCTGCTGGCCTCTGAGATCTACGAGCTGCTGCAGGCGTCCAGCGGCGCAGAGTCCGAGCCGGCCGAGGAGGCCGTCAGCAGCCGCCGTAAAGCCCAGTTCTTCCTGGGCTCCAGCAACAAGAGAGCCAAGACCGTCATCCTCCACATCGACGGACTGGACGACTCGGTGAGCGGAGAGCTGGAAACTTGCTGTAAAGAAACATTTTAGTTCAGTGAAATCAAACTGAAAACCTACTGGAACAATACTGTGTAATGAAATGTCTTTAGTTTTAGTTTGGTCCAATGAAAGGTGTTTATGAGTGAGAGTCAGTGGTCTCCACAAGGCCTGAGGAATAAAAAGATCTCAATAGAAAAGTGTGAAGATTGAAATGAGTGAGACAAACAGTGAGTTGTGATACTCCTGTGAAACAGCAGAGGGTGCTGTAGTTTAATCCCAGAGCAGTGATCCTGTCTCAGTGAGGTTCTTTACTCCAGTTCACCAGCTGATGCTAGTTGATTGATTGATCTGCATTAAGAAGAATATTGAAACACAAACGTTGAGTTTAACACTCAGATGTAACGTAGTGTGTCCTCCTCCTGCTCAGAGTCGGAGGAGTCTGTGTGAGGAGGCTCTGCTGAAGATCAGAGGAGTGATCAGCTTCACCTTCCAGATGACCGTGAAGAGATGCATCGTCCGCATCCGATCAGACCTGAAGGCTGAGGTCAGTTCACACACAGCGCTTTATAGTGGAGCTCAGTTTGTGTCACATAGTATATAGACTGATGTATTGATCACTGATATATTGATCACTAACAGTATATAGACTGATATATTGATCACTGATATATTGATCACTAACAGTATATAGACTGATATATTGATCCTATATATTATATATATATTAATACTGATATATTGATCACTAACAGTATATAGACTGATATATTGATCACTGATATATTGATCACTAACAGTATATAGACTGATATATTGATCACTGATATATTGATCACTAACAGTATATAGACTGATATATTGATCACTAACAGTATATAGACTGATATATTGATCACTAACAGTATATAGACTGATATATTGATCACTAACAGTATATAAGTGATATATTGATCACTAACAGTATATAGACTGATATATTGATCACTGATATATTGATCACTAACAGTATATAGACTGATATATTGATCACTAACGTATATAGAGTGATATATTGATCACTAACAGTATATAGACTGATATATTGATCACTAACAGTATATAGACTGATATATTGATCACTGATATATTGATCACTAACAGTATATAGACTGATATATTGATCACTGATATATTGATCACTGATATATTGATCACTAACAGTATATAGACTGATATATTGATCACTGATATATTGATCACTAACAGTATATAGACTGATATATTGATCACTGATATATTGATCACTAATATATCCCGCCCGATGGACATTTACTTTAGCTAACCGCTAACTACTGCTAACAGACTGGGAGCTCGAGGCGGCGGCGCTCCCGGCGGTCCGAAGCTCCTGGACTAGAGGTCGACACTGCCCCGGTGCTCTGAGCTTACAGTCCGACCAGAGTCCTAATAGGACAGATAAGCTAGCTGCACTGCTAACCAGCTAACAGCTAGTAGCTAAGTGCTAACAGCAAGAAGCTAAGGCTATATCAGGAAGTTGAAGCTGAGCAGCTGGAGGACCAGAGTCAGTGAATAAAGTTATAAAGTGGAGTTGTTGTACAGTCAATAGTAATGGTAAGGCTTTATTTCCAGTACGATAATTATTCCCCTCTTTCAGGCTCTGGCGTCGGCGATCGCAGCCACTCAGGTGATGAAGGCTCAGCAGGTGGTGAAAGCAGAAAACGGAGAAGAGGTCAGTTTCAGCAGCTGTTTACAGATCAGAGAGGTTGTTCATTTAAATCAGGACTCTGCTAACTGATAATGTGACTGAAGGTTTATGAATCAGCTGTGAGCCTACACCTTCTATATAACGTTTACCTTCATCCACTCTGTCTATCATCTACAACCAGTGTCTGAACACTAGTTACGTTAGTGACCATTAACCTTTATACGGATTATGATTGTTTCCTGACATGGTTCGATCCAGCATGTATTCATGTATTTGTTGTGAGCCTTTGGGATCATTTTTTAACGAGCTGAAATAATCCTGGTTTAAGCAGGGTCAGGGTCCTCCTGAGAATGCAGCATTCTTAGCTAAACATTTATCATTTGGTTTACCTTGGAAGCAGCTTTTAAAGCCTTCAGGACATGATGTCCAGTTCACAACCGGACAACTGTTTTTATTTGTGGTGACAGATTTTCCAACTTTAACTGAGAACTGATTAAGTTTTCCTTGAGAAGGACAGCTTCAAACCTACAGTCATAATAATATATTAAACTTTATTTATACAGCAAAACAAAGGTACAAAGACTTTTACATGGTTGAATCAGGATTAATATATATAGGATGATAATAAAACATATTGGCAATATATTGGTATCAGACAGACACATACTGAGGACATGAGACACTAGTAAAAGACAGTCAGATCATTATTAATCAATGAAATCTAAAGAGGACCCGAAGTGCTACCCTGTGGGACTCCATAAGCAATAGTTCTGAAATGTCCTTTTTACATATGGATTTAAAGGGTAACTTCCATATTATTCATCCTTATTTTCCCCTGTGTTTGTGTCAAAGTGAGTAATAGGAACAACAATTTGGAGCACTTTTCCTCGAACGAGTCTTGGTTAGACACACAGCAGATCAACAGAAACTTATAACAATCTGAGCGGCTCAGTGGCAACAACAAACACTTTTAATGGACGTACTTTGACGGTGCACAATCGCCCACAAGAATCGTTTAAAGGCTGCAGGCCTTCAAAACTTGTCACCATCAGTCACTTTGACATAAAAACATGGGAAAACCCTTTAACATTATTATTATTATTTGCAACTCCAACAAAAGTTGTCCTCTCCAGGTTTTGATCCCGTTGGCGGAGGACGGTTCCACTGATGTGGAGCGCAACTTGGATCTGCCGGACTACCTGCCGGAGGATGAGAGTCCGTCTCAGGAGCCTGATAAGGCGGTGACCCGGGTGGGATCCGGCCAGGACGGGACCAGCTGGCTGGGTGCTGCCACCAACTTCCTGTCCCGCTCCTTCTACTGGTGACCTTTCTCCGCCTCCTCTCAGAACCAAAATCTACCAGCTGCCAAATGTCACCGCTGTCCGTCTGAGCTGGAGGGACAATCTGAGACAAACCTTCCAACAGTGAGAGTACAAACCTGCAGCGTCCGTCACTCCGACGCTGTGAGGATGAGACAACCAACAGGATTGTGGTTTTAGTTTGAAGTTTCTTTGAGAGAAGTGTGACGACGTTCTCTCTGTAAACGGGTCCATCTGTTCCAAACCAAATTGTCTTAACGGACAGGAAGTGTCCTGGAGCGACATGAACAAACACCAACGAGTTAGAATAAACCGAACAGGACGTCCCTCTCTTCCTTTTACCTTTCTATTATTTATTTGACTTTTCTTTCTGCAGTTTGACGTGTTTTTAAAGGACGAGCAGCAGTCAGAGTTCAGCTGTGCCTTCAGTTCGTCACAAACGTCCTGCTGCTTCACTTCACGCTGAGGCTGCAGCTAACTGCTGTTTCTGTTATTGATTCATTCTGACATTCAGATATCAGAAATAATGACAAATGCCCAAACAGTAATCTGCTTCTCTGTGCTGCACTGCGCCAAGAACCAGAGTGTCACTCATACTGCAGCGAAAGACTCTTCAGTAGTCGAGTGAAAATGAAAAACAGTGACGATCATGATGAAGTCCACGGTCATTGGTTGGCCGACTAAAAGATATCCGAGACACTGTGATTATAAATATAATTATTAGCTCATTGATAAACCGATGTGTCTTCATCAGGGTTTAATGGTTACGTAATCAATGGATTACTGATCAGCTCTTATCTCTGATTTATGTAATTGGAGCGCAGAGCAAAAGGGGCGGGGCTTACGGGGAGGGTCAACTGGAAACGGGTACAGTGTTCTTTATTATTATTTGGGTATTTGTCATCATTTTTGACTAATTAAGTAAAACAATAGTAATAGTAAGTTGCAGCCTTCCTGCATTACTGCGGTGACGTTACAGGACCACAGACAGATCCAAGGTCAGAGAGACGGACTGAAAGGTCACAGGTTTGATTCTTCTCTGCTCTGATTACGTCCTCCTCGGGTCAACGAGCGAACGGTGCTTTACTTTCTGACTATGATTTTCTCTCTGACCGGTCAGAGGTCAGATGTCAGTGAGCTTTCTGGAGCTGGTCGTCGTGTTTACACCCCCATCCCTGTATGAATGCCTTCGCACTGAACGTTTCGGACACTGAGCTGGTTGTGTGTTATGGAGCAACGTTACCGGACTTTATTTTTTGTTTTGTGAACATTTTGCGCACTTTAATCTGAGTGGATTTTTGAAAGTACAGTAGAAGTCTTGAATCATTGGACCACGTTACAAGCTTTAGAACTTGAGTTGAACAACAAGATCTGACCACAGGGTGACGGTTCAGTGTTTATGACCGTAGGAAAAGATTCGTTGTGAAACAGTGAATTTATTTCATTGTTGGTGTTTTGTTCGAGGTGGAGCTCACATTCCTTGTCTCCTGCTGTTGATTCATTATTGTAACTAGTCCTGTCACAATAACTGCTGCTGTTTGTTTATTACAGATATAACGATATTATTGTATTTTGAACACCATTTTGTTGCCACTGATTTAACAATAAAATAGTACAGTTCACTTCTAATTCTTAAGAATATTTAAAGGCACGACCAACCCAATTATTCTTCCGACAGATGAAACATATTTCTGGCAGCCTAAACAATCACGGAAGCTGAGACACAACATTGGACAACATTGATGGTCATTTTTTGCTGCACTTTAATGATCTCCTCCTACAGAGTTGATCAGATCAACTTCATATTTGGTCACTGCAATCAAAAGGCCTTTGCATTGAATGGCGTGCCCGCAGCGTGCTGCTGATTGAAGCTCTAATCAGACATTGAAATACTAAAATGTCTTTTGTAGATAAAACATAATTCAAACCACACAGTACATAAAATGAATATACTGCACTTAAATAAACATTAACAGAACACATGGTGATGGTGCATCATGAAACAGTGAGTCCATATAGTGACAGCTTTACATTGTATGTATATGGAACAATAAGTGGATCAGTATTGTGACAGGCCCGATGAAAAACTGATGGTTGTTACAAACATTCTCTTTTTATTCATCTTCCAGCAGTGTTTCTTCAGACCTTTAATGACCTTTAATGACCTCGTACAGATTTGTACTGTGCTCATATGACGCTGTTGTTCTCAGTGACTTTGTGTGTCCGTGTGCCTGCCCGCTGTGCTCATAGCTCCGCCTACACCACACACTGTCCAATCACATTCTGAGGAGCCTGTAGTCAGACGTTAGCATGACGCTTGAATCTAAATGCAGTACTGGCCTGAATGTGAGACATTTAGAATAAAATGGCAGATTTGAACCAGATTCAAAGGTTCTTGTGGAGTTTTCTTCTTAACAAACATGCTGAATATGTTCCTATAACATTTGATTTTTCTTTTCTCTTCCTGGTTCTTGCTGCCAGCGTCTGTCAGTCAGCAGAACAACATGAGACTATCAGCAGAAAGCTTCATATATTATATATAATAGAAAACTAAACTGTGCAACCTGCTTCTGTTTGTAGAAACACAATCAGCTGTTGGAGTTTTCTTGGTTTTAGTCACAGAAAATACTTCATTAAAGCTGAAACTAGCTGAAGATTGATTGAGTCTCATTGGCAGTACTGAGCCTACCTGAGAATACCCACAGCGCCACAGACGAGTTGGGGGAGAGAACGTGCTGCTGCGTTCACCGTAGGAAGGGGAGGCTGAGGCGAGGACGTTGCAATCAGCAGCTACACTGGAAGTCTGCTGTAACATCCTCAGATATAAAACCACCCAAAGTTTTATTTTACCCTCAATTCCAAAATCAGACCTTCCTCTTGTGTTCGTGCCAATGTCGGAAATGTGTTACATTAATCAATCGGTGTCAGTATTGATCAGGTCGGCTCCCTCACAGTGAACTCTGGTACCTGCATGAACCGACTGTATTTCTTCTACTCAGGTTACATTCAAGTTTCTCTAAACAGCTCCAAATTATTCTTTTTATTTTATTCATGTGATTTCTATGGAAATCCAGATTTGAGTTGTTCCCTGAAACATGAATGTTCTTCATCACCACCATCATCATCATCTTCATCAGTGTGCTGCTGTTCTGTAATGATTCATGAACGTTTGTTGAGAATAAAAACATGAATGTCTGTAGTCTGAGTAGCTCATTAACACAGATTCACTTTGATTATCTTCAGTTTTACAAACCGTTGGGATTCATTAACCACAAAGGAAAAGTGCAGCAGTGAGAGTGAATGTAGAGACAATAGTCAAGACACACTGACACATAATCTAAAATCATTTAATACATAAAATCTGAGCAGGGCCTGTAATACAGGCAACAATAAATATGAAATATAACCTTTTAAGTTAATAAAAAACTGAATAAATATAAAATGAGAACATACAGAAACGTGTATTATTCTACAGAGGTAAAAACTAAATATTTCAATAAATATAATATCGATCCATATATCGATATAATATCCACACCATATATTGTGTCATCATTCCACACAATAACTTTAAAATGGACCGTTCACTCAAATGACATAAAAATATCCTTTTACTTGGCGTATTTTTAACACTGATTTAAAGTTTGGGTTAGAACAGTTTACAGAGTAGAAACATCGAGGCTGTAAAGGTGAAACAGTCTCAACCTCTGTAGTCTCATTTAGACTCACCACAGACATTATTTCAGACATCTGACCCAAAACACAATGACTTTGTTAGCTAACATGCTAACTCAGTACTGTGTTTTAGGACTCGTCTTGCAGCGCTCTATAAAAGTACGTCAGTAAAGTAAGAACTAAAGAGGACCTGAAACGCTACCCTGTGGGACTCCAGAGGAGCTAACATGCTAACTCAGCACTGGGTCACAGCATTCATTCCTGAATCTGAAGAAATAAACTGTCAGTAACTGTCTAGAGACTTTCCTTACTTGCTCAGTTTTGAGGAAATATTTAGTCGGTACCAAAAAAGTCCAGCGTGACTCAAACGTGCAAGGTTTCATTGGTTGGTTGAAGGAAGAAGAGGGTGTGAACTGATCTGCTGTGAATGTTTTATTCACATAGATGTCTCTGTGAAAGAACACAATCAGAGTAGTAAATAAATGCATCATATTCAGTGGTACCAGCAGGCACCGACTGAAAAGAGGCTCTTTGAGCAGTGAGCCGGCAGCTGCTGTGACTCCTGAACGCGACACAAGTTGAACGGAGGTTTTTGTTGGGGACTGAAAGCGGAGCCGGCTGTTTGCCTGCGGACAGAGAACGAGTTGAGCTCGGCACAGAAAAGCTGCTGTTGTTGTTGTTTGACGCCTGAATGCAGCTCATCAGCGAGAGGTTACTGAAGTTCACCCACACAACACTGAAGAAAACAAGGAGCCTGTAAACGCCTCAGCCTGTATTATTAATAGCAGATGCTGCAGATTCAGAGCACAGAGGGTGAACGGGAGGCCCTCAGCACACAGGTCTGATTTCACCGGACCAGGTTTCAGGTTCCTGAGAGGCTGCAGATAACATCAACCTGCTTTATGTCATCTTCACTCTCATCAGCCAATCACAGCTCTCGTTGTGTCCTTGTAATGGTAGCCTGCTGGTTCCCAACCTTTTTCCTTAAGGGACCCTTTCCTGTCATTGAGTAAACTGACGACCCCCCCTCACAAAGTGACGTATGGGTATTTGATATTAATCAGTACTGTACAGTGAACCCAAAACCTGAAGGAGGTTTGTGTAAAACCAGAGATTTGGATGAATTTTAACATTTTTAGGTCCCTATTGTATTTGCTATGTTTGTTATTATTATTTTTAGCCCCCTTTGACTGCATTTTTGCCCCCCTGAACATATAGGAAAAGTCCATTTTATTTGGCAAAGTTGTCAGGCCTGGTGGAAATGGGGATATTCTATGCATTGCTTTCGGGTTGGCCACTAGGTGGCGCTACTATCATAAAAAAATGCATTTAAGCTAATAACTTCTGCATAGTTTGTCGCACATACAAAAAACTTATATCCCCACATTCGGTGAATGGAGCTGAATCTCCCCATATAGGCCACGCCCACTTTCGCCTATAATTTTTTTTTTTCTAGATCGCAAAACTACTTTTTCGTGTTCCTCCTATGTGCTTTGTCTGATTCACACAACTTTTTTCACGTAGCATCTGGGGACTGTCCTTATAAAGAAGTAATAAAATTAGCACTTTCTGTGGATTTTTCGTCAAAAAAGGAAGTGGACCAGTTCTCCACATTGGTATGTCCGATTGACACCAAGCTTGGGTCCATAGTTCCACATGTCTTCCTTAAGCATCGTGCACAATTTCAAGCCATTTAAAATGAATGATGCCTGCCCATGGCTTCCTGAGTCTCACCTAAAATGGAAAAAAAATTACGCCACTGGGTGGCGCTCTGGTGGCAGGATAAATCACTGTGCGGAGACCGTAATAGTTATGAATATGAAATTCACAGGGGACGTGTAGAGTGGTACCTGAAGCTCACATACCAAAAGTTGGCCAGGTTGAATTGAATGTCAAACTGTGATGCTATTTCCGGCATTTAAGGGCTTCTGTTTTAACTAACTCCTGCTACAGATTTTATCAGATTGACTTCAAATTCGATCACTTCAATCTACACACATTGGTTATCAAAAGTTGTGCTATTTGTGACTGTATGTTTAACCGTGTGCCCGTGACGACGTGTCGAATTCCACCGATTGGCCATCAAACAGATAGTACTCATATCTTCAGTGTACAGTCCCACCCTGAACACGTCCTCATAACTTCAGCGTACATGATCCAATCTCAATGAAACTTCACGTGTTTGATAACAGTCCTACCCTGAACATGTCTACATGACAATATTCAGACATAGTGATAGCACCACCTACTGGCAACAGGAAGTAATATTTATATTTTAAATAATTCACATAAAATCAAGAAGACCTCACAATGTCTCGTGAAGCTTTGGCGGCCCATAAAGATACAGTGTTCTGATCAATATCATTCATAAAGATATAGTGTATACTGATCAATATCATCCATAAAGATACAGTGTATTCTGATCAATAATCCATAAAGATAGTGTTCTGATCAATATCATCCATAAAGATACAGTTTTCTGATCAATATCATCCATAAAGATACAATGTATATTGATCAATAATCAATAAAGATATAGTGTATATTGATCAATAATCCATAAAGATACAGTGTATTGATCAATAATCAATAAAGATACAGTGTATTCTGATCAATAAAGATACAGTGTATACTGATCAATAATCAATAGATACAGTGTATTCTGATCAATAAAGATACTGTGTATACTGATCAATAATCAATAAAGATACAGTGTATACTGATCAATAATCAATAGATACAGTGTATACTGATCAATAATCAATAAAGATACAGTGTATACTGATCAATAATTAATAGATACAGTGTATTCTGAGTTCTTTGTAATGAACTGTTTAATTCAATTCAATTCAATTCAATTTTATTTGTATAGCGCATTCTAACAGAGTATCTCGGACACTTTCAATAGAGCGGTTAGACCGAACTCTTTTACATTAATTTAACTTACATTCCTGTGTGTTGACCTTTGACCCTGTGAGGTCAGAATGGTCCCAGATGTCACTGTGTTCAATTCTCATGTTTTACACCGTTACCGTGACGATGGGAACCGTCACCGTGACGATGGGAACCGTCACTGGGATGTTTGGAAATGTTTGAGTTGAGTCATCTGTGAGCGCTTCATGAAACTGAACAAGAACAAACAGGACGGAACACGTTGATTCACAGAGACTGAGCCACAGCTCCAGGTCCTGGTCTTCAGTCTCGCCCCCTCAGTGGAGACCTGGATCCTTTCAGTCCTGGATCACATCAGACTGACAGCTGTTGGAACACGTCCCCATCCTCCAGCTGTGGGAGGATCCCTCATGGTGGTTTCGCAACCATCTGACGGGTCCTAACACTCCTCCTGATGAAGACTACAAGGCCCCAGTATGGACACTGTGGAGGCAGAGAAACAGCACAAACTGGGGACAAACTGGGGACAAACTGGAGACGAACTGGGAGACGAACTGGGAGACAAACTGGGAGACAAACTGGAGACAAACTGGGAGACAAACTGGAGACAAACTGGAGACAAACTGGGAGACAAACTGGAGACAAACTGGGAGACAAACTGGAGACAAACTGGGAGACAAACTGGAGACAAAGTGGGGACAAACTGGAGACAAACTGGGAGACAAACTGGAGACAAACTGGGAGACAAACTGGGAGACAAACTGGAGACAAACTGGGAGACAAACTGGAGACAAACTGGAGACAAACTGGGAGACAAACTGGAGACAAACTGGAGACAAAGTGGGGACAAACTGGGAGACAAACTGGAGACAAACTGGAGACAAACTGGGAGACAAACTGGAGACAAACTGGGGACAAACTGGGAGACAAACTGGAGACAAACTGGGAGACAAACTGGAGACAAACTGGGGACAAACTGGGAGACAAACTGGAGACAAACTGGGAGACAAACTGGAGACAAACTGGAGACAAACTGGGGACAATGGTGGAAAGAGTTGACTTTATTTGATCAGCAGTAAAAACGACAAACAAACTTGAGAGATCAATCAATAACCAATCAATAACCGATCAATAACCAGCAGAATAAATACAGTTGTACAGTTATTGATCTGACTGACAGCTGCTGTGTGAAACATGTAAAATATGTAAATAATAAAGATACAAACAGGAAATGTATTTAACTGTTTATTGTTATTTATTTAATGAGTTCACTGAACTTCCTGTTTAGTCGATCAATGAAATCAATCATTGATCAGACTTTATGTGTTTGCAGAGAGGAATGACTGAAGCCAAAGGAATGCAGGAAACTAAAATGCTTCACCTTCAAAATAAAAGCCTCAGAATGTGGGTCTGAGAGAGCTGGTTGTCATAACAACAGCTCTGTTCCTGTGTGATAATAAAGAATAAAAAAACATCAAACTGTTGCTTTATGAAATGCAGAGGTCAGGTGACATTCAGATGACATAACTGTGTAATGATTAATAATACTTATTATTATTATAACAATGAAACATCATCATTACGTAATATTACAAAAATTAGACACATCCTATCACAGACAGATGCAGAAAAACTAATCCATGCAAGGCTGGATTACTGCAACTCTTTATTATCAGGTTGCCCCAATAAGTCCATTAAAACGCTCCAATTAATTCAGAACGCTGCAGCACGAGTACTGACAGGAACTAGAAAAAGAGATCACATCTCTCCTGTACTAGCTTCTCTGCACTGGCTCCCTATAAAATGTAGAATAGAATTTAAAATCCTCCTCCTCACCTATAAAGCTCTTCATGGTCAGGCCCCTTCATATCTTAAAGAGCTCATAGTACCCTATTACCCCACTAGAACACTACGTTCTCTGAATGCTGGGCTACTTGTGGTTCCTATAGTCTCTAAAAGTAGAACAGGAGCCAGAGCCTTCAGTTACCAAGCTCCTCTCCTGTGGAACCAGCTTCCAGTTGTGGTTCGGGAGGCAGACACCCTCTCCACATTCAAGAGTAGGCTTAAGACATTCCTCTTTGATAAAGCTTATAGTTAGGGCTGGATCAGGTGAGTCCTGAACCATCCCTTAGTTATGCTGCTATAGGCCTAGACTATCGGGGGATTTCCCATGGTGCACTGAGCTACTCTCTTCCTCTCTCTTTCTGCACTCATTCATGTCCCATTAATGCATGTTACTAACTCCACTTCTTCCCCGGAGTTCTTGTGCTTTCTCGTCTCGCAGGTTCTTATCGATCCTGGTGGAGCCTCCTGCCATGGTCCTGCTAGATTGCCATTACCAATACTGTTGTTGCTGTGCACCTGTCTGTCTGTCGCTCTTCTCTCTCTCTCTCTCTCTCTCCCCAACTGGTCGAGACAGACGACCACCCACCTAGAGCCGGAGGATCTGTCCTAGGTTTCTGCCTTTTAACAGGCAGTTTTTCCTTGCCCTTGTCTCCAAGGTCTTGCTCATGGTGGTACTGTTGGGTCTCTGTAATTAATGTTAAAGAGTTCGGTCTAGACCTGCTCTATTTGAAAAGTGTCCTGAGATAACTTCTGTTATGAATTGGCGCTATACAAATAAAATTGAATTGAATTGAATTGAATCATATTATAATATGAAAACAGCTGAGCTTTAAAACAACATTTCAAAGTATCAGTTATTAAATCAGTTATTAGATTAATTAATACATTCATTATTAAAGTAATTATTGAACCCAACAGGATTAATAAAACAGATTTTCTGCAACAATCAACAATTTGTTCTTTAATTTAAATTTAAACTGAATGATCCTCATTGACACTCAGTGGTCCGCTTTGCTTTGTCCGCTCTGGGCTGTCGTACAAACATGTAGAAGAATGAATGAATGAATGTTATATAACATTAAACTGTGACCTGTGACCGGTCCACTGCAGCTCTAACAGACAGGCAGCCGGTTGGAAGGAGCTTTTATTTTGAAGGCGGGAGCCGGAAGCTCTGTGTGTGGACTCGGAGGACTCTGAGGACGAGGACCGTGTCGGACTCAGTCTCAAACATGTCCACGCTGCTGCTGGTTCTGCTCGGCCTGCTGTCCCTCATCCTCTGCGTCCTCCGTGGCCGGAACAGGTCAGTCCGCTTCGACCACTAAGACCCGCTTCGACCCGGGTCCTGGTCCTCCCTGAGTCCGGACTGTGCGTTTTAATGAGTGTGAGGGTTTCAGTCCGGACTCATCAGAGTTCGAACCTTCTGGTGTTTACTGCAACTATTGATTATTGCTCTTTACTCAGAGTACTCCGTTACAGTAAAAGTAATGGATTACAGTGCTGACAGCCAGGAGTATTAGCAGCTGGAACTGTTTGAGATTGAGCTGTAATGTTATTTATTCATATATATGTGTATCTGTATTTATATATCAATATGTATCTAAATAATTATATATATATGGATCTATCAATTGATCAATATCAATATATAATTACTGTCCTTCGGGTGAAAATATTCTCTAGGAATATTTCATATTTTTATTTAAGAATTTTTAACAACCATTTTTCTCTCTTATAATATAATAATATATATTATAGATACAGTAATCAGTGTGTGTGTGTGTGTGTGTGTGTGTGTGAGAGAGAGAGAGTCCTGGTTTCTATCATTATTAAACCAACTCAGAGTTTATGGATGTTTATATTCAAACTCATGTAAATGCTAAGATATATGTTAATAATATTTATATATATTTATATATATACATATACTTAAAGCCGCAGTACGTAACCTTTATGAAAATAACTGTTCTGTTGCTTTCACTGTATCCTGACAGTAGTACATGAGACAGATAGGTCAGCCGGGGTCCCGCCCCCCCAGTGGGGGTCCTGACCCCCCAGTGCAGGTCTCCAACAAGGAACAGAAGACTATGAATTCTTATTATTGGGTTGATTGTATGAAATATACAGTAAATACAGTCAGTGGAACCGGTTCCTTTAGAGGTTGTTGGAACCTCGGTTGTTTGATGGGATGTATCACCAACAGAAGGCGCTGCTCAGCGACCTGTAGAATAAGGCACGCCCACTTTGGTTCCCCAAAAACAGATATTTTTGGTTCCACCCTTCCAGGTTCCGAACTGATTTAGTTTGGTCGAAACGCCCCGAACGGTTCAAAACCAGGAGCACCAACTAGAAGAGAGCTGGACTTTAGACCGTTCGCTCAGTGATAGTTTCCCTTCAGTAAGAAGGTTGGGAACCAGTGGGTCGGTTCAACGAAGACTGAGAGCAGTCTGGTGGTTCCACTGTCGGACAATCCGCCGTTCTATAAGGAACAAGAGAGGAGGGAACTGCAGAGAGAGCATGCACTGAGGTCTGTCTCTGGTTTCTGAGTGATCAGTGAACCCTCAGAACCCTCAGAACCCTCAGAACCCTAACCAACATGTGCTCTGATACTGTTTATGGAGTATTTAATAACTCACGCGGAGCTGCAGTCACTAGGTTTCCCTCCACTGGAACTGGGCTCAATGTGTTTAAAGATAAAGTCTGAAATACAGACGTCGTTCAGCCTTTTTCAATCTGAAGATGAATCCCTGATTTAAAACCCTGTTGGATTATCTGAGGCTGTAGTTCTTCATATGATGGTTTTATAGAATCTGAAGCTGTAGATTAAAATACCAACACTTTCCTGACTGTCACTGTTTCTACTTTAAGTCTTGTTAATACTTTTATGTTTGATGCTGCTGGATTGTTCATTTGACCAACCTGAGTGAAATAACATTAATGCTGCTTATTCATACACAGGGGCATCACAGGGGCACCACAGGGGCATCAAAGAGGGCACCACTTTTCCACCATTTAATTGGGTTGATTTAACTAATTTAACCGTTATAAAATTAAATGAGTTATTTGTACTCAAGTGAAAAATTGTTTCATTTGTAAATGAATGAATCCTGAAACAGTTTAAGTTGAACTAACTCATGAGGTTTTACAGTGTAGTTTACAGTGTAGTTTTACAGTGTAGTTTACAGTGTAGTTTTACAGTGTAGTTTTACAGTGTAGTTTACAGTGTAGTTTTACAGTGTAGTTTTACAGTGTAGTTTACAGTGTAGTTTTACAGTGTAGTTTACAGTGTAGTTTTACAGTGCAGCGATGAGGAGGCTGAAACCTTCCTCACCTTATGGAACCAACAGAACTGTCGGCTCTTTAAGACCTTCACTAAACACAGATATTAAGATCCGGTGTCAGTGGAGCTTCCTGATGGTCCATCAGTCCATCGTCTGGGGACCCACTGAGGGGTCCCGACCCGCGGGTCTATTTCAGTGCTGTCAGGTTTTCCCGCTCTTAAAGAGAAACAGCTGCTGCTCAGTAAAATAAACACTTTCAGTTTGACTCCCACTTTATTGATCTTTGGACTTTATTGATCTTTAAACTTTACTGATCTTTGGACTTTATTGATCTTTGGACTTTATTGATCTTTAAACTTTACTGATCTTTGGACTTTATTGATCTTTAAACTTTATTGATCTTTGAACTTTATTGATCTTTGGACTTTATTGATCTTTGAACTTTATTGATCTTTGGACTTTATTGATCTTTGGACTTTATAGATCTGGGGGAAACGACGAGTTACGTTCACAGCAAGTGTTGCCCAGTGTTGAACTTTTCCAGGGTTTATAGAGCTCCACACTCTCCACAGTTAGAGACTGAACAACAGAACACTGCTCTCAGTTACATTTTTTACTTTTACGAGTTAATTTTACCTCCGTTAAGTGTAAAATCTACACTGAAAAAATGTCAATATTAATTATCTCAATCATTTTCTAAAACAACAGTTATTTTACATTTTTCGTGTATAAAACAATGCACAATCTTATTGTCATATAAATCATACAAATTAAAGGCAAAATGTGCTTTACAATGTTCATCAAATGGACTGAAGGTTTGCCTGGTATGAAATGAGATGCTAATCCATGGTGATGTAGAAGCTGTCGGTCCCGTTCTTCTGACGCCCAACGGCGAGGAGGTGTAGTTGTTGATCCTGCTGGTTGCAGAGATGATCCTCCAAACTGTAGCATGACAAAGAAATAAGGAAACAGAAAGAGAAAACTACATGACTGAAGTGATTACTCAAACATCTCCCTGGCCAGTGTTAGAAAGGAAAGCCTATGAAGATAATTTTATCCACTTTTTAACAACCCTCATTTACATTTACATTACATTTTTTGCTAAGAAAGTGATTATTATAATCCCCTTAATAGTTTTTGGAGACTTCGGCCCCCCCAGGTGGTGGTGAAAGAAGATGTATCAGCAACAACAGGGAGGTCGGCTGAGGACAAAGACTCAAGAATAAACTGAAAACTAATGTAATGTAACAAATGTAATACTTTTACATACATATTCATTACAAAAATCAGACCAACCTTCAGAGACAAACAGAATAAACCAAATTCATAAAATAATGAATGAAGCAACTATAACTGCAGTTATAGAACATGATTCTAAAACAAGTTAAACAAATATGACTCACTTGTTTCCCATCAGAGAGCCTTACCTTCAAGAACAAATAGAGTCTTGTTCCACCTTTGAGAAAGAAGATATTGATTAACTTATTATTAACAGTACAAGAAATACTTTAAAATCTCAAGTAATCGTAAACATTTCATTCCCAACTTACCAATCCTTTTGTAGCCATAAACAAGCTTCTGAAAGGTCTCTCACCTCTTCTGCAGAATCTGGGAGTCCAAGTAATGCAATAAGTTATTTATTTTAGTATAACATCAAACATTTTAAGTTATACAAACTCAATTTTGCAAGTTAAAAAGATTCATGATGAAGCAACTTCTACTTTGCTACAGAAATGTTCCTGATTAAATCATTTTGACTTTTGTTTTCACAGGACAAATAAAACGCACAAAATGAAGTCATTGTCACTTAAAGTTACTAAAAGCTACTTGATCCAGAATGTTTTTTAACTTATATTATAAAAGTTAGTTTTACTTAAAATGTTGTATGTAATTGATGAATTGTTCAAGTAATTCTTAAAGCAAATACACCAATTCAGGTCTGTTCTGGCTTATTCAATGAGTTTAAATATTTTATAGAATTAATAGTGTGTGTGTGTGTGTGTGTGTGTGTGTGTGTGTGTGTGTGTGTGTGTGTGTGTGTGTGTGTGTGTGTGTAATGAAAAGTGGGTCGGCAGCAGGACATCCTGTCTCAGGAGGAAACTGATCATCTGATAATCATATTCTTTTGTATATACAGAGAGACTGGAAGCAGGAGGAGACTCAGTTTAACTCCATCACAAGCAAGCAAATCAAAGGACTTCAGTTTTATCTGGTTCATCAGAAGGAAGTTGTAACAATGTGAACCAGTCCTCCGCCATACAGGCTCAAATCATCAACATATAAACGTAACATAAACATAACTGTTTCAACTCTCATGTCCAAAAGTAAAACAGACGGATACTCTGTCATCAATTTGACAAAAAGGAATAAAAAAATGTAAAAAAAACAATCGAACAATATTGGACGCTTTGGTTTTTTACCAGTTCCTTTTATCATTATTCATTTTTTAATTGAAAAAAACTAAATTGAAAGTCACATGTTTTTTCAATTTTAAACCAAAACCAAATCATGTGCACTATTCAGTAAATCCAAAAGACGGTCTGATTATGTGATTTACTGTTTTCATTCCTCCTTTGGGAAGGTCAGGCGAACAGGACAGACAGGAAGTTTTATGTTTGTTTTAGAAGAAAGTCAAAGAATAAAGTATAAACTGTGGGAAGAGAGGACGTTGCATAACTATTTGTAGACTTGTGTAAATCTGCTGCAGTAATTAAATCAGCTGTGTGTGTTTTACTCATCATTAACACCCCCCAGCACTGCTCAGCTGTATGGAACAACTCCACAGTAAACAGTGAGTGCAGCAACTGAAATAATAGAGAGAAGAGAGAGCGAGAACAACCACAGAGTGAGTAACAGAGAGAGGCAGGGCGTGGACCAGAAGTCCAGAGTCCAAGATAAGATGGTTTACCAATGGTGTTCAGGACTAATGTGTTCAAAGTGTCACACTAACAAACATTTAGAGACTGAAACTGATGATGTTTTCTCTCTTTTGCAGAAGAGAGGACGAGCCTCCGCTGATTAAAGGTTGGATTCCGTACATCGGGAAGGCTCTGGAGTTTGGAAGAGATGCCTATTCATTTCTTGAAGAACAGAAGAAGAAGTTTGGAGACATCTTTACCGTGCACATAGCCGGTTGGTATTTAAACTCATGTTGGGTAAACTGGAGGCCTGATCAGTTAGTTAGTTAGCTAACTGATTCAGTCCTAGTTGATTGAGTAGAAACATTTGAACTACTGACTGCAGACCTGCTGCATCCTCAAAAGTCAACAGCACAAATTCATCAAGCTCACCAACTCTGAACTCTATGAGAAAGCTGAAGGTTCAGTGTGTACATCCCTCCCCTTCCATCATCCAACTCTGATCACAACAACAACACACAAAATAAAACCACAGATAAAAACAATATGAAACTATATTCCATTATAAAACAGTTTCAAGTCATCACAATATGACGCTGTCGGTACCCCTTTCGCGTCAGCAACAATAAATATGCAATGTCCAGTTAGAGTTTCAAAATAAAGTCTGTGTGGTTAAACGTTACATAACTTGTGTACATTACATAAGAGAAATAGATTACTTTTACTGGCCACTTTCAAAGCTGGTCCGCGACTGACCACAATCTACATAGCAGACATGTTGACCCCTTATGAGCCAGTCTGCAGCCTCAAGTCCAAAGTTGAGGCTAAAATCTGAACGTGACTTTGTCTTTTAAATCATTTCTTAAAACCCATTTTAATAGACTTTATGTGATGTTGTCCATTTGTCTCATCATTATTTTCCTTTTATTTGGCTATTATGGCTTTTATTCTGATCCTATTATTGTCCTATTATGTATTTTGGTATTCTTTAGTTTTACATTTAATTTGATTTTGTTTATCACAACGATCAATTTGCTTTGTCTGTCAAAGCACTTTGTAAACTGTCTGTTTTTAAAAGGTGCTATATAATTAAGTTATTATTATTGTTATTATTATTTAGTATTAGTTGGAGTGACCAAGGCCGGACACACTGAATAAATATGATAAATCCACCAACACAAACCAACACCAACAACAGAGACACTATGATTCACACCCATTCTTTTAAACCCTTTTTCTTTTTATATAGTTTGATAATGAGTTATCAGAAGCTGTCCTCACTCAGCTGTCCTCTGCCCTGCAGGTAAATACATGACCTTCATCATGAACCCTTTAATGTATCCAAGCATCATCAAACATGGCCGGCAGCTGGACTTCCACGAGTTGTCCGATAAGGTGGCGCCCTTGGTGTTCGGCTACCCCCCCGTCATGAGCAGGAACTCACCCGGCCTGCACGATGAGATCATCCGCACCTTCCAGTTGCTCCAGGGTGACAACCTCACAGCACTCACAGAGAGCATGATGGGTAACCTCATGCTGGTGTTTCGTCAGGACCACCTGGCTGAGAGGCCGGGGGAGGAGGGCGGCTGGAAGAGTGGCAGCATGTACGAGTTCTGTAACTCCGTCATGTTCGAGGCCACCTTCCTCACCATCTACGGGAAGCCAGTGTCTGCCAGCCGCCACAGCGAGATGAGGACGCTGAGGGAGGACTTTGTCAGGTTTGACTCCATGTTTCCACTGCTCATCGCTCAGGTCCCCATCAGGCTGCTGAGGCAGACCAAGGTGATCCGCGAGAAGTTGATCAACTACTTCCTGCCGCACAGGATGTCGTGTTGGTCGAACACTTCACAGTTCATCAAGAGACGATCGGAGCTATTGGACCAGTATGACACTCTGAGGGACGTTGATAAAGCAGGTAGACAAGTTTGATCATGATTACCAACCAGTCATCAATCAAACTATTAACAGAGTAAATAATTTCATCTGATCTGTGACCTCTGTGGTCCAGGTCTGGTTAGGTAACCAAACTACTTTGTTATGGTTCAAGAAAGATGGTTTAAAGATACTAATGCTGACTCTCAAAGTATTCAGAGTAGGGGTGTAACAATCAAGTTTTTTTGCCCCAATCTTGAAATAGACGTGTTGTGATCTGCTTGAGAAGACGCCTCACTCTCTCTCTCGCTTCTACAGTGATGTTCCCTCACAAACTATCTTAAGTTTCATTTTGACCTGTCACTGAGTTAATCACAGAATCAAAAGCAGTTACTGTAACAGCAGGCTGAGGAGGACTGAGGGGCTCAGTAAAGATTGCATTGTGATCGCCTTTACTTTAGCTAAAACTGATCCATTAGGGCGATTGTAGCTCAGTCCATACGGACTTGGCTCGGAAACCAGAGGGTCACCTGTTCAAGTCAAGCCCAGACCACAGTGCGGAGTGTGGACGAGTAGCTGGACAGGTGCTTCCTCCTGGTCACTACCAAGGTGTTGCCTAACTGCCCAAAGTGCTTGGAGGCACTGACAACTAGTTATTTGTGTGTATCTCAGTGTTTGTCATAAAAAACAACAGCAGTGTAAAAATGTAATTTCCCCTATGGTACTTTCTTCTCTCTTCTTAAAATATGTCTGGATCGCCCCCCCTGCCTCGGGACGTCTCTGTTTCACAGTATTCACAGAATCAGTTTCAAATCCATCCAGCTTTGGATTATGCAATACACTAGTACTTCCTTTCAATCTCAGCCTAGTTTCAAGTTCTAGAAAATGGTCTCACTATAATGGCTACTATACTGACGGACATCATAACACACGAATACAATGGGCTTATTGAATCCACAAGAGTCTCAGCTCTCCAGTCAGACCCAGTTCATGCCAGTCCTACACATGTTTGTAAAAGGGAGACTGGTAAGTTCCCATAAACACATTTTCATTTAGATATCTTGAAGTCAGATGTGAAAGAACCCCTTTGAAGTCTCTCAGATTTGTATTATTATTCTTCTGTTGGTAATTCCAGTACTGCAGCCTACACAGTAAGAGCTATAGACGTGAAAACAGGAATTTCCACCAGCAGGTGGCGCTGTAATCAAGGAAAATGCGTATTGGATAATAGCTCTCACATACCACATCGGACATTCAAAAACATTATATCCATTCATTTCCTGAATTCACCTGAATCTTGTGGTGTAGACCACGCCCATTTTCGCCTAGAATTTACTTCCTGCTAAATTGCAAAAAATTAAAAACTTACTTTTTCAAACTCCTCCTAGGCGGTGAGTCCGATTTGTTTTAAAGGAGGTTAGGATTAAGGTTAGGTTGAAAATACATTCCCTACACGGTCTGTCTGTCTTTTTTCCTGTAAAAGCTTTTCAGTGTTTCCAGGAAATCATTCAGAACAGATGTTGGAAGAGCATATTGTGCAACCCCAGAAAACATGAGCATGGTTTGCACACCACAAAGCCTCCAGCACGGCTCTTAAATGGTTGCGTGTCTGGTTCTGATTTGGGGTTTATCGAAGTTAGATTCTTCCTTCAGTGATTCTGAGATTTCAACATTTGATCCTGATTTTCCTGTCTTCATGTGTTCTAATCTAGTTTATTTTACTGTCCTCCATTTTTACACTAAACTCTAGTGTATTCTTCTATACTTCTTTGGTCCACTCTGCTCCACAGTCTCAAAGGTATACATGCAGAGAGACATGTGGGTGAGTTGTAAGTGATTTGTGGGGAAGACATGTCTGGGTGAGATGAATGTTTAGTTCTGGCTGAGCTGTAGGTCTTGGTGAGAGGTCAGCTGTATTGTAACACAGAGATCATACCATGATGTTAGAAGCAGGCGGGGGGGCTGAGGGTCTGCATTTTGTGGGGCCTGTATCTGCCCCATGTTGCAGTTTTAATTGTGGCCTGACACTCCTGGTGATCCCCATGGAGAGTTGGGGCCTGGGTTTGGGTGAAAGTGGGGCATCCTGTATCCTGGCAGTTTTTGTCTCAGCAGGGTGAATGACTCTTTGTCCCCCCTGCCCCCTCCTAACTTTCAGCTCATCACTTTGCCATGCTCTGGGCATCTGTCGGAAACACCATCCCTGCCTCCTTCTGGGCCATGTACTACCTGGTGAGTCACCCTGAGGCCCTGGAGGTCGTCCGCCAGGAGGTCTTAGACGTCCTGAACCTCAGCGGAGTCGAGTTCAACAGAGACAAAGACGTGACGCTCAGCAGAGAACAGCTAGAGAAGCTTCTGTATCTGGGTATGCTAGTTTCCTCTGGAACTCGCCATTAAACCATACGCAGATATACATTAGGAATATATGTTTACAGGAATGTGATAGGACTGACTTCCTGTTGTGAGAAGCTTCATGAATAACGACCCTGGATTTGTCCACAGAGAGCACCATCAACGAGAGCCTCCGTCTGTCCTCGGCCTCCATGAACATGCGTGTTGCTCAGGAGGACTTCAGTCTGCGGCTGGACAGTGAGCGCTCAGTGGCCATCAGGAAAGGAGACATCATCGCCCTCTACCCTCAGAGTCTGCACATGGACCCCGAGATCTACGAGGAGCCGCAGGTACAAGTGTCAACAGCTACAGCTACTTTAAACCTACCGTATATAATTTCTGCCACTACGGGGCACAACATCAAAAGACGTATTTCAATGACTTTATGAAGTAGCGTGGGTATATGGGAGTTCTTGTCTTAATTGTTAAACAACCGCCATTGCTGATGAAAATTAATCTGACATGAAGTTTAATTGACTCCCTTCCTTGCTCTCTGGTGTGTCCTGTTTACCTGGAAATTACAGCAACTAGAAACGCACTGTTACCCCCCTGTTAGCCCTCGGATTACGCTGCAGCCAAGTGTCCTAAGGCCCAAATAGGTTTGAGGTTGAAAAATACCAACGTTACTCTTTAAAGACACTAAAAAGATCAGCCTGGCTGTCCCTTTGTCCCAAAGGAAAGAAAGGACATTTCCCCCACAGACCTCAACTATAAAAGAGATTTTTCTACAGGGCGGCTGTGGTTCAGAGGCAGAGCGGGTCGTTCCTTAATCGGAAGGTTGTCGATCCCCGGCTGGTGCTACATGTCGAAGTATACTTGAGCAAGATACTGAACCCCAAATTGCTCCCGATGCCATGCATCGGTGTGTGAATGTGTATGAATGTTAGTTTCTGTTTCTGTTTCTGTTCTATGGACTTTGCCATCACTGAGTGAATGTGTGTGAAAGGGTGAATGTGGCACGTAGTGTAAAAAGCGCTTTGAGTGGTTGGAAGACTAAAAAGGCGCTATACAAATACAGATCCATTTACCATCCATAACTCGGCAGGAGGCAAACAAGGAAATTGAAGGAATGAAGGTGTCATCTTTGTAAAACTTGTCAGTGGCCATTAAAAGTGTTTTTATCAGCATGACTTCATTCCAATGTAATGTCTATGGACTGACTGTGTGGACGGGACCAGCAGGGGAAACACTACTGAGCATGTGCACACAACACAGAAGTAAACCTGAAAGATCGAAAACTTGCCTGGTGTTCTTATAATACGTCTACGGCAGAGACACGGTGCGTCCAGGTTGTGTTTAGTGGAGCTGTTTAACAAACCTTCATTGTTGTTTCTGTACCGTCAGACGTTCCGGCTCGACCGCTACATCCAGGACGGCAGAGAGAAGACAGACTTCTACAAGGACGGGCAGAAGCTCAAGTATTACCGCATGCCGTTCGGCTCTGGCTCCAGCATGTGTCCCGGTCGATACTTTGCGGTCAACGAGATCAAACAGTTCCTGTGTCTCCTGCTGCTCTACTTCGACCTGCAGCTGGAGGAAGGTCAGAGCAGAGTCACTGTGGACTCTGGCAGAGCTGGACTGGGCATCCTTTTGCCCTCCACAGACGTATGCTTCCGCTACAGACTGCGTACAGTCTAGCCAGGACAGTGTCAGTGATGGAAGTGTGTGTGTGTGTGTGTGTGTGTGTGTGTGTGTGTGTGTGTGTGTGTGTGTGTGTGTGTGTGACACACAGTAGATGATGTTTCTTCTGCTGCAACCTTGTCCCGTCAGATTTTATGATACCAGTCTATGTAATGTGAAAACAATGTGAACGTGGTCTCTTATTTCAGCTCAACCTGACTGACTCGACTCAGTCTGACATTATTTGATCTAACCTGACTCAACCTAAATTTACACAACTCGAATCAACTCAACCTGACTTTTACTGTAAAATAATACACAAGCAGCATCAACAGAATCATCAAAATCTGTCAGATAAAGCACTTCATGATTTCTTCAGTTATCAGCTTTATCTATTTTGGAATATTAACACATACATTTTCTTTATTTCCATTCAGTCAGCACCTCCTGTTAGCGTGCCCTGCTCTTGTGAGCACCTGAGTTTCATATATTTATGTTTGGCCCGAACAATAAAAGACAACACAACACTTTTTAGGGGGATTTGGGGCTCTTTTTTGCCTTTGATTGACAGTACTTACTCCTGTACATATGCTATCAGCTAGCCTTGTCTGGGTTAAAAACACATCTTGAAGATGGTTAAAAGATAAAAGAGACATATAAAGTCACTTCTTAAGTTAGCTAATGTTAGCAAAACACTTGCTAAATAGATCATTAGCCAGCTTACTAGCTGCCTAACAGTTGATATATATTAGCTAGCTAGTTAGCTACTGTTTTGCTAACATTAGCTAACTTAAAGGGGAACTTCGGCAGATTTTTACCCTAGTCTTGATCACTAGAGGTCACCAAGTACTGTCGATAGGAAAAAGAACGACCAGAATTGGTTCTAGCAAACTGGAGATCCTGCAGCTAATGGCCAGAGCTCCCAGTTAGTCATAATACACTTTTTGGGGGCATATCCTAAAGAGTGCTTTTGCTCCTCTTAACAGACACAAAATGCAATTAAAATGTCTGTGCAACATGATCAGGGCCCTTACGTGACAACAACATGCCTTTTCAACTCATACGTTGTGCAGAAACCGTACAAACAGTACTGTCGCCTACCTGTTTTTCCACCGCTCGCTTCATCGAAAGCCCAGAATAATCGATCACGGAGATAATGCCTTCACAACGAAAAAAAGTTTATTTCCCCCTCAAAAATGTCCATTTCTTCACACACTACTCTCCGATTTGCACACTTCCTGCGACAATTTCTTCTTCTGCAGAAGAAGAAATTGTTGATCGGAGGTGTTCACAAGGGAAGAAGTTTGGAGTAAGAATAACGTGTGTTGTTGATCTACTGTGGAGAAGAAATGGTTTGCATTTGTGCCTTTCCAAATGGTGGCAACAGAATGAGAAGGTACAAGTGCCTACACTTTCATCGTCTACCTTTCTATGACCATGAGATACTGCAGTTGTGGCTAGTTGTTCTTCAGCTGGATGTGCAAACTATGAGTTGAGTTGAAAAGGCATGTTGTTGTCACGTAAGGGCCCTGAGCATGTTGCACAGACATTTTAACTGCATTTTGTGTCTGTTAAGAGGAGCAAAAGGCACTCTTTAGGATATGCCCCCAAGAAGTGTATTATAACTAACTGGGAGCTCTGGCCATTAGCTGCAGGATCTCCAGTTTGCTACAACCAATTCTGGTTGTCCTTTTTCCTATCGACAGTACTCGGTGACCTCTAGTGATCAAGACTAGGGTAAAAATCTGCCAAAGTTCCCCTTTAAGATATGTCTCTTCTTTTGTAGGATTTGGTATCATCTAAAGAAAGTGACCCGCAGCGTCTGTAGATAAAACGTCTCATTATACACTGATGAAAACAATGAATATTATAACAATAATAATATAAATATAAATATTATATTACAGTAATGTTACACACTGGAGATTGGACCATCTTCATAATGTGGTTTTCTTTTCAACTAAATTAGCCTAGCATATAGCATATCTAAATACAGGAAAGGAGGAAGTTGACCGAGGCTTGTTCAACTGTGATTGGAGCACAGAGCAAAAGGGGCGGGGCTTAGGAACCATCAACTGGCACAAAATCATGTAATTGTTGTAGCCCGTGTCCAATCGTTCCGTATTTACTCAACATCGTGCACCTTACTGTCCACCATTTCTCTGAGTGTGAATCCATAATGTCACTGTACAGTCGTCTGTGTCTGATGCCACATCATCGGCCTATAAACACAGGCAGCACTGAATTAGCACGTTACTGAACTCTTCAGTCATTTTCAAGGTAAACACAGTGTTGTTAATCACTTGTTCAGTTTTTACTGGCGGTGCACTACTGTTGTTGATAATGAGGTTAAAGGAACGGTCCAACATTTCAGTAAATCCTCTCTGATCTTCTCCAGATGGATGTTAGAAAGGTTCAGGATGTGTTTAGCCTAGCTTAGCACATAGATCGGTTCCAAGGATTAGGGAATTTAGGGACCCTGAGAACATAGATACTGTCCAAATACTGTCCGCCAAACCAGCTGACGACAGGATGCTGACTAGCTGGTTAGCTAACGAGAAACAACAAAATACAATCCTGTTCTCATAATGATGTATAATAACAGCGGGAGCCCGAACCAAGATGGCTAACGTGGACTTCCTAAAATGTGGGATTGTTCCTTCAGCGTGGCTGCCACGAAAAGTATGTCTGAATAAACTGTTTGAATATTTAGCGAATCAGATGGCAGCTGTGAAAAATAATATGCAGATGATGAAAATGTTGATATTTGAGTATATTTTTTAGTTTTGTAAAACTTTGTTTTAAGAATGATATAATGTGAGTCGTATGCAATGAACCACTTTCCTGTCACAATCACGGATAATAAACATGTTTATACTACAGTCGTCCTGATGTAAAACATTCCCTGGATCCTAAATGCAGTCTGTTGGTTAGTCAGTAGCTCTAATATCGTGAGTATGTTTGTTATTTGATATTACTTAGACATTCAAGTATGTTGGCAGAAATGGCAAGAAAGAGACAGGTACTGGTCATTTTATCTTATTGGAAATTCTTTGGAGAATCCCTTCAGATTCAGGAGGGTCATCGACAAAAAAAAGTACATATACACAAAAAAACGCCTTCTGCCAATGTTAGCATTCAGTCTGTGTTAGCTAACAGAGGAGAGCTGACTGAAAGAACATAAGCAAAGTATTTAAGTTAGCTGAACCCATCCGCACACGTTGTGTACATTGAATGTGATTTACTGTAATAAAAATGGTTCAGTGAATAATATTGAAATATTTAAATCTCTGTCACCTCTAACATTTGCAGTGGAGAGATATGGCAGATATTTTATATATATTTCACATAATTCAGATCATAGGAGTGTAAAGAATAGGTGAAATGATTCCTATGGAGATACATGAGGTAATAAATAGATAGATAGATAGACAGATAGATAGACAGACAGACAGACAGACAGACAGACAGACAGACTTTATTAATCCCCGAAGGGAAATTGGGTCGTTATAGCAGCCAGGTACATTAAAATACAATAAAATACAACAATAGAATAAAATACAACAATACAACAATAGAATAAAATATTAATAATATTTATAATAATATAATAAGTATATCTATATATAATATGATGACTGAACAGATTTACATGTATACACATAGATATTATACATTAATATTGATATGATGTAAACATGTGTCATATATTCAGCCTGTGCAAAGTGTGCATACATACATACTGTAATATATATACACAATATATAGAATATGTACACATATATATATACACAAGATATGATATGATATATAGCATATGTATAATAGATACTTGACTATACAAGAATATATACATACAATAGATAATATCTTATATATTGTTATATAATAATAATCATAATAGTAATAATAATAGTAATAGTAATAATTGTAATATATAACATATAATAATAACAATAATAATAATAATAATATAATATTATTAATATAATAATAATATATTGTATAAATATGATCTATAATATCAACATGGTTTATATTAACACATATCACATATGATAGTATATGATGAAGTTTATGTTCCACAGGTAGATTTAGTCCAGTTCTGTGATTGTGGCTCTGACAGAGGCAGATGAGTTATACAGTCTTATAACAGTGGGGAGGAACGATCTCCTGTATCGTTCCTTAGAGCAGCGTGGTTGAATGAGTCTGTTGCTGAAGCTGCTCTTTAGCTCGTCCAGTGTTGTGTGGAGGGGGTGGGAGGGATATATTCTCTATATATATTCTCTATCCTGTAAGTGTTATTAGTTAGTATAATATATATATATATATATATATATATATATATATATATATATATATATATATATATATATATATATCACTGATCAATCGGATACATTTAGTTTTTTACCCAGTGTGCACTGGCATTACGTTACAGTGGGTCTGATAGAGTAGAGACAACCAGCCCTCCTCACAGGTTAAACATGATACTGTGTGTATTGTACAATATGAATGCAAAGTACTGTATGAGGGCTTTATGTGTTTTATATTACAGGAGTATGGTGACCTCTGCTGGCCCACCTCTGGTATTGCACTGGGATGGACTCAGGATGAACAGTGAGTCCATTATCAGCATTAACACATACACTCAGTGGACAGTGTGTTAGCTCTGCATTCTTTAACAACTTTATTATTCTTCCTTTTATGTGACGAATGAATCAACTGCATCACTTATTCAGTCATTTTTACTTAAAGTTAGCCTGTCGACCAGTTTCATATACTGTAAGAACCATGATGGATGCTGTAAACATGTTTGTTTACTGCAGTAAACGTGTTTATTTCTGCAGTAAACGTGTTTATTTCTGCTGTAAACAGCTCGACCCGGCCGCTGTGTCACCTGATGTACAAAGGTAGATGAGAACTGATGAAGAGTCAGTTGCTGGGAGAATTATGACACTTTGAGATGTAATAATTATATTTCTCCCTCAGATGAAACCTGTTCAGCTCATTGACGCTGCAGCAGCTGTAAGTAGGATGGAGATGGAGGCTTGATGTTTTTAGGTCTAACTTTACCACATCATGAATGTAAAAGCATTCTAATTGTTTAAAAGAGGGGTGTCTTGGAGTTCTTTGGTGCTTTATGTGTCCACACGTGTCCTTATCCAAAGAGCACCTCAGAAAAATTCAATTAGATCCAAACGTCTGGACACCCCTGCTGTTTGTCCCTCCTCTGCCTCTGATTGGTGTGAAAAGATGGTAAGAGCTGTCAGGGTCTTTGTAGAATACAAGTGGGGGTTAACATGGATAAGAAATGTGGAAAGAATGTGATCAGAAAATGTTTTTATGATGAAGGTTTTCTGATTCCACAAATGTTATACAAAGTTCAGCAATGAAAGAAAAAAAATCCAAATTCATGTTCAGTATTTCACAGAATTTGTTTTTAAAAAATCAAGCCGACACAACATCCTCCACCTGGATCAACCACTGACAAACCAACTGAGTCAGCACATGGTTTGTTTAACAAGAGGTGGGTGAATCCTGAACGCTCCTTTATTCTTACATCAGTATATAGATATCCAACAGACAGCATGAAGCCAGTCCACCAGTGTCTCAGTCAGCTAGTCTGGATCCAGTCCACCAGTCTGTCAGTCAGCTAGTCTGGATCCAGTCCACCAGTGTCTCAGTCAGCTAGTCTGGATCCAGTCCACCAGTGTCTCAGTCAGCTAGTCTGGATCCAGTCCACCAGTGTCTCAGTCAGCTAGTCTGGATCCAGTCCACCAGTCTGTCAGTCAGCTTGTCTGGATCAAGTCCACCAGTGTCTCAGTCAGCTAGTTATTTCTAGATCGTCTGGATTTAATAAATCCGACACTGATGGGGCAGTGGGTACAATGTTGAAAAAAGAGAACCTTACCCTACCCATAGGCTGGAATATATTCAATTCAATTCAATTCAATTCAATTTTATTTGTATAGCGCCAATTCATAACAGAAGTTATCTCAGGACACTTTTCAAATAGAGCAGGTCTAGACCGAACTCTTTAACATTAATTACAGAGACCCAACAGTACCACCATGAGCAAGACCTTGGCGACAAGGGCAAGGAAACACTGCCTGTTAAAAGGCAGAAACCTAGGACAGATCCTCCGGCTCTAGGTGGGTGGTCGTCTGTCTCGACCAACTCTCAATACTGATTAGTCTTTTAAGAAGAATAAACTTGATGAAAACAATGATCTTTAATTCATAGTTCACTTTTTTTCTTTACTTTCTGTTATTAAAAAGGCATTTAATTTTTTTTGTTTATTACTTATTTATATTATTAGTTTCTTTTTTAGCTTTTAATATTTTGTATTTGGAATACGAAACAACAGGACAAACCAAGTGCACTGATGGTGTGTGTATCCCCCCATCTACATCATGAACCCCACCCCAATCAAATCCTCACAATCAATAATAGAGTTTGAAGTAACAGATGTTTTTACTATTTATTGTTATACTGTACTTGAAAAGTAAATAAAACACAACGATTTTTATTATCAGGTGATTGTACACTTGTGAAAATATACCAATGAATATTATTTTACAGTGATGTCATTGGAGCTTTAATTAATATGGTGGAGTTCAATGGCTCCAGCCTCTCTAGTGTCTCAGTTCAGTAAACTGAATATCTTTGGTTTATGGACTTCTGGTCAAACAAAATCAAACATTTAAAGACGTCACATCAGACTCTTAGAGACTGAGAGGATTTTTTTTTTACTATTTTATGATGCATACAATATTTTATTCATTATTTAAACTGGGCTAGGCAGTTTTAACATACACAATACAAAACCTTCTGTCTCTCTCTGCTGCCTTGTATCACTCCGCTAAGCCCCTCCCACCAAACCCACAAGTTGAACAGCAGCAGAAGGACCTTGTTTGACCGACAAAGCTTTGTAAAGCATGGTAAGCACCTAACCTTCATGTGTTTTGCTGTTTCACTTTCAACTTCCCTTTAACTCTTTCACAAACCTTTAACTTCTCCTTTAAAGGCTTCAGAGATTTCTGGAGCTCCTCTTTGTGATCCTGTGCAGCTTCATCAATGGGTCTGAATCTGTGGTTGGTGTGTTTTTCTGAATCTCTGCAGATGTGACACACTGTCTGCTGATGGTCCAGACAGAAGAGTTTGAGTTTCTCAGAGTGCAGACTGCAGAGAGCCTCTGAAGATCTCTGATCTCTCTCCTGTAAGAAACTCTCACACAGGTTCTTTAAAGCCAAGTTAGGAGGTAGACCTTCCCTTGAATGTCTTCTCTTACAAACTGGACACTCACGTGTTACTTTCTCTGTCCACCAGCTCTTCAGACAGTCTTTACAGAAGCTGTGGCTACATGACAGGATGACCGGATCTTTAAAGATGTCGTGGCAGACAGGACAGCAGAGATCTTCCTCTAATCTGGAAGCCATTTTGTCTGTGAGTGCAGCTGAAAGCACAGCAGGCAGCTCCAACAGGAAACCAGTCAGTCACTCCCTGTTCTCTGAAAGTTACTTTCACTTTGAGTCTTCTTGAAGATGAATCTTATTGTCTGTCTCTGTCTGTGTGAAGCAGAAGAACAACCTTGGTTTCCTGGAGTATTTGTTGGAGTATTTGGAATTTGCACTTGAATTCTTGGTATGTGTTCATGTTGCTGTGATATAATGATTAAGAGTTTGTGAACTTCAGATGCTGTGAGGAAATTTCAAGGAAAGGCTAGTAGACAGTTAGTATGATTGATTTGTTTCCAAGGTCAATATCGAACTGGCTTAAGCTTGCTCAAAAGAAGACAGTTTTGACCACAAACTAATCAGGGTCTTGGTCCTTGCCGCAGCGTCCATGGGTTCAGGTCGGACCTGCCGCCCTTTGTTGTGTGTCTTCAGTGGTTCTAACCACTGCAAAGTAAAAAGCAAATGGTAATGTTAGATGCTGTTAGCTAGTTAGTGCAGCTAACATTAGCCCACCCAGTTCTTGGTTGCCAGGACTGAAACTGCAAAAGAAAACCCACCTCTGTACCCACGCCCGCCGATAGGGGGGGACAAACGGGTCTGTTGTCCCGGGCCCAGGGTAGGGGGGGTACTGGGCCCTCATTAAATTATGGAATTTTTTAAAAATTTTTTTAAAATAGGCCTATTTGTGGAAAAAATAGTGTAATATTTGAGTTACATAACATCTTTTTATTTGTGTTGGAATTGCCAGCAGATGCAGAGGGCAGGGAATTCCCAAACTATCTGACATATTCCACATCCCACAATGGAAAGGAAAAAATCGATAGGGACTGGATATAGCAGCTCAAAAAGGCCTTATTTTGCCTACCATGCTTGCTGTTCTCCTTTGAAGTAGGAAAATTGCTAAATTCGAAATTTACCGAAAGCTTTATGAGAGATTTCCAGAACATGAAAGAAACCATGCACACAAACATTGTTATTGGAAGGAGAGGAAGAGCAGAGGAGAGGAAGAGCAGAGGAAAAGGAGAGATCTGGGCGTGGGGGGGGGGGCATCTAAGATGATCTCGTCCCGGGCCCAGGCAAGACTGTCAGCTGGCCTGTCTGTACCGTATTCCCTGTCAACAAATTGTCCTCTGTTCACAGGGAGTTCCAAGTCCGGCAGAGTCAGCTAATGGGACCGCTGTAGCAGATTGATTGGAGGGACGTAGCACACATTCAGCGGTATTGGCCGCAACAAGTCCCTGCCTGGCTACCAAGTTTTTACAGGAAACATGTAAATATGAGGAAGCAAACAGCACTGTGCTTCCTGTTTCATGGTAACTTTAAGGCTAGGCTAGTAGTGGTGATGGTTAGATTAGCGGGTTAGTTTATGTCTCCAGAAAATGAATGCAAGTCTATGTCCCCAAAAGTGACATAAGTAAAAGTGTGTGGGTGTGGGTGTGTACTGAGCCTTGCTGTCAGCAGCCCTCATTATTCTGTCGGCACGCCTTGTACGGTAACTCGGGCTGTATGTGTGGGTGTGTGTGTGCTGTCCTGGCCTCCTGCCAAGCATAAGGCGCCACTTTATGAGTATGATGATCTCACCTCGACCCACCTCCAAAACACTGTGTGTATTCAGCAGTGTGTGTTTGTTTATGTGTAAAAGATGAATGTGTGGTTCAGCATGTTTTATAAAGAGCAGTTGTGTAAAAGAGAGAGAGTGAACAGTTGGTCTGCATGTTGTTTATTGAACAGCTGCAGAAACAGTCAGCAGGATGCTGACTAACTGCTGAGCCAACAAGAAGTAACATGTAAATCAGACAGATTTTAATTTGTCCTTCTGAGTCCTGTTGATTCAGGAAAAGAAAGACTAACAGGGTTTCACCACAGTTTGGAGATTTTAGTTGTTTTAAATTTTACTTATTAAACTTAATGTTCAAACTCAGAGAAATCATCATTTCATTCAGGTGACGGGTTAAATAGCTGATACAAATGGACTTTTCATCCAGTCTGCAGCCACATGTTTACCATCTGCTGCTTCACCACCTCATCACACTTCCTCTTCTGTTATTGTTTTGATGGGAGAGACCCCTGGTGGCAGAAATACTGAAAATACAGACATTTAGAGAGCGAGTAGAAAGGTTTTATTATCAGAATTATTCACAACTTGTTAATCACATCCAGAGAATAAATATTAATATTAAAGTAAAATAAAGACATCATATGATCATTGAATCAAACTGTACAGAGAAACACTGCTGTTGTTCCTCATTAGAAACATTGATGAGCAGGTTGATGTTGAGGACACTGCTCATGTTCAGGTGATAATTAACAATATTTTCCTCAAATGTCTTTTTGCCGCTAAAACTCATCAGTTTTTAGTTTTGTTCTTGTAGAAAATCTGAATACTGGTAACCCTTTAGCACAAAACTGCTTAAATATTAAGATTTACTGAAGAGTGAAATACATAAATATCATCAGCCTTTCAAAGATCAGTCGAGTAAAGGTTGTCAAAGATCAACAACCACGGCTGCAGTTCATCTAACGTCCACCAGAGGATACTCCAAGAAGTGAATGGCAGATGATTTCACCTCTGATATTGAGAATTACTGAACATGAGAAGTAATTCTCAGCACTCAGTCACCCAAACGTCCACGTTGAATCAACTCTCTGTGAGCCAGACACTTTGCTCTCCTCCTTCTGCAGAGTCTCAGTCCACAGATTGTAGCTTCGTCCAATAAATATGTGAACAGACTAGAAAGGCTCTGACACATCTGTCTGGACAAACAGATGTCAGACTGAAAGAGGGACGTCGGTCGCGCTCAAAGATACAGACTTGGGATTCTTATTGTGAGTTCTCTTTGGAAATGAATGAGGGTATCATACAATATTACCGCCGGCATTCAGCACTCATTTGTCAGGATCTCTGCGTCATTCTTCATTCTGTTGTTGCTGTGCACCTGTCTGTCTGTCTCTCTCTCTGTCTGTCTGTCTGTCTGTCTGTCTGTCTCTCTCTCTCTCTCTCTCTCTCTCTCTCTCTCACCCCAACTGGTCGAGACAGACGACCACCCACCTAGAGCCGAAGCGTCTGTCCGAGGTTTCTGCCTCTTAAAGGGAAGTTTTTCCTTGCTGCTGTCGCCAAGGTCTTGCTCATGGTGGTACTGTTGGGTCTCTGTAAATAATGTTATAAGGAGTTCGGTCTAGACCTGCTCTATTTAAAAAGTGTCCTGAGATAACTTCTGTTATGAATTGGAGCTATACAAATAAAATTGAATTGAATTGAATTGAATTCTCATACTGATTCATCTTGAGCCAACCTGTTGAGTTTCACTGTTTGAGGTTCCACTGCTGCTCTTTTAATTACGTCGTCTTGTTGCGATCTCTTCTTCTGGTTTTCTGACTGGAGAACTGGCGCCACCTACTGCTTATCTCATAAATCAACTCCTAATTATCAAGTAACAGTAGTGGATGGCAACAAATATTAATTCGCATTTTCTTTTGCCAATTTAGCAGAAATCTGCGACACATTTTGATGTAAACACAGCTTTTGAGTGTTAAACTATTTCTGACACAGTTGACAATAAACGGGCGCCAATAAGCCCCTCAGGAAATTTGGGGCTTTTTTGGGATTGTTGTGGCCTAAAATGTCTGATTTCACAGCAGCTTTTCCAAAAATTTGTGATGCATGTTATGATGTTTTCTGGCATTTTTTGCAATTAAATTGCGGAAGAAAGTAAAAACAGTGGCAATATTGTTGTATAATTCCTAAAAAAAACAGAAGGCAACTTGTTCCAGTGAGAATAAAATCTGCAGTAGCTTGACGATGTATGGCTCAACTCACCAGAACCCAGAGTGACTGGTAAAATTTGTGGAAAAGTTCGGCCAGAATTTACAGGGATTGGAAGCAGAGCTGCAGTTTGTCATGTGGTTTATTCTGATCCCTCCAAGCCCACATCACAGAGACTTGTTGACAGATATCAGATCAGATAATTTATAAAGTAAACTGCTCCTTGTGACCCAGTTCAGACTAAAGTAGGGTCAGGTCCAGTCTAATCAGGTCTGGCCGGGTGCTGCTGGAATACCAGAGTGGATCCAAGCGGACTCGTAATGTGCCAGGTGTAGCTGGAGTCCAGTTCAAGTGTTCAAAGTCTCGTCCAGGAACACCAACATTCTGGAGCAGATGATGATGTACAGGTGGTGCATGGAGAAATCACTGCAGGGTAACAAGTCTGTATCTGTGTGGCGAGACATATGATCTCTGATTATAAATTGTTCAGACTCCCAGCAGGATACCAGAGAACAGAGAGTCCTGCAGGACACTGATGGCTGAGCCGGTGGCGTTGTCCACAAACACCGACACGTACTCTCCGGTCTGCACACAAACAAACAAGGTCAGACACTGATATTGTTCATACATAAAGCAGAAACAGAAGTTATTTCTTCCTCTACTTGGTTCTAGTCAACAATCATTTGTAGAAAAAACAACAATTACAGGGCAGCTCTCGACATAAAGGAATTGAATTTAAAGATTAATCAGTCTAAAAGCGAAAGCAGTGTGACGTACCTGCAGATAAAGTGTTCCTGTCAGTAAGATGCTGAATGTTCCTCCAGCAGCAGCCACGCCCATCACAGACTCTACAGACCTAAACACACACACACACACACACACACACACACACACACACACATTCATGTAAAGACAGGTCAGACATGAAAGGAAATCCACGAATGAGTGAAACATGACAAACTGAGAGAGGTAGAGAGAGGTAAAGAGAGGTAGAAAGTAGTAGAGAAAGGTAGAGAGCAGTAGAGAGAGGTAGACAGAGATAAAAAGCAGAAGAGAGCGGTAGAGAGAGGTAGAGAGTAGTAAAGAGTGGTAGAGAGAGGTAGAGAGAGGTAGAAAGCAGTAGAGAGCAGAAGAGAGAGGTAGAGAGAGGTAGAGAGTAGTAGAGAGTGGTAGAGAGAGGTAGAGAGAGGTAGAGAGTGGTAGAGAGAGGTAGAGAGAGGTAGAGAGTAGTAGAGAGAGGTAGAGAGAGGTAGAGAGAGGTAGAGAGAGGTAAGAGAGAGGTAGAGAGTAGTAGAGAGAGGTAGAGAGTAGTAAAGAGAGGTAGAGAGAGGTAGAGAGTAGTAAAGAGAGGTAGAGAGTAGTAGAGAGAGGTAGAGAGTAGTAGAGAGAGGTAGAGAGCGGTAGAGAGCAGTAGAGAGAGGTAGAGAGAGGTAGAGAGTAGTAGAGAGAGGTAGAGAGCGGTAGAGAGAGGTAGAGAGTAGTAGAGAGAGGTAGAGAGAGGTAGAGAGTAGTAGAGAGAGGTAGAGAGAGGTAGAGAGAGGTAGAGAGTAGTAGAGAGAGGTAGAGAGAGGTAGAGAGTAGTAGAGAGAGGTAGAGAGAGGTAGAGAGAGGTAGAGAGTGGTAGAGAGAGGTAGAGAGAGGTAGAGAGTAGTAGAGAGAGGTAGAGAGTAGTAAAGAGAGGTAGAGAGAGGTAGAGAGTAGTAAAGAGAGGTAGAGAGTATTAGAGAGAGGTAGAGAGAGGTAGAGAGTAGTAGAGAGAGGTAGAGAGAGGTAGAGAGCAGTAGAGAGAGGTAGAGAGCGGTAGAGAGCAGTAGAGAGAGGTAGAGAGAGGTAGAGAGTAGTAGAGAGAGGTAGAGAGCGGTAGAGAGAGGTAGAGAGTAGTAGAGAGAGGTAGAGAGAGGTAGAGAGTAGTAGAGAGTGGTAGAGAGAGATAGAGAGAGGTAGAGAGTAGTAGAGAGTGGTAGAGAGTGGTAGAGAGTGGTAGAGAGAGGTAGAGAGAGGTAGAGAGAGGTACAGTACTCACAGGTTGCTCTGGCAGAGTGATTCAATGCAGATTGCGGCTCTCACACTGTCTCTGATCCGGATCTGGACTCTGTCACCAGACTCTGACACACACACACACACACACACACACACACACACACACACACACACGCACATTATTACAGTCATTCAAAGGAAAAAGCACCAAACCGTTTGAGAATCAGAAAAATGACTTCAACCATTGATTTTCTGTCAATAGATTATTTGATTAATGGTTTCAGGGTGTATGTGCGTCACCTATTAGGAGGCTGGCGGTCAGCTGGTAGAAGCCGGAGACGGGCGCCATGTATCGGCCGGAGCTGCTGTTGAAGGTCTGTCCCCTCTGGAGGCTCCGCTCTGAGTCTGAAGGCTGCAGTGGTCAAAGGTCAAACATAGGAATTCAAATATAATCTGTAATCTCACCTGTGTGCGTGTGTGTGTGTGTGTGTGTGTGTGTGTGTGTGTGTGTGTGTGTATCACCTGGCTGAATGGCTGCAGCTCTAACAGGCTGCGCCGCGGGACAGTGATGGCCTGCGGGAGGCGACTGAGGAAGGAGGTGGACACACGAGGAGGCCGATCGCACAGAAAACACACTCCTGCTGTCATATCTGAGGGGAGGAGGAGGAGGAGGAGGAGGAGGAGGAGGAGACACACAGACTGCGGTCAGTAGGAGTGTTTTGCTGTAATCTAATTGTTATGGTTCACGCAGTGTAACGCTCATACCCCCGCAGTGAGATGGGTTAAAGGGAGAATATTTAGTAACGCAGGGAGAAAATTCACTTCACATTTGGTGCAACGCACCGCAAGTATTTTCACTTGAAATGTAGTCGTTTTTTGACAGTATTATATGTTCTTAAAGGGGAACTTGGCAACTATTTCAACTTAACAAACCCGTTTAGAAATCATTTGGATGGTTAAATGGCCTGTTCCCGTGAAAAGGGTGACTTTCCCTGCTCCCCAAAACGAACCTTGCAACTTTGGGACTACCGTCCTGTTAAGTTGGAAATAGGAAGTATCGTGCGAAGTGAGAACGATCAAGAAACACAGACTGCTTTACGGCAATTAAACATAAACGCACACGCCCTCCTCAATACCAGTTAGCCACGCCAGCTATAAGGACAAGTGACGATGAATGTATTACCCACCTCGGTAGACATTGCTCCACACGAAAAAGTTGCCCGGCAACAAATGCACATCAGCAGTGGTAGAAAGGGGGAGGAGGGGCTGCAGGTGAGTTTTTTTACGACAGTGTTTTGAAATATACGTCCCAGAGCTGTAGGGGGAGCTCGTTGAGAAAACATGCGACGACAAAAGTGAAAACCAGTGAAGAAATGGCTAGAGTTCCCCATTAAATTAATGTATTCCATATTCTAGAAATATTTCAGAGATTCCTCCACCAGAGGGAGCTCAGGTACCTCCTTAGTTTGAGAACCAGGAATCTAAAAATACAAATTTATGCTCTATTTATTTTCTCAGCAGATGTTTTCATCCGCTGAACGTGGAGCTGATCAATAGCTAACCTTAAAATAACTTTATTGGGACACAGACTGATGTCAGACGACAAACCTCTGCTCGATCAATCCCCATGGAGCTAACGTACGATGTGGCGATGGATCGGCCGTCCTCAGCAGGCAGTTTGTTGCTGTGTGCAGTTATGATGTAAATGTGTCAACACAATGGCATTAATGAGATGATGATCACATTCAGATTTTTACTGTCTGGGTGTTTGTAGGTTTCAGTAATCTTCAGCCTGAAGTTATTGACCAAAAGTAAACTCATTCAAACTACTGCAGAATATGAAGACACACAGACGCAACCTGACGCAGGAAAACAAGCACAAACGAACAAATTCACTCACAAACAGGCAGAAAGTAACAAAGACACACCATCAGTCAGCAGGAATGTCAGGAATCCTGCTGCTGAGCCAAGTCACATCCACACTCCACAAAATTACCCCTATTAGGGACTCAGACAGCCTGCCTCCACACACACACACACACACACACACACACACACACACTGTGTTTATATAACCTACATACAGAAATCACTGAGTGAAAGTGAAAAATTGAAGGAAATGATGTGAAAATGAAGCCGAACAGTCTGCTGTCTGGATCCAGGTTCGGAGGAATGTTTGCATTAATTAACTCTAAGAACTCAGAACTAAACACATTCTTAAGATTTCATCATTTTCTTTACTGAAAACATAAATGTCAACCCTCTTGTTCTTAGAGTCAGGATGTGGTTAGCCTAGCTTAGCACAAAGACTGGAAGCAGGGGGAAACTCCTAGCATAGCTTCGTCAGTTTGAACTGAAGCCCTCAGTCTCTCTGTATCTCACCTCTCAGTTTGAGCTGCAGCTCCTGGATGAGCTCCTGTTGTTGGGGCAGCAGGGGGGCGGGGGGGCCCGGAGGCCCCTGGGGTCCCGGAGGGCCTGGGGGGCCTGGAAGACCATGCTGCAAAGACACACAAATATTAGGTGTATATTGTGACTTTTAAATGTTATTTATGAGCTTTACAAAACAAAACAAAGTGTGATGAGGTGGTGAAGCAGCGTGGGATCATGGGAGTTGTTGTCTTCACCACCATTGGCGTCATTGCAGTCAGCTTCTCCCGGTTAGGATTCCTTCAGTGTTCATGGTTCAGGAGGTTTCTACCGGGAGCCCAATGATCCACAGAGGTCTCCTCCTCTCCAACACAAACAGACCCGCTGATTAAAACCACTAAACACACTGAATAAAGCAGTTCCACCTTAAACACACTGAATAAAGCAGTTCCACCTTAACAATCACTGCTTCTCCCACGCTGTTGGACAGACAAAGGACGTCCCGGAGGGGCTGCGAGCCGAGCTGCTGCTAACGTTAGCTCAGGTTGTTTCTCTGATAAGTTAAGATCCAGACGTCCGATGACTAAAATCCTTCATCCGGTTCAAATGTGGATGGTAAACAGTCAGTGTGACAGCTTCTGATTATTGATTGAATCAACTACATGTAGAACATTTATAGTCCTGTAATAGATTTCCCTTCCCACTTTTCTGTTATTTAACCTAATTGATATAAATGTTGTGGACAGATGTTACAGGACTTTTGGATTTGGTTAACTTAGTTTTAGCGGCGGTTCTTAATAAACTGGACACTGAGATTGTTTAACCAACAAATCCGCTCTGTTATCTAATGAACTAGTCTGTGTTTCCAACAGTTTGATGGAGATGAAAATAAACACTTGAACAAACATCAGCCTGATAAAAATGACCTTAAATGACAGAAACAATCTTTGGGTTTGAGTTGTTCCATCTGCTAACATGGAGGCTCATGTTTTCAAGAAAGTAATGGATTTATATAATAAGACAATAACTTCAAAGCAGTTAAAACTAAAAAAGTCTTTATATTATATATATATTTATTTTATTATATTTGTATTTATTCTTTATTTACTTGTTTGTATATTTTCTTTGTGCCTATTTAAATCCAACTGGTATCCATTATTTCTATCACTGTATAGATATTGACAAGAAGCAGTAATGTCGCTGATATATATATATATATATATATATGTTCATATTTGAGATCGGACTTTTCATCCTGCTGTGCAGTTAGAGATCTGTCTGACCTTGGAGGTCCTCCTGGACCCTTTGGTTCTGCGGTTGTCCCCCTTGTTGGAGTTTCTTCTGAAGATCAGCCAGGAGCTGAGAGGAGACACTCTGGACAGATCGGAGGACAGCGGCTCCTGGAGGACACAAAACCCAACAGGTCAGTGTGTGTTCTCAAGAGACAATAATCAGGGTTCCCACACATCCTGGAAAACCGAGAAATCTGATTAAAAGGACCAAATATCCTGGCAAAAGTTCACTCAGATTGCCTTCATAGTGTCAGACGATAAACTTTTCTGCATGAGGAAGCCTTTATGTCTGCGTTCAATGTCATTTCCATGGACACAGCGAATAAACAACAGCAACAATAATAATAATAACGAATATGAGGTGTTTGTGGACCAGACACTTTTCCCTGGAGAACTTTACCTTCAACTGTTTTCTTTCTGTTTGAGTTCGCCAACGTGAAGCAACATGCTTTCAGCCGTTTCTATGACAACAGCACAAAGCGATGGAGGCCAGCGTTGTCGGAGCTGTGTGTGTATCGATGGAAACAGATGTGTGGATTTCAACTGTGGTTGAAAGAAGAAGGAGAGCTGAGAGGAAACGTCACGTTACTGAGGAGACGCTCACTTTAACGTTAATGTTATTGTAGTTGTATGGCAGGTAACAGTGTTTGTCTGGAACAGTCACTGTACACTATCATCACTCAGAGTCCCTCTAGAGCTACTCTGAAGTAGGAACCAGAAAAGTTCCTCAAAACCACGTTCTCAGATCTCCAATGTTCCTGCAGTGCAGTCCTCCAACTGGTCTTAGGAATATGAAAATAGTCAGAATCTAACATACATGTAAACAGTCTAATCAATCTAGATATTAACTTGGATATCAAATATGGTCTGAAAACTGAGATCTGAGAACTTTCTGTGTTTCTGCGGTTTGTATTTCCTCCTCACTCAATGTCATCGAGTTCATATTTATTCATTTAATCATCTCACAGGAATCAAATCCATTACCAACACAGTTTAAAGATGTATTTTCTGTCAATCCATTAATCGATTAATGTGTTGGTGTTAGATTGTTCCCACGCATCCTTGAAAACCTGGACATTTAGAGACTAGCTTCCCATACATGGAAACACCTGGAAATTGACTAAAATTACCAAATAACCTGGAAATAATGTGTGTTGTTCTGGAACATTTGAATTTCAGCCCCTCACTCAGATGGCCTGCGTAAACCTGGGTTTATATTCAGAGTGAAACTGTTGGTGGATGACCTGCAGTGTCACACCAGGAATGGAACAGAGTCACAGTGAACTTCTGTGTCGAGTTTATTTGTTACAGTTAGAGGAAAACTGCAGTCAGTTCCACCGAGAGCGCAGCGGAAAAACAGGCTGTGGTGAGAACGGCCAACCTGAGACTGTTAGTGAGCAACTGCTGTCCTGAAAGTGATTCCTGAAAGTGTGGGAACCCCGATTGTTGTATCCTACATTTTTAGATTTGACAGCAGCTTTTCTAAAAGTCTGTGATGCATGTTGCGATGTTTTTAGCATTTATTTTTGCAATAAAGGTTTGTTAGTTAGTTTTAATGAGAGTTTGTTTTTTATAATTCATTAAAAATGGAAGGCGAGAGTAAAATGTCTCTCGCAGTCCCGTGACGTCTCGCTCTGCGTTCTACATGGAGGTCTGCTGTGATTGGTCGGAGGAAACAATCAGAGATTGGTTGAATTTGCACAACTTCCTGGATGGAAACAGCCTGCTTCCAACATATGAATACATTTCACGTTACAGCCCAATAGAAATTGTTGATAATTGATCCAAGAGGTTCAGCGTCTCATTGACTTCCTGTGTATGTGACTCTTACCAGGATCTCAGTGCTGGTGGCCTCCTCCTCCTCCAGGATCTCCTGACTCTCCTCGCTCTCCAGTTCTTCAACGCTCGCTGCCTCCATCGTCATCATCATCATCATCAGTCCCAGGAGCAGAGGGAGCAGCAGCAGCCCTCCTGCCCCACCCGGAGAGCTCCGTCCCTGGGAGAACCTGGCCAGCATGCTGGGTGGGTGTGGTGGATGAAGGCGCTCAGGTCTGTGTCTTTATGGACTTCCCATGATGCACCTCTGTAAGTGTGCTCCTCTTAGGTCAGCTGAACTTTAGTTCTGTCTGCTGTTGAAGGAAACTTTAACACTCTGAGCTCTTCATCTCAACGTTTGTCTCTTCTTCTGCAGTTTTTCTTCTCGTCTTTTTCCGTCTTTTCTTTCAGGTTTTCTTCGTCAGGGAGTCGAAGCTCAGCTGCTGAACCTCCAGACGTAAATACAGCGAGAGGTTTCAAGCAGTGAGTCTGTATGAGGAAAGTTTCTCTCTGTGGGTGGTTGGTGCCTCCTCCTCCTTTTCCACCTCTTCCTCTCTTGTCTTTCAGCGCAGTCCCTCCTTCTCCGTCGAGTGACGGCGTGTTTCTCCTCTGATCCTCTTCAGTTTGGACATCTCTGCTCTGCTCACCCTGTTTTTATCTCCCACCTCCCTGACCCCTCCTCCTCTTCCTTGGCTCCTCCTCCTCCTCTTTTTCCTCCTGTCTTTCTTCTCTCTATCTGTCTGTGGATCTGAAGCTGTCACTTCATCTGTCTGCAGTCTCTTTCTTAATGTCTCCTCAGCGTCCGTCTGTCTCTCTGTTTTATCTCTTCTGCCATCGTTTGTCTTTCTTTGCCTCCAGACTTTGTTTTTCTCCTTCTTTCCTCCTCCTCCTCCTCCTCCTCCTCTCTTCAGCTCTCCAGGGTCCTAACGCAGCAGCTCTGACATATACAATATATACATGTAGTGTATAACACATATTTGTACATATGTTTCAAAAAATAGTAAAACTGGATGTTTTCCATTTACATCCACTATATATTATATATATATATAATTATTTATTTATTTATATATATTTGTGTTTCAGCCGCTCACTCACATTACTGGCTGCGTTTTTTGTTTGAAATTCGACTGTTGGTAGAATAATCTGTGACACTTTCAAGTGGGTTTACCATATGTCCACACCCCCCACAGACATCTCTGGGCATTAAATCTATTTCACAAATGCTGCAGACGGTAACAACTTCAAATAACCTGTTCTTAATGACCACATTTACTTTTGTTGTTATGGCTGATAATTGTTAATTGTAAATGCAACAAACACTTCCAACTTCTGCTTTTAACAGCTAATATGTCAGAAGATGACTTTTCTGAAAAGAACATTTAAATTCTACTAGATTTGAACTGTCTGATAAACACTGACTACCAGTAGCCATTGCTCTCCTGTATTGTTGAGAAAAACTAGAAAACTTGATGATGACATTTGTTGTTGTGGTTGTTAAATACATGCACAATGTTAATTGTAACAATTGGTGAAAGTATTGGAGAAAACAGCCAATGAAAGCAAGCTAACATAGAGAGTGCAAGAAACACCTACTTGTAATGAACCTGAGACACTTCACTGTGAACCTCATTCAGCAAGGACTCAATAATAAGCTTATATGACTGTTTGTGAGCAACTGCTATCTTGTGCTGTCGAGAAAAACTCCTGGAAAACAGTGATAACAGTGTGGTATTTGTGGCACAATTATTTATGGAACTACTTTACTAGTAGTATTAAGTATTATAAGTTTAGCTGTAGCTCTGATGTAGACAGTAAAGACAGTAGAAGTAGTGGTTATATTAATACTTGCAGTATAATTGTTATATAGTATTCATTGTTGTAACAGTATTTATTGGGTGGTGGGTTCAGTGTACTTCTGTCTTCATAATGAATGAATCAACACACACACACACACACACACACACACACACACCCTCAGATAAGGTGGGTGTGGTCTTCAGTCTGACAGGATGATGAAAGTTAGTTTGAATGTTGATCAAACTGCAGCGACCGTTTCCACTGAATCTGACTGGAGCTGATAGACACACACAGACACACACACGTTTCCATCACTTCAGAGGACATCCATTAACCTATAGCATACAGCCTATAATCTAATGATTTACAATGTGGGGACTTGTGTTGTGTCCCCATAAGAAAGGCAAGTCCCCACAAGGTGACTGTGTACACAGATGTCCCCAGAACGCGAGTAAGACAAGTCCCCCAACACACTGTATTGTTACATCACTTGTCGTGTTGTGATGTCAGTGACTGCAGGTCCGCACAAAGTTATTCAGAGCTGCAAGTCTTTTAATACATTTATATTAACATCAAAAACTTCACTTTAGACTTCAAATCTTCATATAAAAAATTATATAAATATTTTGAACATCACGTTGTTTCACTGAGGAAAATACAAAGACACATTGAATGTTTATTTAAAAGCCCCATTTGAGTGTGTGAGCAGCCCCTCCTGCTGGACAGAACAACAAACTGCAGCACTCGAATGTTACATGTTTTATTTTGTTCAAACACACTGAATCTTCTCCAGTTTCTCAGTTCAGCAGAAGAATAAAACAAATGATTGTCGAAAGATCTTGAAGTTTGTCTTAAAAAACATCCCGCTGATTTCAATTTACAGCTAAATTCATTATCATAACTAACAGCGCCACCAGTGGTCATTCATTAAACTGTAGCTAACAGCGCCACCAGTGGTCGTTCAGTGAACTGTAGCTAACAGCGCCTCCAGTGGACGTTCATTAAACTGTAGCTAACAGCGCCACCAGTGGTCGTTCATTAAACTGTAGCTAACAGCGCCACCAGTGGTCGTTCATTAAACTGTAACTAACAGCGCCACCAGTGGTCGTTCATTAAACTGTAACTAACAGCGCCACCAGTGGTCGTTCAGTGAACTGTAGCTAACAGCGCCACCAGTGGTCGTTCATTAAACTGTAACTAACAGCGCCACCAGTGGTCGTTCAGTGAACTGTAGCTAACAGCGCCACCAGTGGTCGTTCAGTGAACTGTAGCTAACAGCGCCACCAGTGGTCGTTCAGTGAACTGTAGCTAACAGCGCCACCAGTGGTCGTTCAGTGAACTGTAGCTAACAGCGCCACCAGTGGTCGTTCAGTGAACTGTAGCTAACAGCGCCACCAGTGGCCGTTCAGTGAACTGTAGCTAACAGCGCCACCAGTGGTCGTTCAGTGAACTGTAACTAACAGCGCCACCAGTGGTCGTTCATTAAACTGTAGCTAACAGCGCCACCAGTGGTCGTTCAGTGAACTGTAACTAACAGCGCCACCAGTGGTCGTTCAGTGAACTGCATCCTGGGCGTCGGCCAACAGAGACAAACACTGAACGCTGTAAAATAACTGACGATCATATTTAGAATAACGTTACTATCTGCAATGTTCCTATATTTTATTTGGACCGTTAGCTCCATGCTAATAACTAGCTCGCTGTTTACAAATCAGCCATCAGCCAACACCACGAAGCAACCAACACCAGACCCACAATGCAACACCAAGATACAGCTGATCAACCTCAGTTAGCTTAGCTACAGTTAGCTAGCTGGATGCCCCTGCCTCGCATCACTCTTGCGAGCTAGCAACCTGATGTCAACCAGCCACGCTGAATAATGCTATCTGGTGCTGACAATGTGACCTGCAAATGGCAAACCAGATCAGCGCCAGGACGTTAGCTAGCCAGCAATTTGTCCATGTTAGCAAGAAAGCTAACGTTATCCAGCTAACAGCCCAATCAGACAATATGTTCCACTAGCTTAGCATTAAAGTTAGCTTTGACTTTGGACTCCATTTATAAGCATATATATGGATGCTTTTATTACACAACATTTAACTTGTTAAGATGACAATATTTGCAGTGAAAGATATTAAACATTTAATTAATGTAAATAAGTGAAACAAAATATTTAATCAGGATGTGAACAAATTTAATGAAAATATAATCTAATTGCAGTAATAAACTGTTAATTAAATTAATTACTGTCGAAGATGACTCAACATGTGATCTGTGACATCACATATAAGAAAACACAATAACAATAACAATAACAATAATCATCAACCACATGAAGAAACATTCATAATAATATTAATGAATGACCCCAAAATATATCTTATTTTATTTTTTAACTTCAGCAGTAGAGATTTAATACACAGAAGAAATAACTGATTAAAATCATCATCTTCAGTCTTTAAAATCTGTGTAATCATTATTGGTAATATAAACAGATTCATACACATCTATGTCATTACTTATTATTTTATATCAAAGGTTTGATTTTAATGTCCAAATAAATAAAACTAAAAAAAAACTTTTATGATGTCTTTTAAATGGACGAGGAGATGGTGGCGCCCCCTGCAGTTAATCTTAAATGCAACATTTTAAAATAATGTTTTTTAAATATGCAAATGACCCCAAATAATGTCATTAAAATAGTTTGTTTAAATTAATAAAATTAAACAAGTTCTATAATTTTAAAGAATAACAATACTGCCCCCTGCAGGACAAAAGAGGCTATTGATTAATGTAATTCTTGAAAATTCTTTAAAATAATGTCACTGACACACACACACACACACACACACACACACACACACACAGACACACACACACACACACACACACACAGACACACCTGTGTGAGGGAGCAGGTTTAAGGCTGCAGGTGTGACAGGTGAATCAGCTCTAAGTCCTGCTAAGAGGATCACACACACACACACACACACAGTAACACACACACACACACACACACACACACACACACACACACACACACAGTAACACACACACACACACACACACACACAGTAACACACACACACACACAGTAACACACACACACACACACACACACACACACACACACACACACACACACACACACACACACACACACACAGTAACACACACACACACACAGTAACACACACACACACACACACACACACACACACACACAGTGTAAGCTGAGCTCTGCGTGCTGAGGATCAGTCGGTGGTTGTGAGTCTGATGTGGTCGATGTGTTGAACAGAGGGATGATGGGAGCTGACAGCGACTTGGTGGGAACGAACCCTGAAAACACGAGTGACCTTTGAACCCGAGAGACACACTGAACCCGGTAAACACGCCTCCACCCAGTCTGTATGTGTGTGTGTGTGTGTGTATGTTAGAGACTGTCAGCAGTGACTGTTCATCTGTAGACCAACCGTGTGTGTGTGTGTGTGTGTGTGTGTGTGTGTGTGTGTGTGTGGGTGTGTGTGTTACTGTGTGTGTGTGTGTGTGTGTGGGTGTGGGTGTGTGTGTGTATGTGTGTTACTGTGTGTGTGTGTGTGTGTGTGTGTGTGTGTGTGTGTGTGTGTGTGTGTCAGGGGTCATGGACGCCGCAGATCCGTCTCCTCTGCGGCATTTCGTCGTGGCGAAGCATTCGATCACCTCCATCTTTGATCAGCTTCTGGAATTTGTGAAGGATGGCTCCGCCTTTGTGGATGGTCAGACACACACACACACACACACACACACACACACACACACACACTGGCTGCAGATTAATGAAGTTGTTTCATTTAAAGCTCCAGTCTGTAGGATTTAGTGCCATCTAGTGGTGTAGCTTCTCCTCCAGAAGGACCCGCTCCCTCTGTAGATAAATTGTCTCATTCTGAGGTAACAAAGCTGATTAAACATTAATATAATTTATATGATAATAATATATATAATAATAATATAAAGAATATTATATTAATGTGACTCACTGGAGCTTAAAGATGTAAAAACTAGTCGTTGAATTTCCTGGTTTCATTTCACAGTCAGAGAGGACCCTGAACACCACACGGTGCCCTCAGGTGCATTATGAGTGTATTTGAAGCAGCAGGCAGGTCCTGATGTTGTTGTTATTGTTGTTGCTTAAGTATTGTTTGCTGTGTGCTGTCAGAGGCGTGGCGGGGTGATGACCTGGCTCAGGTGGCTGTGGAGGAGCAGAGTCTGGAGATGCAGAGCTGTGCCACCAAGCTGTCGACCATCCGAGAGGTTCTGCTCAGGAGACACATGAAGGTGGCGTTCTTTGGCCGGTAAGCAACTTCCTGTTTGCTGCTGCAGCTTTACATCAAGCGGTTGTACATTACTGTAAATAATAATAATACTGCAAACATCATGGTAAATGTCTGTAACTGCACCCTTCAGTCCTGCTCCTCCTGCTCAGCTAATGAGACTGTAGGGGGCGTGGCCTCAACAGTGAGCGCAGTGATTGACGGGCTGACCACAGCAGTGAAGCAGGAACTGAGCGAACTGAGCTAACCAGCCATGAGCAGCTGCTATCTGACTGTGTGTTGGTGCTGGAAACCCAGAGAGTCTGCTGGAGCCTTCACAGCCACTAGAAGCACATTCATGCTGTTTGTAGAAGCTTCTGTGAGCTAATTCTTTCCATCGAGGCTCCGTTTGATCCATGATTCTGTGTGTTATGTTGATAATTGTCTGGACTCTGTGCTGTTTCTGTGTCTGACTTCCTGTCATGTGCTCTCTGACCCTCTCGCCACAAGAGTGACGATAGCCACGCTGCGCTAACGCTTACAGAGCACCATCAAATCTAAAATCTAAAGTTTGGAAGATAAAAAATAAACGTAAAATATTAAAGTCGTTTTTTATAAAATTGAATATCATTTGTTATTTGATATAATTATGTTTCATCTGTTTGATGACTTCAGTTCAAGAATGAAATAATGAAACGTAATGAACGAGGACACAGAGCTTTCTGTCCGGTTCCTCAGGAGGAAGACTTCCTCGCTGTCTGGTTCCTGGAAAGAGTAGGTTGTGGGCTAACTGTGAGAGCGCGTGCAGTAACAGAAGTCTGATTCCTGCTGCTGATAGCTGAAGAAGAACAAACTGTACGCTCAGATAAACGTTTTATCTTCACAAACAGCCAGAAATGATGATGAAATGTTTCAGTGGAAACTGATGATGTAATAACTGTTGCATGATGTAATAAGTGGATGCGGCAGAAAATGTTCTGTTGGATCTTTTTAGCCACATTTCAGTTTGTGACTCAGTGATATTCTCATTTATTCTCATTAGAGCCCCAAAGCCGGTCGGTTTCCATAGTAACACAGACCCAATTAATCAGCACAACAGTTTGAAGAGGAAGCTGCTGTTCACAGTTCCCAGTAACAATAATAATACATTTTCGTAATAACACAATAATCCCAACTCAAACTGGGTTCCCTGCGTCCTGGAAAACCTGGAAATTGAATTGAATTGAATTGAATTAAAATTTATTTGTATAGTGCTAATTCATAACAGAAGTTATCTCAGGACACTTTTCAAATAGAGCAGGTCTAGACCGAACTCTTTATAGCATTATTAGACCCAACAGTACCACCATGAGCAAGACCTTGGTGACAGCAGCAAGGAAAAACTTCCCTTTAAGAGGCAGAAACCTCGGACAGACCCTTCGGCTCTAGTTGGGTGGTCGTCAGCCTGTGGGCACTTTATAAGGAAAAAGCAGGAATAGAGCTTAAGTGTGTGAGCGAGTGCTGTCCTGTACAGAGTGCCAACCCTTCAATGTGCAACCAGCGGTCAGATGTCATCACATCTATTAACCATTAATGAAACCATTAAAGGTGATAGTCCGAGTTAAAGCAGTGAGGTGGACTGGATGTAGACACTGATGTGTGTACGAGGACTCTCAGTTGGTTGCAGCCTGCAGCTTCACCACTAGATGGCGCTGAATCCTAGGAACTTCTGATGTGTGTTGATTACAATGTCTGTGTGTGAACCAGGACCAGCAACGGGAAGAGCACTGTGATCAACGCCATGCTGAGAGACCGGGTGTTACCCAGCGGCATCGGTCACACCACCAACTGCTTCCTGCGAGTGGAAGGAACCGACGGAGACGAGGCGTTCCTCACCACCGAGGCGTCCAATGAGAGAAGAAGTGTCACCGTACGGCGAACAGACTCTCTAATGGAAATGTCTGACTGTTCTGTCCATCAGTCAGCTGACTGCTAATAACTCTTCCTCCTCCTCCTCCTCCTCAGACGGTGAACCAGCTGGCTCATGCTCTCCACATGGATCCGACCCTGGACTCTGGCAGTCTGGTCAAAGTCTTTTGGCCTAAGAGTCGCTGCGCTCTGCTGAGAGACGACCTGGTGCTCATGGACAGGTAACATCCAGGTGGTTCAGTCCATGAACCTGATCCTGGTCCACATTATCAATATGTATGGCTCTCTAGAAGGATGAAAAGTGGAAGACTGCAGCAGTCAGCAGTCCTCTGCTTTAAAATGGGTTCCCTCTAACACAACAGTAAATACACATCCAGATAGACTTTCAAAATAAAGCTTGAAACAGTGACAGTTTGGTTAGGTACAGGGGTCGGCAACCTTTACTATCAAGTAACAACAACAACAATAATAATAACACTAATAACAACAACAATAACAACAATAATATAATAACAACACTAATTAACAACAATAACAACAATAATATAATAATAATATAACAACAATAACAACAATAATATAATAATAATAACACTAATATTAATAACAATAACAACAATAATATAACAACAAGAAACAACAATAATAATATAATAATAACACTCATATTAATAACAATAACAACAACTATAACAACAATAATATAACAACAAGAATAAAAGAGATCCTGCAGCTGTGAATACAAAGATGCTCTGATTGAATGATTGAATATTGTCTCTGATCTTTAACCTCTGACCCAGCCCCGGCACTGATGTCACTCAGGAGTTGGACAGCTGGATCGATAAGTTCTGTCTGGACGCCGATGTCTTCGTTCTGGTGGGGAACGCAGAGTCCACGCTCATGAACACAGTGAGGAAGCGCACATATTGATAATATAGATTATTATTTATAACAATGACTGAATCCTTCATTTCTAATATTTTTCTTTTTCTGTCTGCAGGAGAAACTTTTCTTCCACAAAGTCAGCGAGAGAATATCTAAACCGAATATCTTCATCCTCCACAACCGATGGGACGCTTCAGTGAGCGAACCTGAGTACATCGAGGAGGTCAGAGTGTCTGTCTATGTGTCTGTCTGTCTGTCTGTCTGTCTGTCTGACTAACCTTAGCACTATTGCAGCTGCTTTGGGAGGTTTTTATTGTGAAAAACCTGAATCTGTGTTAACTGAAGATGAGTAATTATTTTCTCTTTTCATCATCATCAATAATTTATTCAGGGACAGTCTGATAGAAAGGGTCAGAGCAGAGAACAACGCTCATTATTTCCCATTTTTGAAACCTAATTTTATATAAATTTGGCAGAATGGTTAATAACATGTTTTCCTTGAGTGTGAGAAACTCAGAAATCATATTTAGTTTTGCTCTACACGGACTTTAATGTGGAATATAGTCATCATCATAACAAACAGTAATTATTTTATACAACTATAAAATATTTGATCTGACTGTGATCTGACTGTGATCTGACTCTCATCAGTCTAAGATGCAGGTGTGTGAAACAGCTGCAGTTAAAGGAACTGGTCGTCCGCTCTGTGTCCCCCTGCTGTCCAGGTGAGGAAGCAGCACCTGGACCGCTGTGTGAGCTTCCTGGCCGAGGAGCTAAACGTGGTCGGTCTGGACGAGGCTCCGGGGAGGATCTTCTTTGTCTCGGCCAAAGAGGTCCTGACCTCCAGGATGCAGCGAGCGCAGGGCATGCCAGAGACAGGTGAGCCAGGTGAGGGAGAGCAGGAGGAGGAACCTCCTTTCACTGCACAGAAGTTCCTGATGTTGGAGACGTTGATATTTACAGTAAATCATCCGTCATGTTCTCTGCCTGCATACGAATGGGAAATCTCCAGTTTCTTTAATTGTCCTGTTATTTGTTATAAAACATCCTGAATATCCATCATATAAATATATAATATATATTATAAAAATATAAACCATTATAATGGTCCTTATTGTTCATATCATTTGTCATTAATGCTTCAACAGTCGACTCTTAGATTTCAGAGTGTCCCTGAACGCACCGTATGAACACTGATGAGTTCACTGCAGCTGAAGCCTCCTGTCAAACAAGCAATCAGGCAAAAGTGAATGAACTGGCCCCAGTTGGGATAATCAGTTCATTGATTTCAGAACTTTTCTGTCATCAGATCGCTCTGGTTGGACAAAACTTTCTGATGTCTCACAGACTAACTGATTCACTGATTTATCAATAAAATACCTGTCAGATGAATCTATACGGGAAGAGGTTCCCAGTGCTCCAGCTGGTATCAGTCAGCTGATTCTGGACCCGCAGACTCAGACCTGTGTCCTCCTGCAGGTGGCGCTCTGGCTGAAGGTTTCCACGAGAGACTGAGAGAGTTCCAGATGTTTGAGAGGACGTTTGAGGTATGAACAAACACGGCTTCATTTCTGTGATTCTGAGTTTGGACAGGAACCCTGAGTGTGGATGACCTTTGACCCTGCAGGAGTTCATCTCTCAGTCCGCAGTGAAGACGAAGTTTGAGCAGCACACGGTGAGAGCGTGGCAGATCACCGAGGCCATCAAGGCTGTGATGGACGCCATCAACATCGCCTCTGCAGACAGGAAGTCAGGAAACTCACTTCCTCTTTCACTCATCCCAGAAAGTGTTGTTTTTCTAGAGTCCCAGAGTGTCTCTGACCTCTGACCTCTGACCTCTGACAGGATCTTCTGCCTGGAGGAGCGCGAGGATCAGAGGGACCGGCTGGATTTTGTTCGAGGACAGATTAACCGTCTGACTGACAACGTCAAAGAGCGGATCAGGACGCTGACGGATGATGTCGCTGCCAAGGTGAAGAAATCCTCCACTTCATGACGGCCCATATGTCTGTATTCATATACAGTGTGTGTGTGTGTGATCAATAATAACAACAACAAAGGGCGTGGACAGCTTTACACTGTACAATGTGTCCGTGTCAACAACAAACAACCTCAGTGTTTAAATAACTAGTAAATAATATATGTTTTTATACTGTAAAACTAATGTGTTCCTGTATTCTAATGCAAAACCGCTGAATATGGAGACTTTAGTTTTTTTAATATATTTATATAAATATAATCCTTACGGAAGCGTATTGCATTTATTGTTGTTCATCATGGACATACAGTATCAGCTGGTTGTTGTTGTTGTTGTTGTTCTTCTTCTTCTTCTTCTTTGTTGTTGTTGTTGTTGTTGTTGTTGCATAGACATACAGTCACAGCTGGTTGTTTTTTTGTCATCAGGTGGCGACGGCTCTGTCAGATCAGATCCGGTCTCTTCCTGTTCTGGTGGATGAGTTCAGAGCCGATTTCAACCCGACGCAAGAAACTCTGGAGCTCTACAAAACTGTGAGTACTGCAGTAAAACTGTGAGTACTGCAGTAAAACTGTGAGTACTGCAGTAAAACTGAGAGTACTGCAGTAAAACTGAGAGTACTGCAGTAAAACTCCTGTCACTGATAAAGTACAATGTTAACATTCACACTCAGCCTAGTTTAGCTCCAATCTGAACACAAGATTTCTCTCAGTGTTGTACTGTTCCTTTAAACTCTTGCTCTGCGTGACCTCACCTGGACACACCTGACTAACCCTTATAAAACACACACGCACACACACACACACACACACACACACACACACACACACACACACACACAGACTTAATCTGAATGTTGCTTCAGAGGAACTCATTAAGCTGCTTTACTTCCAATCCAGTTTACAGCACCAACAGTGTGAGTTGATGTGTTTTTGCCCTGGGTTTTGCCTGTCAGACAGGATGTCTTCACTCTGATTGGTAGAGGACTTGCAGACAGTACTCAGGGATGAGAACAGTACTGTACTTTTATAGTACCTCAATGTAAAATCAGTGTATAAGAGCTTTTTACCCCATATGGAGTTGAAACAAGAAATGTTGGTGTTCACATTTAAGCCAACAGCCACATTAATACAATTTGGGTACAATACGCAGCCAGCGGAGGTCACATAAAGCGAGTTGAGCTGCTCTCATTGAATGCTTTTGGTTTGGAAACAATGGCGGCTCGCCTGCTCACACAGGATCTGGTATTCCAGATAAACTAAAATGTGTTTGTGAACAGATTTGAGGAGAGAAATAGTCAGAATCTGGATCACCGCTGTTTATCCTGCTGTCCTGAATTGTCAAGAAAATGTCCTGGAGAACAATTATTACCAGAGCTGTCTGGTTGTTTTCTCTGTTCAGAAGCTGCTGCAGCACGTGGAGGAGCGGATGGTCGGCTGTTTGGCTCATCGCTGCTCCGTCAGCGTCCTCAGAGACATCAGAGACGCTCAGAGACACATGATCGGTACAATGTCTCACTTTGTTCACGTGTTTGATTGCAAACAGCCGATGACGTGATGGTGGTTTGTGTCCTCTGTCCTCAGACAGTGTCCGTCCTCTGCTGTCTCTGTCCGTCCAGGAGCAGCTCTTTGCTCCCTCTGCCTCCTTCGAGTTGACCTACGACCTCGGCCTCGCCGCCATCTGCGATGATTTCCGTGAAAACATTGAGTTCCAGTTTTCTCTGGGCTGGACCGCCCTGGTCACCCGCTTCATTGGAGCCACCAACGCCAAGCGAGCACTGAGCAGCTCCAACCCACAACTGCAGGTGTTTACATCACGTTCTTCATGTAACTAATGTTTTATCTTCTGTTAATTATTCAGCAGCTCATTCAAACATTCTTCTTCTCTCTGAAGGAAAGCCCCTCCTTTAAGGATGAGATGGTGGTTTCCATAGCGACTGGCCTGGTCTCCGTCACCTCCCGGGCGTCCATGACAGTGCTGGTGATCGGTGGAGTGGTACGCCAATATTGATTTATCAGTTTTATCTCAGTTCAGGGTGACAGAGAGAAGTGAGACAGCAGAGGATGGATGTTAACCTTGTGAACAGGCATCAGTACTAGTTGATTAACCCTCAAGGTCCACTTCCAGCTTCTTCTAGAGCTTTAAGGTTTATCAGTGGAGTTAAAGATTAGTTTGTCAAAAGCCACAAACTAATAATCAATTATCAAAGTTGTTTCGATTTGATCAACTAATCTATTGAAGCTCTCTGTAGAGCTTGTTTCCATTCAGTGTTTCTCACTGACCAATCAGTGCTTGAATCCTGCATTGTTTACATCTGTATCTCAACAGGTAGAATACTGTTCCGTATCACCGCTAGTGGTCAGAAACTCTAAAGACGACCTTAAACTGGAGAATTCACTTCAATTCAGTTTTATTTGTATAGCACCAAATCATAACAGAAGTAATCTCAGGACACTTTTCAAATAGAGCAGGTCTAGACCGAACTCTTTAAAACATTATTTACAGAGACCCAACAGTACCACCATGAGCAAGACCTTGGAGACAGCGGCAAGGAAAAACTTCCTTTCACTTTCACAGAATCACTTCAATGTCTTTACGGACGGATGCATGAAGGAAACTGTGCTTCTGAAAATGAACAATGAAATGAATCAATTGTATTGTTCTATGACAAACATAAGGAGGAACAGTGAATAAACTCTAGAGCTATGTTCTTTATGGAGCTGATTCAATCAATAATCTATAATCAGAAGCTGTCATACATTGACTGTTTATCCACTTTGAAGCCACATCTACCATCCACTGTTTAGTCGTCCACTGTGGGAGAAGCAGTCATTTTTAAGGTGGAACTGCTTTATTCAGTGTTAATACTGGTTTTAATCAGGGGGTCCTTTCCACCTTCATTGTGTCTGTGCCTGGTTAAAGCTCAGGTGTCTCTCAGGTGTTTCAGGTGTCTCAGGTGTGTCTGTGTGCTGCAGGTGTGGCGTTCGGTGGGCTGGCGTCTCATCGCACTCTCGCTCTCCCTGTACGGTCTCCTCTACCTGTATGAGAAACTCACCTGGACCAACGCCAGCAGAGAGCGCGCTCTGAAGCGGCAGTTTGTGGAGCACGTCGCCCACCGCCTGAGAGCTGTCATCCCTATCAGCAGCTCCGCCTGCAGCCAGCAGGTGAACAAGTAAGACCCCGCCCCCCTTCCTCGGCGCAGTCTCTGAACACCTGGCGCAGTCTGAAACTCACCTGCTGTGTTTGTGTTTGAGGGAGCTGACGTCCACGTTCAGCCGTCTGTCCCAGAGAGTGGACCTGAGTGAGGCTGAGCTGGAGGGAAACATCCGACAGCTGAGCTTCAGGATCCAGAGGCTGGAGAATATCCAGAGGAGGTCCAAGGCCTTCAGGTCAGAGGTCACAGTCTCACTGAGGGGCTAGGCTAACAACTTTCCCCTGTTTCCAGTCTCTGTGCTAAGCTAGGCTAACAGAAGTGTCACAGGATCTTATTTTATGTGCTGATGTTGTTGGCAGGTTGCCAATGACAGTTATTGATTGATTGTCAATAATGTGGGTGTGACTGAAGCACATTACACCCAGCAGGCAATATTCCCCCTTTAATCCCTAACCCTTCCAACAGCAGTGAGCCAAAAATAATAATAATAACAATTAATGACAATAAACGGATCAATAGGATGCTGGAATAATGACATCAGGATGGAGATCTCATAATGTCTGTGGGCTCACGCTGTCTGTCTGTCTCTCTGCTCCTTCCCACAATTACCACTTCACAGGAAAAGATTTTAAAGTTCTGACCTGTCTGTGTTTTCAGGAACAGAGCCACAGAGCTGGAGACTCAGCTGGAGGCCTTCTCTGTTCAGTACCTGCAGGGAAACTGAAGAGGACTGAGGTCTGTTGGTGGACAGCGCCCCTCGCTGGTGGACTGTATTGTTTCCTCCTCGCAGCAGATACAGGAAGCAGGGTTGATACTGCAGTTATCAGTTGTAGCAGTGTTTAGTGCTGATTTGACATCTACATTGTAGATAAAGGATCAATCAGTGATCTGTCAGAGTGGAGCTGCCCCTTGCTGGCCGTCAGAGAGAATGCAGGTTGAATTCAAGCTCCACCTCAGCTGTATCACAGTCTTCCTCAGCGATGCAGTCGTCATGAAGACTCCGTAGCTAATGATGACTGTATTTTAGAATCTTTTACTAATGAATGAATGATTAAAACAGATTAGATCATCAGTTCACTTGTCTATATCCGATTAGTTCAAGTTTATATGTGAGCTGTTTAATGAGCCGATCACACAGAGACATTTAAATAGTGTTTATCCTGCGTACGGCACGCCCAGTGGGCTCCGCTCACGGACGGAGGAGAGGGAAAGTGACTCATCTAGAGCTCAACGTCGGCTTCAATACAGTTTCGATCTGAATCATTTGATCATGCGGTTGCGCGCTCAGACGCACTTTGGTGTTTCTTAAGTGGTTGCGCCTGTAGAGGGACTGACAGGAAATATCACTAAAATATTATCTCTGGTGATATTTTGGATTCTCAGAAACACTGAATCAATTTTTTGGTTTAAACCCTCAACAGCTGATAGCAGTGTTGTAAACTGATCAATATAAATGCAAATCTGAGATCACACACTGTTCTGGTTGCATAACAAATCTTTAAAATGAGAATACATCAGCGTGTTTACAGTATCGCGATATTGAATGTAACCTCTGTATTGAGGTACGTATTGTACTGGTCGTGATACGTTTCTGTGTGACCGGCCGCTAACTGATAAGATGGACTCTGTAAGCATGCATCATTAATCAATATATCTGTGGCTTATTGATCATGTGATGAGAACTGAGGTAAATTATGTTTGTATTCATGTTATTTTGTCATTAAAGTCCCCACAAGGAGCTTTCATTTTGTGTTGATTCTGGCGCCTCCTTTAGTCCAAAGAGTTTCTAGCAGCGGTGGACTAATTATTGATTATAAGTAATCAAATACTCAAGTACTGTCAGCAAAGGAAAGGATGAGACGTTTTTCAGGTTCTGCATCAGCTGTTTAATTTCTAAAATATCAGTTTACATGTGATTATTGTCTGTACATTGATCATTTACACAAACATAAAGATATGAAGGATTCATTCGAAGCTGCAGAGGGAAGATTCACAAGCTGATTGATCAACCAATCAACCAATCACCTGAAGGAAAACCTTTAATACATACAGAATATTTCACTATCACTGCTCAGTTTAAAACTTAATATCTCTCAGATCACTTTATTATTCCAAGATTTAAAAGCTGCTGTTTTTCAGCTGTGGTCCAGAATGAAATTACATTTAAGATGAAAATGAAAAAATAACCACACAAACATTAAAACAACCTAAATTACCTCAATCTGGTAGATTTTAGTCGACCCTGAATTTGAACACTTGAGACGTGGCCGTTGGTTCAATGTGGAGCAGATGTGTAAAACCATTAATCAATAATCTCTCCCAACGATCAATCCCTCCAGGATTTCAGACTTTGGGGATTGTTACAAATTTCCAGCAGCTTTTCTAAAAAATCATATGCATGTTGTGATGTTTGTAGGTATTTCTTTGCGATAAAATTTTGGAATATAGCAAAAATAACTGCGATTTCTTTCTTTTTGCATAATTCATTGAAACCCGAACTTAACTGGTTCCAGTGAGAATGAAACAGTTCAGCTCAACGTTTCCCTGCTGTGATCAGCAAAACCTGCAGGAGAATCGGCTGAATTTGTGCTAATTGTTGCGATCGCCACTTCCTGTAGGGACTGACAGTCAACACATAAATAAATAAATAACTGTAACGGTGAAAACACGACACTGGAACTAAAATATGTGGCGGCGGAGTGGATCTGCTCGTCAGGTAAAGGAAAATGTTGGTTTTCCTTCAAACATTTGGAAACATTATTTGTGAATCTTCCCTTTAAACACTGAAGCTTCAGCAGCAACGTGAATGGAGAGTTAAACACCAAAATAACGAAACATCATGGCCAACATGTTCCAGATGTTTCCCCTGAGAACATTCAGCTGTCTTTAAAGGTCCAGTGTGTGGGATTCAGCGCCACCGGGTTACAGACTGTAACCAACTGAATACAGCTCAGCCTTTAAAGCATGTGCACAGAGCGGCAGCAGGAGGAGAGCTGGACTTCTTGAAGTTCACTGATTGTTCACTGATCAATAATTATTTCTGTTTGCATAAGGGAGCAGTTTCTATCACTAAACTGATATCTGTATTTACAGTGTATTTTATATTGATCAGAATCAATAACAGCAGAGAACAGCTGATCAACTGATCAATGAACCCAAACAGTGAACTCAATAACTGCAGGAGGTTTGATTATTTCCTGTGAATATTGATCAGAGATGAGTTTTCCTGATATATTGATCCATTCTCTGTCTGTATTCTGTTTTTATCATTTTAACAATCAGACTTAATATTCTTCTTTCTGACGGATTCTCTGTTTATTCTCATTGATCTATCAGCTGTTTGCTTGGATGACTGAAGCTCATATAAGTACATATATGTGATCAATTATTTTATATATGTGATCAATAATAATAATATCATCTGTGATCACATCTTTAGTTATAATATACATTTAAAACTAAAGATTTCACAGTTTTCACAGATATGAACCAAATACTGAGATATAGGTACCGTTTGATGTCATCATAGCGGGATGGATACGTTAGTGTAAATGAGCAGCAGAAGGTAGTTCAGCCTGTAGTTCATAGTCTTGTACTGTATGTGTGTACTGAATATAAGTAACAGTAAGTTTATGCAGATTAATCCTTTTGTCCGTTCTGGGCTACTGTAGAAACATGGCGGATGAATATTATATTCCAGTAATGTGACACACTGGAGCTTTAAAGTCTGAGTTCTCAGCAGTCGAGTGAAGCTTTTTTAAACAAAACAAACCTGCAACAAATCGTTGTTAAAAATACAGAATAAATATTGATTAACAGGAATACATGAGATATAGTTCTGACTACGTTTGATATGAAGGCTAAAATGTGAATATCTGATGCTGTATAAATAGACTGTGTGTGTGTTTTGTGCATTGAGCAGAGAAACTGCTGCAGCTTTGAATTGTTGTCGGATCAAACTGAAGCCGGAAGATTCACCTGAGAGCCAACGACAGGAAGGAAGTGAGGGGAACAGACGCCAGAATAAAACAACAGACAATCAACAACCTGGGTGAGCTGAGAGAGAGACCTGAGAGCAGGCAGCAACAGAACAATGAACCGCTGAGAGTTTGACATTGTGGACATTTATGGCTTTAAAGGTTTAAAGGGAAGAAAGACAGAAAGAAACCAGAGAGAAAGAGACTGTGTCAGTGCTTCAGGTGGAGGTGGTTTGATTTTTACAGTCACAGCAGTGAGAACTCTTCCTCCTCCTCCTCGTTGTCACCATCACTGACATCCCTGAGCTCCATTCTCATCCAAAACATTTAGATTTAGAACCAGCTATTCTCCATATACAGAGTCACATGGTGTCTCTCTCCCTCTGCCTGTCTCTCTCCCTCTGCCTGTGTTGTATCGCAGCCTCTCTGTGGTTTGTTTCCATAGCCGGTCTGCTCCGACTGAAACTGCTGTTTTTATCATCTACGTCGGTGAATTAAGGATTTATTTCCACCAAACCAGAGTTGGTGGTTGTTGGAAACACTAACAGAGACGCTTTTAATCAGTTTGATTCTGTTTCTGTTCACTTTAATGAAGTTACGATGATCTGAAGGTAAAATGAGTGTTTTTGTCTCTGGAGTCTGGTGGAGAGAGATAGTGATATTACGGCTGTTTGTGGTTAAACTAAAGGTCTATCTCTGTAGGGATCCTTTCCATAATGCTGTCAGACACTGACAATAACAACCTGAGTCTGTCAGTGGCAGAAACTACTACTGTTAGTTTGTCCCAAGGACTAGCGTTAGCTTAAGTTGCAGCCATCTTTACAAAACATTTTACTTCCATGTCGGTGAACTAAGGATTTATTTCCACCAAACCAGAGTTGGTGATTGTTGGAATATAATATACATGAATATAAAGACATTTAGGATGCAGGAAGGTTTCAGACTGAAGGAGGCTGTCAGTCAGTGTCAGAGGTCAGTGAGAAGAGAAGCAGCAGGTTCGTCACTTTTACAGGTCAAACAGGAAACTGAATCCAATCAAATAATCACTGAATCCACTAAATATGAGACGGTACATTCAATATAACGCAATATAACACAGCATTTCATCCAAATTCAACACTTCCTGCAGATGTTTCACAATAAAAGCCAACCAGGAAGGTTTTTAGTGTCAAACATTTGTGCAGGAAGTGTTGACGTTCATTGGTGGGAGCTTAAAGCGATAGTTGAGGTTTTATGATGTGGGTTTGTACTTAGATATGCTACGTGCTAGGCTAATCTGTTTTGAAAAGACAACCACATTTTGAAGATGGTTAAAAAATAAAAGAGACACATATATAGTCACATCTTAACTTAGCTAATGTATGCAAAACACTAGCTAACTACCTAGCTAATCTACATGAAATGGTTGCCAACTAGTTATATCTGATAGCTAGTGTTAGCAAAATGTTAGCTAATAACCTAGCTTATGATACACCCTTAAGATTATTGTTTTGTTTGTTTTCTTTTCAGATATTTTTTTGTTGAAGAATTGAATTTGTTTTTATATTATTTTATTATAGAAAGTAAATGTAATGTTTGGTAAACTTATTTTGTTTTCAACATAGACGAACTGTGAACTTAGATGCTGTGTGCTAGGCTAGAATACGTTAAGCTAATCTACATCAGTCGTTAGCTAGTTACATCTGACAGCTAATGTTGGTAAAATGCTAGCCTAGGATTGATGTAGATTAGTTTAGGAACCCCACATTAAAAAACCTGAAATATGCCTTTAACAGTGACCGGAAAAACAGCAAAGTGACAAAAAAAAAATGGGTCGATGACATTTCAATGAGAAGAAGTGCGACGCGACTGTGTTGTTGTGGAAATAAACATTATGCTGAGTACAAAGACAACATGTGAATAAAGATGGAGGAAGAGTTTGTACCAACACTAAAATACGATCCAATATAAAAGAGAGAAACTAGAAAATAAAGAACCTTTAAAGAGCAACTGAACAGCGTCCAGTGGTTGAACTCAGTGATGTAAGATGTACTCCAGGTACACTGTGACATCACTGGTGGGTGTGACTACAGGAGCTGTTCAGTTTCTCTTTAAATTAAGACTTTATAAACTCATATTCTTCATGGCTTTAAGGCCTAATCTTGAAAAGTGAACTGAAGACAATTGAGGACTTTTTCAGGAGGCGTCAGCGCCCCGAACGTCTCGCCATCAGCGTTACAAACAGGAAGTGTTCCTACAGGAAGCTAAAGGGTTGTGCTGTTCTATTGCTTTCCACCGTTGCTCTTTGGTTTCAAACCAAACCAACTGTCCCGTCCGTCTCCGCCATCACACATCGCCCACGTCGAAGGCCCTCATCAGCAGGTCCAGGTCCCCGACGTTGGCAGCCTGGAACAGCTCGGGTCGGTCCATCATGGAGATGGCGATTCGCAGGGCGGCCCAGATGTTAGCCGACATCTGCTGGTGGCTGCAGCGCTGACTCCGCCTCTGCTGGTTCAGAGCCGTCAGGAAGTTACTGACCGCCTCCCTGCAGGATCAAATCAGGACCACATCAGATCTACTGTAAGCATTCATGTAAGGATTCGGAAAGATTTAAGAACAAAACTCGATGGTTCAGACCATCAGGAAAAGACCTTGCAGGACAGTTGTACTTCTAGCTCTCTTCTGGTTCTTCTTCGGGTTCTATTTAAAGGACGTGTGTGAAGGATTTAGTGACATCTAGTGGTGTAGATGCAGATTGCAACATACTCGTTTCACCACAGATTCCTATCAAAGCCTTTACATTAATTAGGGATGTGTATCTGCCCCTTAAGGAGGATCTGATACGTATCCAGATAGCTGGGCTACGATACGATTCACAGACAATATGATTCAATGCAATCTGAATGACAATTCTATAAAAGTCATATATACATATATTTAAATCAGTGAATCCCAAGTACTTGTTTCTTTATAGGATAAAACTGAAGACAAATGTCTGATTTCAGTGTTACAGTCATTGTGTTGGTTGCTTTTCCAACAGACAGACAGACAGACAGACTTCCTGCAGTGATTACCTCCTCCAACCTCGCCCAGTTGCGGTTGGACAGTGTTTAATATCTTGCATATTGTTGCTTGTACTAGCTGTGTTAGCATCCACAGACTCCTCGTCACTTGAACAGGTGTCACTGTGCTGTCTCTCCATTGTGGACTTAACTGCTGCCCTACAGATCTTACAGATGGACTGACTATTGTCCAACATTCCTTCTTATAGAATCCAAATGTCTTCCAAACTTTGGATTTTAGATTTGTTGGTGCTCTGGAAATGTTAGCACAGCAGGGCTTGCCGACAACACCATTAACATTCACATCTTACACCCCTCAAATGAACCCTGAAGTTACTCCATCATTTTACTTTTCATACAACAGCTAGTTGTTAATTTCTCCAAGAAATATCAGGTGCAGACTGGCTCCACCAGGTCAGTGTTACCTGTGAGCTCCTAGGTTGATGCAGCTGATCCCCAGGTTGTACCTGGACCGGATGAATCCGGGCTGCAGCTCCAGGGCTCTGGTGTATGCCTCTACCGCCTCCTCGCTGCGGTCTCCGTTCGCCAACGTGGCACCCAGACGGTTCCACAGCAGGTAGTCCTGAACACACAGGAAGTTTACAGTCATTTACAGGCAACAGAAAGTTTCCAACCACCCGGTTCCCTTTGAGTCTCAGACCTAAACCTCCAACAGCTGCATGTCCCAGTCTCAATAAAATGAACCTCCTGCTTGTTGGGCTAATTTGACCAAACAGACATTTCCTGTATATTACGTTTGTTTCAGCTAAATAAAGTCTTGGGAGTTTCTGTCTCCAGTGTTTGGTGCTTAAGGGCAGTCTTCACCTGAGTTACTGAATGAGCTGTCTGTATTCTGCTATTTTCCGTCCTCTCTACAATAATTGATTACATTCATTAATTACTCTTCTTGGCTTTTTGTTTGTGAGCCTTTTGTTGCACTTGCAGTTGAGTGAGGTTGTGTCTGCTCTCTACCGCTGTCTTTGCTCTCTCGCACAGAGCTCAGAGTGGAGGACAGAGACAGCGGAGAGCTGATGATGGTTGTGTGATAGCTAACGTAAAAGAGAGATCAGATTGGTTCAATATAGCACATATAGTCACTACTATTAGTGTAGTTGTTGCTACTGTTGTTGCTGTGCACCTCTGTCTGTCTGTCTTTCTCTTTCTCTCTCTCTCACCCCAACTGGTCGAGACAGACGACCACCCACCTAGAGCCGGAGGATCTGTCCTAGGTTTCTGCCTTTTAACAGGCAGTTTTTCCTTGCCCTTGTCTCCAAGTGCTTGCTCATGGTGGTACTGTTGGGTCTCTGTAAATAATGTTATAAAGAGTTCGGTCTAGACCTGCTCTATTTGAAAAGTGTCCTGAGATTACTTCTGTTATGAATTGGTGCTATACAAATAAAATTAACTGAATTGAATATGAGTAAAGTAGTGTACAGAGAGAGAGAGCTAGAGTTGTCCACAGTGAATCAGGGAGCCGACTGCAAAATGTAAAGCTGGAAACACGTCTAACTTTCAGGTAATTAATTAGCTAGTTGATTACAGTTTTGGTTGACAGACAGACAGACAGACAGACAGACAGTGTCCCTTATGTTATTATTGGTTATGGGGACTGTCACTCTGAATCTTTATCAGGATTTCTGTGAAAAATGAGTGTAATTGTTATATCCTGGTTAGGTTTGCTCTCCTGATTTAGGCTCTGATGTCTGGAGGTGTACTGATCAACTTAACATTAGTATTATGATTATTAATGATTAATGATTATTACGTTGTGTTATGTGAGATATTTTAGTCTGTCCGAACCCTCAGCATGAAACCAATAGTATGTGAATATCAGACTGATTTCAGTTAAATATTACAGTGTACATATATATATTGCAACTTATATAATTGAATTATATAATGTTTATTATAATTATAATATAAATTTTTATTATTAAAGACAGCATAAAGTAAAGAAAAAAGGTACCCATATTAAATCCCACGTACTGGTTCAAATGTGAACGTACTTAACCTTCCATATTTAATCTTGTGTACTACTGTGTGTGTGTGTGTGTGTTACTTGTGAGTGTGTGTGTGTGTGTGTGTGTGTGTTACCTGTGGTCTGACAGACAGCGCTGCAGTAAAAGCCTCCACAGCTTTGTTGAAGTCTGAGCTGAGGTTGAAGAGGACTCCCAGTCCAGTCTGCAGGTCTGGATCCACACAGTCCAGATTCAACAGAGCCGCATCCTGAAAGAGCAGCAGCACATCCTGAAGCTCACACCTGCACACACACACACACACACACACACACACACACACACACACACAAACACACACACACACACACACACACACACACACACACAAAACTTAAAACTTCCACTACAACTCCCAGAAGTCATTGCTGTAAGAACATCCAATCAGAGAGCTTCAGACAGTGACATTCTCATTATGGCAGCCACTGGAAGCTGCAGTGGTCAGATGTACGTTTCCTACCTGCCGCCTGTGTGCGGGCCCCTGCGAGGCGTGGCCGGGGAGCCCTGTAGCGGGCTCCTGCGGTCCAGGACCAGGTGTTTGTATCGGGGGTTGTGGCAGATCCAGCGGCGCAGAGCGTCACAGGCCTCCGGCTGCATGCCACTGTTGGTGAAGCTGACGGCGAGCGCCATGAGAGCCGGCAGGTTGTTGGGGCGGAGCTCCAGACATCTGCAGCAGGTGACACAGGTTAGCTTCAGGTTAGCTTCTCTCCGCTTGCAATTCAATCCAATTTTATTTGTATAGCGCCAATTCATAACAGAAGTTATCTCAGGACACTTTTCAAATAGAGCAGGTCTAGACCGAACTCTTTAAAACATTAATTACAGAGACCCAACAGTACCACCATGAGCAAGACCTTGGCGACAAGGGCAAGGAAAAACTGCCTGTTAAAAGGCAGAAACCTAGGACAGATCCTTCAGCTCTAGGTGGGTGGTCGTCTGTCTCGACCAGTTGGGGAGAGGGAGAGAGAGAGAGAGAGAGAGAGAGAGAGACAGACAGACAGACAGACAGACAGAGGTGCACAGCAACAACAGTAGCAACAACTACATTTATAGTAGTGACTGTAGTAGCACAGGTAACAACAGGACTGATCAACACTGTGTGCTGTTTGATCTTGTTACGATTGGCAGGAAGTTGATCAGTTTGTTCTGGAACGGAATCGATAAACGATACTGACAGATTCATTAATACCAGTAACACATTAAAATAATCTGAATATTAAAGTCAGTGACAGTCTGACCTCTGCAGGGACACGATGGCGGCTTGCTCGTTCTCGTTCTCAGCCTGAGTCATTCCTAAAAGCTGCCAGGCCTGAAAACACACGAATAAGAGTCAGTCCAACAGCTCACGTCACAACAGCTGCTTCAACGTCACACAGGTGAGTCACACAGGTGAGTCACACAGGTGAGTCGCACACTGATGGGTTTTTTTTTTTTATGAAATTCTGGGAGAAAGAGAAAACTGTAAAAAAAAAAAAATTGTTAAAAATCAACTTGTTCAACATTACCAGTTTGAGTTTGGTGACGTACAGCTCAATGTTTATGCAGGAAACTACAATTATTGGTCAAATTTTCAGAAAAGTTCCAACAACTTTTCTGACCTTAAGAAGACATATTAACTCGTATACAGGTTCACCTCAGAGTCCTGCGGGTCCTGTAAGATGGCGGCTTCCAGCAGCAGCACGGCAGCATTCAGGTCTCCCTCCCGAGCTTTCTCCTGACCCTCAGCGAAGGCATTGGGCCAGTCTCTATACGGGTTGTTGGTGTTGAAGTAGTAACCCTGAACGAAACGAACCACATTAATGAGTTAAAGATGTTTAGTTTACTATAATGTTAAGAGAAAGAAAATCAGCAAATCCTCAGTGAGAAGCTGAAAGTATCAAATGTTTACATGTAAACATAGTCATTATAATAGTTTATTTTATAAAACAACTAATTGTCTCAGTTCCAAAATTATTATTACGCAGAGGATACCCTGCTTTACATTTGTCTGTCACTGAGGCTGTGTTCACACTGCAGGCACAAATGACTCAAATCAGATTCTTTTTTGCTCATATGTGACTCAATCTGTTTTTCAGACAGTGTGAATAGAATAAATCACAGCTACAGGTCTTCTTGCACCTCAGTGTCAGAATTCATTCTTAGCTTTCCAAAAAAAATCAATTCACTTCAATAGTTCACATAGTAGAACTTCAGAAGCAGATCCACCATTCACTATTTCACACATTCATATTAAACACAGAGTTAGGATTTAGTTGCATCTAGTGGTGTAGTAGAAGATCCCTCTTTCACTTTCTCCTTCCAAGCGCAAAGGAGAAACTATGGTGGCTGTGAAAACTAGATCCAGTGTTTGGACACCATAGACGACGACCTGATCCCTCCGTAGATAAACATGTCTCTTTCTACGGTAACAAATACAAAACAATTCTTATTTTCAGCTGATTATAAACTAATGAAAACATACCTTTGAATATTGTATTAATGTTACACACTGGACCTTTAATGAAAAATAACCACTTCAAAGTGGACAGAACCAGAATCAAACTCATTAAAACCGTCTCTGTTAATTCAATTCAATTCAATTCAATTTTATTTGTATAACGCCAATTCATAACAGAAGTTATCCCAGGACACTTTCCAAATAGAGCAGGTCTAGACGGAACTCTTTATAACATTATAAATTAACTACCGGGGGAACTACCGGGGGATCTACCGGGGGAACTACCGGGGGAACTACCGGAGGAACTACCGGAGGACGGCTAACAGAAGCTACCTTCGGTCGGACCGCACCGGCTACTGGGGGCTGGCTAACTATAGCGGCTAAAGATATCTCTGTGGTGCGGTACTGTTCCTCTAACTCACTAAGCCTCGCCTCCAGCGCAGTAAATAAACTACACTTAATACAAGAACCATTATCATTAAAGGAGGCAGAGGAATAACTGAACATCTGACACACTGAGCAGGACAGAGCAGAGGGAGAGGGAGAAGCCATAGCTAACTGCTAATGCTAATGTAGCTAGCGTCAGTGAAACCTTTTGAAAATAGCAAAAAATCGCTAAAAGAAGGAAGTAGCTCCATGTAGCTAGTGTTTCCAGCACCCACCAACTCTGGTTTGGTGGAAATAAATCCTTAATTCACCGACGTAGATGATAAAAACAGCAGTTTCAGTCGGAGCAGACCGGCTATGGAAACAAACCACAGAGAGGCTGCGATACAACACAGGCAGAGGGAGAGAGACACCATGTGACTCTGTGTCTTTATATAGAGAATATCTGTCACATATATAACCATTAAGTTACTGTCAAAGAAACTCAAAACTTCCTGTACAAATTTCACATTAAAAGCCTACTAGAAATGGGAGGGGTTTGAGCTGCTGAAAGGCTTTTAATGTGAAATATGTACAGGAAGTGTTGAATTTCAAGCGGAGAGGAAGAACAGATGACGTGTTGGACACGTGTGAACAGATGTTAGAGAACGCATCGACATCAGAGCCGTCGCAGTGGTGATGTAACACCTGAGTGGAGGAGGGATTACAGCAGGATTACTGATCTGATCTCAGGTCAGAGGATTAAAACTACAGATTAATGCTGACTAACATCCATTCAGTAATAATCTGTCATTATTAATAACTGCCTCTCATTCAGGTCAACTCACTTTACCAGAAATACACAGAAAAACCTCCTGAGATAGAGAATGAATCCAATATTGATCAGTATACACTGTATCTTGATGGATGATATTGATCAGAATACACTGTATCTTTATTGATTATTGATCAGAATTTACTGTATCTTTATTGATTATTGATCAGTATACACTGTATCTTTATTGATTATTGATCAGAATACACTGTATCTTTATTGATTATTGATCAGTATACACTGTATCTTTATGGATGATATTGATCAGAATACACTGTATCTTTATGGATGATATTGATCAGAATACACTGTTTCAATGACATTGACTGATTGAAGTCTGATACGATTGTCTGACGTTATTAGTTTTATTGATGCTTTAATAATTCAATTCAATTCAATTCAATTCAATTCAATTTTATTTGTATAGCGCCAATTCATAACAGAAGTTATCTCAGGACACTTTTCAAATAGAGCAGGTCTAGACCGTACTCTTTAAAATTTAATTAAAATGTAATAATGTGAGTATTGATTACTAATCCAGCTGATCAGGATCATTATCAGCTAATTGTAAGTGTGCAGTTGTGTGCCTTTTTTTAAACTACTTCAATGAATATCTTTGTGTTGTGGACATTTGAGGAAACACTGATCAACATTTTGATCGACTGATTAATTGATAATGAAAATAATTGATAGTTGCAGCCCTGAAACATTTAATGACACAATAACAGCTTTGCTCATATTCTCCACTACAGCCACTGGTTGTGAAATGCATGCTGGGATACTTGTCTGCCACAGGTCAGCTCCCAAAGCATCCTGGGTAAAGCATGGAGAGTGAACAGTGGCCGGGTTGAGGCTGGTGACACAGAGATGTTTAAAGGGCTGAGGGGTCAAAGGTTATGGGGACAGGTGGACTCACTTTCTCTGCCGGTGAGACGGTAGGCGGGATTGGACCCTGGTCCTCAGACTCCTCCAGCCAGTTCCTTCTAGCCAGTTCCTCCCACTCGGCCTGCATCTTGTCCCAGAACTCTGTGTCCGACTGAAACACAACAACAAACACTCTGTCAGTCCAGAATCACTGGAGCCTACATTTCCCACAATGCAGCAGGACGGTGTCTTTCATCAGAGCCACCCCCGGTCTCTCAAACTCCACATGCAAGAAAGATTTAAACAGCTGAATGTTTGATCAGCTTTTAGCTTCAGCAGCAGAAGGATGTGAAACACTGTGCTTGGCTGTTAGTTGTGAAATGCACCCTGAGAGTTGTAGTCTCGGTTTTTAAGCCCCCAGGCTTCTTGTAGCTCATAGCACAGCTGTCCACCTTTAGTTTCCATCACAAACTGAACTGCAGGAACCAGTACAGGGATCCCACTCCCACTGGAAAACCTGGAAACAGTGAGACTAGTTTTCCAGTCATGGAAACACATTGAACATTGAAATTGTATTTTAGCCTGTGCTGTAGCCAAATGAATTACTGTTACTCAGAAAAATCAGCCAGCCAAACGTGGCACCAAAGCGAGCTAACGATGACTACCGTGTGAAGTGCTGTCCTGAACTGTCAAGAAAAACTACTGGAAAATGATTTCTTAAGAAGAGTGGGATGTCAGACTCTTCTCCGAGCCCAGACTGCAGCTGTATAATGCAGGACCATATAAATACTGGATCACGACTCCAACTGAGTCCATCATTAAATACTCAGCAGGAGGAAAACACTGTCAGCCCTCTTCACCTTTACTTCACCTCTGCCTGATCACACTCACAGTTTCCTGTAAAGCTGCTTTTCTAAATTCCAGGTGCTGGTTTTTGGACAATGAACCCTCTTTCAAACTCTTTTCCATCTTAATACCAAACCAGAATCAACCGGTCCTGCTCAGTGTTGTATAGATGCCTCAGAGCCTGATGGGATGTTAATTGCCTAATAGTGTAGAAGCATCTGCATTCAGGTTTCTCCTTTCATCAGTCAGCTCTCTGAATCCACTGCTGTACAATAATACAATGACCTTTATTTAAACTGAACAGGGCAGACGCAGCTGACCTTGGTGTCTGTTTGGATTAAAACACCTGCAGCTAAATTCAGAACCTGCGAGCTGTGATGAAGAAGAGCTTTTAATCAGCGGCTGTTCAATCAGAGGAGACGCTGTGATTGGTTCACTGAGCCGAGCTGACGGGATTGAAGAGCAGAACGACACAAACTCATCGACACAAGAGCCTCAAATTAATTCTGTGACAGAGAAAATCTGCACTTCAATCACTGAGCTGTTAGTCCACTTCACCTCCTCCAGACTCAATCAAATCCCGAACCTGCCTGAACCAACCCGAACCATTCTGACCCAACCTGAATCTTACTGGACTGTCCTGAACCATCCTGAACCCTCCTGGACCCTCCTGGACCCTCCTGAACCCTCCTGAACCAACCTGAACCGTACTGGACTGTCCTGAACCAACCTGAACCATTCGGAACTGACCTGAACCAATCTGAACCGTACTGGACTGTCCTGAACTAACCTGGAAACGTTCTTGTTTTGTGGATCTGTTTCATTCTCACAGAAACCAACAGAAACTAAATTGTCAAGTTTTTGTTTTGAGACGAAGCAGGACACAAGCTGCTGAGACTACAGACTGGAATCTGTAATGTGGAGTCAACGTCTGTCTCATGTCTCTCCACATTCAGAAATGAAAGCTGATCCGAGCGCAGCGTCATTCATTTGGATGCTGAGTCGCAGAGTTCTAACAGGAGACTCGGATGACAGGAAGTACAGGATGGATCTCTGATCAGCAACAATCTGATGATATCAGCTCACATCTGATATTTCACACTGACTGCTGCTGGAGCACTCTGACAGAACACCGCCATCAGACCCGAAGGGAAACCAGAGAGGACCTTTACAGAAAGAGCAAAGCCAGACCTTCAGGAACTCATGTCAGACTAAAGACCAGTTAACTGGAAACAAAAGCCGTGTCCCCAATTGGAAGAAAGCAGATTTTTGGGTCGGTGGTTCGTGTGAGTCTGTGTAATGTCTGTAAATGTGTTAAATACCTCAACAGCAGCCTTCGCTCTGACAAACTCGTCCTCCAGAGACTCCTTCCTGGCCAACAAGGAACGAGTCCGCCTGCGCTGCCTGGACGCCCCGCAGTCCTGAACACACACACACACACACACACACACACACACACACACACACACACACACACACACACACACAGAGGTCAGTGAGACAGTGACGACAAACCAACAGACACCAAAAACTTAAAACAAAGTCAAAGTCATCCTTAAAGAGACACCTGAACTAAGCACCAGCATCTACAGGGGACGCTCTGTTATCCAAGGCTCCCTGAACTACACACTGTATCTGGTTCAGGACAGTCTTTATTTCTCATCTGTTCAGTTTCACTTTGAATAAAAGTGTCTGTGAAGAGTATCACAGTATTTATAGTAATATCAGTACTCAGTCCCTCCTGGATTTCACAGGATTACTTTGGGGTTGGTTGGACCTGATTTCCCAGCAGATTTTCTAAATAAATTCTTCATTGGTTTTTTGTTAATCATTATTAAATAGATACATTTTTATAGATACATTACATTTTCAAATAAATTCATACTGTTTGGAGGGTCGATGTGAGACCATTGTGTCGCACACGTCTTCACAACTAGAAACAAGGAGATGAGTTTGGTGACATGTGGCTCAAAGTTCTGCGCAGGAAACTACAATGATTGGTCGAATTAGCAGGAAAGTTGCAGTGATTGGTCAAAAATGCAGAATTCACAAGGACTGTTTAAATGGTAAATGCTAAATGGACCTGTATAGCACCTTGCTAGTCTTCCAACCACTCAAAGCGCTTTTACACTACAGCCACATTCACCCTTTCACACACATTCACACACTGATGCATCAGGAGCAATTCGGGGTTCAGCATCTTGCTCAAGGATACTTCGACATGTGGCGGGAGGAGTGAGGGATCGAACCAACAACCTTCCGATTAGTGGACGCTCTGCCTCTGAGCCACAGCAAATATAAATCTTAGATTTGCGTTAACTGTTGCAACCACAGCACGGCGACTTCCTGGGGGGACTGAGCAGCGGTGTGAGACGGCAGCTGACCTGTGCTGAAGATATGAAGTCGAGGTCATCGAAGCTGTGGATGTCGAAGGAGTTCTTTGTTAGAGGATCAGTTTTAAACTCTGCAGACCTGCAGGAACAAAATACAAACCAGTATTAACCAGAGTTAAAGCTCTGTTAGCGGCCCCTAAAGTCTGAACAAACAACATCCTCATGACTGATTGACTCTAAAGGGGTCAGAGGAATACTGTATCCCTGCCCTCAAAACATATGCTTGAGTAAAGTACATAGAGTCTGGAGGGTTCATCCTGTGGAGAGCAGAAAGGACATCAGGGCGTTTTATATTTACCACAGCAGTTCACTGGAGGAGTGGTGGGAGGTGCATCTCTTCTCGTATCTCCTGCGTCCCCCGTCCTCTACGTCAAGGTTCACCTCGTCCCATTTGTCCAGAGGAGACGACAGACTGACTGTGAACACAACAACAACCTGATGCTTCAGATCTGATAGATTCACTGATGAATTCATGTTTTTGTAATTAAATAGGGCACAGTGTAATCTTTAAGGGTTAAAAAGGCATTTTTAATTTAATTTGGACTTTAAGGGTCTCCGTGCTCCCAACACTAACTACTAACACCACTGTTATTGGGGTCTGTGGCTCAGCAGTAGAGCAGGTCCACTAATCAGAAGGTTGGTTCCTCCGCTGCATGTTGAGGTGTGAGCGAGATACCAAACCCCAAATTGCTCCCGATGCTGTGTCATCGGGGTGTGAATGTGGCATATAGTTTGAAAGCACTTTGAGAGTTTGGAAAGCTGATATATAAGTAAAGTCCATCCGTAATAACACCCTTTAACTAATCTATAGTGAATTCTGTCTTTATGAAGAAATAATCACCAAAACTACAAACATAAGACACAAGTCTGTCACTGGAACTGGAATTATAATGGAAAACTGCGTAGACAAAAGTCCTAAAATCTGTTTGTTTATCACAATCTGAGAGTGAAAGGACACAGAGGTGAAACAGGAAGTTAAATTCTCATCACAGTAAAAGCTCAGATTAAAGTCAGCATCCACTGGTTTTTACTCACGACTGACCAAAGCTTTTAACCAAATGAACGACAAGATGAGGACGAGCAGCTAAAAACAACCTGAAGCAGCTGATCTGGAGTTTGTGACATCCTATGAGGTTTGATTTGGGGCGGAAAGTGTCTCAGTGTTTTTGATATCAGTGATTTATCTTTATCTGCAGCAAAAGAGGAAGAAAAGATCATTCGATTTAGTTGGAAATAGAAATAGGAAAAGAGGGTGTGTGCTGAATTAGCTGTTAGCAGCGTACAGTGCAGACAACCTTTCTTTCTGGTGAGGATAAGGAAGGCTGATTTATGGCCTTTTATCTTTTATGGATCTCTTCAGGAAGTCTAAAAATATGCGTTTCATCTGTTCATCATGTGTGTTCATTATAGAGTGAATTATACTGTGAGAGTGCAATTTTTGGGATGAGGCGTTAAGTGTGTTTTCCATCAGCAGTTTGACACACCTGGTTGCACCTGTCCCTTTCACCTTTTATCCTCGCACTGTTCAAACCTCTACATGAATAAAACTGACTTCACTTGAACACAGTTATGATTTACTTGTATCATTTAAATATAAATGTTGGTGCCAGTGAAACATCACAGTTTCAGTGCAGATACACTTTCTACATTTAACTGATATTTTGGCCACTGTGGAGTTCCTCAGGGCTCTATTCTTGGTCCATTATATTGTACACATTATCAGCTGATAAAAGCTTATAAACATCTAATAAACATGAATGAATATGTGAATTATCTGCTGCCACATGCCTCCTGTGTGTTAGAGTACCTGAGTCCAGTGAGATCCTCTCAGGTGTTCTGGGACTTGCAGGCAGGTGTTCCACCTCAACCTGGATCAGCTCTGTCTCCTCAGGTCTCGTCCGGCGCCGAGGGCTCCTCGAGCTGCCCTTCCGCCTCAGAGGGCTCCTCCTCGGGTCCTTGTTAGTGCTGCTGCCACCGACACTATTGCTGCCAGTACTACCACCATTACTGCCCCCACTGCTGCAGCTGCCCCCGCTGCTCTCCCCCGGCTCACTGAGGTCCACCAGGTCCAGAGCTGTGGACAGAACTGCAGAACAATGGCGGGTCAATATCTGATAACAAAGACATAACCTAAAGCGTAAGACTAACAAAGACAGTTTTGGTGAGTTTTATTCCGTTTCTGTCCATTTTAATAAAGTTACGATGATCAGAAGGTAAAATGAGTGTTTCTGTCTCTGGAGTCTGGTTGAGAGTGATAGTGATATTACGGCTATTTGTGGTTAAACTAAAGGTCCATCTGTGTAGGGATCCTTTCCATAATGCTGTCAGACACTGACAATAACAACCTGAGTTTGAGATACCAAAAGATTCACCGCTAGTAGTTTGGTGATTGAGGACTATGATTGGTCATATGTGCAGAAAAGTTGCAGTGATCAGACAAATTTGCAAGGTTGCACAGAATTCATGGGTATTGGCTGAAATTGCATTAATTCTGTAACTTCCTGGAGGGACTGATATACTGCCTACTGTTAAATGTCTTTGACATCTACATTTATCTTGTTCCTTTCTGTTTCTTTTTTACTGGATGTGTCAGTGGCGGTGACAACGTATTTCACTGCACACGTCTGACTGGTTGATAAATCATATTTGACTTTCACACCGTGGCAGATATTCTGGTCCACTGCGTCACAAACGTGTCAGAAAACCTGCAGTTCGAACAGTTTACTGCATTACTGACAGTCTGTAATCAATACTGGCCCTGAATATTAGATTACATGTTCATTTTAAGCACCAATAATTGGTCAGAGAATGCATTATGTGCATTTCTCGTCTAAACTGAGCTCATTCACAGTGACCTTTAAATGTCATTATCAGACTCCGGAACATGACGCCAGATGAAATTTCAGCTGAAAATCCAGAAACAAACAAACAGCAGTGAGTCTGTTTAAGACTCATAATGAATGTGAGGAGGAGGACTGAGCAGACAGGGGGAGGGAGCAGGTCAGAGGTGTTAATTAATGGCGAGTGTACCTGCTGAGTCGGAGGTGACAGATGGGCACAGAGGAGGAAGGAGGACAGCTAAGGACGCAAAGTTAGAGGAGGACAGGAAGAGAGGGAAAACGGAGGCGGAGGTCAGCAGAGGAAGCTGGACCAGAACAAAAGAGCTTTGGGAGAATCACAAAAGGAGCAGAGGAGAAAGAAGAAAAGGAAAAGGAAGGAGGCCAGTGAATTTAAGAGGAGTGAAGAGATGTTCTCATATTTATTCTGCAGCCGCTCTTAACTTAATTACGAGAGAATCCATCTTACCAGGCTTCAATCTCTGAGTCCAACCACAGCCAATCAGCAACCTTTGAGGAACTGCTGGCAGTGTGACGCAGCAGGAAGTGACTGTTTTGCTGTTCAACTCTCTGTCTGTCTGTCTGTCTGTCTGTCTGTCTCTGTGTCTCTCTCTCTCTCTCTCTCTCTCACCCCAACTGGTCGAGACAGACGACCACCCACCTAGAGCCGGAGGATCTGTCCTAGGTTTCTGCCTTTTAACAGGCAGTTTTTCCTTGCCCTTGTCTCCAAGTGCTTGCTCATGGTGGTACTGTTGGGTCTCTGTAATTAATGTTAAAGAGTTCGGTCTAGACCTGCTCTATTTGAAAAGTGTCCTGAGATAACTTCTGTTATGAATTGGCGCTATACAAATAAAACTGAATTGAATTGTTTGAAAACAACAATGCTGGCTGCTAAACAGGTTAGCATAGATGCTGCTTACACCAGGTATATCAGTACCAGAGAGCAACGGATAGGAATGGGAGTCAAGAACCGAGGAAAGAGTGATGGCGGAGAGGAAGAAACGAAGTGCAGTCACTACTCTGTGTTCAGACTCAGAGAGAATAAAACGCAGAAAACTGATCAGGAATCAATCAATAATGGTATCGATATGATCAATCAATTCACTGAAGATTTTGCTCTTCTCCCGACTGGATCATTGATCTGGTTAAGGTTCGACTATAATAGTGAAAAACAATCTGCAAGTTTGTTTCTAACATTACTGCCCTTCTCCAAACAGTCCCCAGATGGTTCTGTTTAACAAAACAAGTGAGCGCTGCTGTACAGACGCTAAGATCGGTCCTCTACTCTGTTCCCGACTGAAATATCTCAACTACCGGATGCATTGTGATGAAATGTGGTTCAGATGTTTATGTTCTCCTCAGGATGGACTGACCCTTCCTAAGCCCCGCCCCATTTGCTCTGTGCTCCAATCACAGTTGAGCAAGCCTCGGTCAACTTCCTCCTTTCATGTAATTAAATATGCTATGTGCTAGGCTAACTGATGCTGATAGTCACATATTAAGTTAGCAAATGTTAGCAAAATGCTAGCTAACTAGCTACATATATATAGTCCATACACCAACACTAACATTGTAACAGCCAGTGGGACACATCCTCCACATGAATGTTTTTGTAGATGTAAAACCAGATTATCCTCATCTGACATTCATTCACTTTTACTCCTTCTGAGAGGATGGAGGGAGAGCAGACTGAAGGGAGGAAAAGGAGGAGGAGCAGAGGGTCCCTGCTGAGCTTTGTCGGATGGGGGAGACAGAGGGGAGACAAAGGGGAGACAGAGGGGAGAGAGGAGGTGATAATTAGCTAAAGTCTACCTGCTGGGTTGGAGGCGAGGGGTCGGGTGGAGGGGGCGTCGCTCCGGCTCTCTGACAGGAAGTCATCGATGGAGGGACTCAGCAGGGGTCGACTCTCCTGCTGCTCCCGAACCAGCTGGAGACCAAAAACACCACAGTTAGAGACCAGAGTCCACAGACCAGAGTCCACAGACCAGAGTCCACAGACCAGATAATCTAGTTTAATCAATGTGATGAAGGATGATAACTAATAATAAACTAATACTGTACAAATATAGAAATAGTATTCAAAACCCTTTTGGAGTTCACTGCGTCTCTTTACTGCACTTAACTGCATTTCTTTACTGCGTCTGTTTACTGCGTTTCTTTACTGCACCTTACTGCGTTTCTTTACTGCACCTTACTACGTTTCTTTACTGCACCTTACTACGTCTCTTTACTGCACCTTACTGCGTTTCTTTACTGCACCTTACTGCGTTTCTTTACTGCACCTTACTGCGTTTCTTTACTGCGTCTCTTTCCAGCACTTCAACAGTCAGGTTTCAGACTAAAAACACACCCAGGTTTACTGAGTGAGGAGCTAAAATACAAACATTTGAATCCATTTCCAGTGTAGGAACCCTGCAGGAACATTTTCTACACTATTCATTTTCCCAAATGTCAGAAAGTTCCTTTAAAGGACCAGTGGGTTGGATTCAGCGCCATCTAGTGGTAGTGTCAGTTGCAACTAACTGAACACAGCTCAGCTTTCTGAGCGTGAAACTACCGTAATGTCTCTGTCTAACCAAACACTGGCATTTGGTTTGTCTGTTCTGGGCTACTGTAGAAACATGGCGGTTCAACATGGCGGTCCAACATGGCGGACTCCGCCAGAAGAGGACCCGCTCCCTCTGTAGATACAAACGTCTCATTCTAACAAACACACAATGATTCTTATTATCAGCCGATTAAACACTACTGAAAACAAACTTATGGATATTATATTACAGTGATGTTACTGAAAGGCATTTGGGGAAATGTAGGACATTAATTCACTGGTTCATACTGAGGCCTGATTTAACCTGATCACAGATCTGTGTGGTTGTCTGACTTCCTAATCCTAATCCACACAGCCGTGTACATCCACATGTCAACTGGAATATGCTTGTATTTAATCCTCAAACAGCTCCACTGTGCACCGATCAGATCTCACTTCATGCTTCACACAAACAGCCAGAAAACATCCACAGGTTTCAGCTCACAAAGCCACAACCAACTGATCAATAACAACGAATACAAGGTCATTTAGATAATGAGGACAAGTTACATAAACAGTGAAATCTGAATATAAAGATACACTTTTAAATCAGATGGGATTAGGGAGGGTCACTGTAGCCAATACTGTTACGACTGACTGCCAGACTGGGAACTCCCAGACGTCCAGACCGGGACAGAATGCACCGAATAATAAAGGTTCTACAGTGATAAAATAAAAAAATAAAATTGTGTGTCTGTACAGTGATAATAAAGTTGTGTGTTTGTACAGTGTTAATAAGTTAAAGTTGTTTTTTTATAAAGTTTTTTTTAAAAAGTTGTGTTTGTACAGTGTTAATAAAGTTGTGTGTTTGTACAGTGATAATAAAGTTGTGTGTTTGTACAGTGATAATAAAGTTGTGTGTTTGTACAGTGTTAATAAAGTTGTGTGTTTGTACAGTGTTAATAAAGTTGTGTTTGTACAGTGTTCATAAAGTTGTGTGTTTGTACAGTGATAATAAAGTTGTGTGTTTGTACAGTGTTAATAAAGTTGTGTTTGTACAGTGTTAATAAAGTTGTGTGTTTGTACAGTGATAATAAAGTTGTGTGTTTGTACAGTGTTAATAAAGTTGTTTGTACAGTGTTAATAAAGTTGTGTTTGTACAGTGTTAATAAAGTTGTGTGTTTGTACAGTGTTAATAAAGTTGTGTTTGTACAGTGTTAATAAAGTTGTGTGTTTGTACAGTGATAATAAAGTTGTGTGTTTGTACAGTGTTAATAAAGTTGTGTTTGTACAGTGTTAATAAAGTTGTGTGTCTGTACAGTGTTAATAAAGTTGTGTGTTTGTACAGTGTTAATAAAGTTGTGTGTTTGTACAGTGTTAATAAAGTTGTGTTTGTACAGTGATAATAAAGTTGTGTTTGTACAGTGTTAATAAAGTTGTGTTTGTATAGTGTTAATAAAGTTGTGTTTGTACAGTGTTAATAAAGTTGTGTGTTTGTACAGTGATAATAAAGTTGTGTTTGTATAGTGTTAATAAAGTTGTGTTTGTACAGTGATAATAAAGTTGTGTTTGTACAGTGTTAATAAAGTTGTGTTTGTACAGTGTTAATAAAGTTGTGTTTGTACAGTGTTAATAAAGTTGTGTGTTTGTACAGTGATAATAAAGTTGTGTTTGTATAGTGTTAATAAAGTTGTGTTTGTATAGTGTTAATAAAGTTGTGTTTGTACAGTGTTAATAAAGGTGTGTTTGTACAGTGTACGGGTGAATATCAGGATATTATTGGTTGATCAGTTAGTTCATGCTGACGTAAGCACGCGTCACATTTAGTTTCACAGGAAGGCACAATGATTGGTTTTAATATAAAAATACAGAGAAATTGCCATATGTTGTACTGTTTATAGATGTTATGGTATTTTTTTTACAATATTGTTTTATTATTTTGTGATCTTAAAAGGTTAAATATACATGTTTAATTTCATCTGGACTTTAAAGTTAATAAAAATAACTCAATATGACATAGTGAGCAGGTTATAACATTTTATTTATGATAAAGGCACATTTATAGTTCTGTGCTCACTTTATTTCTATTACAAACGAACGTCGATAAAATAATAAGATAAAATACAGAATGAAGCTGCTGGATCGTTTCTGCCTGAATGTTTGAGTAGAAACTGAACATGAAAACAAGCAAAAATAAAAATGAAAATGAAAATGAGAACAAAAAGAAATCTCAGTGCCAGATAACAAACAAACGTGGTTGTCATGCCAACCTTGGTTGTCACGGTGAGGAGGGGGTTTCCTTCTGAGGATGCCTTTTTACCAGGAAGCTCCTTCAGCACCATGGCAACGACCCTTTCCCCTTTCCCCTACAACAGGCAGATCGACAGGTTCATTCATTCAGCAGGTTCAGATTCACTCACTGCCAACATTCCCTCCAGCAAGGCAGCATGTGGCTGCACACAGTGTAAACCAGCACAATGATTACAATGGAAGATAATTGAAAGGATGATGTGTGAATATAAAGACACTGCAATGGAACTCTGAGTCTACATCATAAAAGAATATAAAGCTACTGGATTACAAATAATAAATACATTAACAGTTATTGATGAGATACAGCGACTTTAATGAATCTTCTGTTTCTGCTTTTACTGTAAACTAATGTTTGTGTTTATTAATCCACCTTTTACTACGAGACCACAGAAGAAGAGGGTTTATCTCCACTTCCTGTTTCTTTCTGCTGTTTCCAAGGTTCATTATTAGAAGGTCGGTCAGCTCAGTTTATGGGAATTATTAAGGTTCAAATCCCCTCTGCTCCACACTGTCACACCAAACTCCATTCAAAAAACAGCTGTTTTAAGGAAGTAAAACCTTTATTTCCACCATCAGAGAGACTCTGATTCTCTTCAATCTACAGACACAATCTGCTCACATTGACTCAGTAACATCATTAACTAACCTGTGAGGAAGAGTTGGACACAGACACACTCACTGACTGTCTGTCATTAACTAACCTGTGAGGAAGAGTTGGACACAGACACACTCACTGACTGTCTGTCATTAACTAACCTGTGAGGAAGAGTTGGACACAGACACACTCACTGACTGTCTGTCATTACTAACCTGTGAGGAAGAGTTGGACACAGACACCTCACTGCTGTCTGCTTAACTACCTGTGGGAAGAGTTGGACACAGACACACTCACTGACTGTCTGTCATTAACTAACCTGTGAGGAAGAGTTGGACACAGACACACTCACTGACTGTCTGTCATTAACTAACCTGTGAGGAAGAGTTGGACACAGACACACACTCACTGACTGTCTGTCATTAAGAAGGGGGCGGGGTTATAAAATACATAAAATAATGTAAATTGGAGTTGTGGAGCTGGAAGACGCATGTGATCAGATTATTGATCGCGTCTTCACTTATGATTCAATCTGCGGATAAACAAACATTGCCACGGATACCAACGTTGCTCCAATATATTTGTTACTGGTAAATTAAACTAGATTCAATAAGGTAGAAAGGACCCCCCAACCCGACTTATTGCAGTTTACTTTGGTTGCAGGAAAGGTAAAATAACTGCAAAACAACAAAACAACAACCCGCGCTGTTTAGACACTGAACTGTTCTCGGTCTGATTCGCTGCGAAGGAACAACACTCAAAGATCCATCAGTGAAGAGAAAACTGGTTCCCAACAATCACTCACACTCTGTGTATTCCCTCGGACAGCAGCACTTAGCAGCTGTATGTTAAACCCACAGAGAGCCGGAGGAGGACCGGAGCACAGAGTCACTTGACCTTCATGATCCTCCAGCCTCAGACTGAAGATATAACATTTCACAGTAATATTAATACTAACTATTAATAACAATATGAACAATAATAATGATACTAATAATAATACTCCTGTACTGCACAAAAGGCTGGACTCAATACTATTTTCTGAAAACTCTCGTCTTCAGTTTCATCTCTGTGCATCCAGTACAGAGATAGGTCCACGTTTAGCCTAGCTTAGCACAAACACTGGAGACAGGGGGAAACTGATAGCCTCGCTTAGCACAAACACTGGAGACAGGGGGCAGCCAGTATTTTACTAAGAAACAAACAGCTGGTAAATCCAATATTTTTAGCTTTTCATGTTACAGTAGTATACAACCCAGATACAGTATCTAGATAAAAAAGTCCAAACACAATAGTCCAATATAGGTACAATGCATTCTAGATTAGAGATTAAAAAGGAACTAGAGACAGAGATACAACCCAGATACAAGACTCGAGGATCAAGGATATGATCTACATAGATGATCTACAGTAAATACAAGGGTAAGACCTATTTACATAGATCCAGATACAAAGATACAATCTTCATACCAGCATCCAGATACAAGGATAGGATCTAGATACAGGGGCCTGGATACAGAAGTCTGATCTAGATAGATAGAAGAGATCTAGAGTACAAAGGTAAGGCCTTTTTATATGTGATCTAGATATAAGAATACAATCTTCATACCAGCGTGCAGATACAAGACTATGATCCAGATTAAAATATCTAGACACAAGAATCTGATCCTAATACAAGGGTAAGACCTATTTACAAGGAACTAGACACAGAGATGAGATCTAGATACAAGGATACTATCTCTATACAAGGTTAAGATCCAGATAAGGATCTAAAAACAAGGTGACAATGAAGATGCAGGGATACGAAGAGTCCAGGTACAATGATGTGGTCCAGATATCTAGATCCAAGGATATCAGATCATGCTCTAGATTCAGTGGTCTGGACACAAGGATCTAGATGCAAGAATAAGATCTACATTCAAGGATCTCAATACAAGGATACATTCTCTGTACAACTATGTTAAAGTTTGATTAAAGGAACATCAGCGATGTGTTTCTGTTCTCACCCTTTATAATCCGTTTTAACTGAAAGCCTCCTGCCAGACGTCGACCTCATTTCACATCCCACAGATTCCTGTTAGTACCGATTGTTTGCCCTTAATGCAGCTGTGAGGTTGAACTGGTTGCCTCCTAATGTTCAGTAACAGAACAATAAGTCGTGACAGGCGTCTGCTGGTGGAGAAAGTGGAGCTGACGGGAGTGAAATGTGCCTCAGTGAACCCAGCAGGCAGGACGAGGTTATCAATAAAACATCATCCACAGTTTTATTATTAGACAGAGTCAGAAGCATGATGGAGGGAAGAGAGCAACAACGTGACATTTCATCGAGTCTCCGCCAGGATTATTAAAGAATGACTCTGACTCTTAATGAATACTGTTCATGTCTCAGACCAACATCATCTATTGATTACAAACATTTATCAGTTTACAGGTCGACTGATAGTCACTACACAGAGACATGTTTCAGCTCATTGGATTGGATGAACCATCTGTCTGTAACGGGCCAACGGATCAGATCAATGAACTCTTTACGAAACTTCTTTCACAGAGACTTTAGGGCGTAGACTTCATCAACAGGAAGAGTCTGCGCTGCGTTTGGCTCTGTACGTCTTCCAATTGCTTCAGAGCGTATTTCCTGCCTGACGTTGTTAGTTTGTGTATTTGTCGATGGAATTTGGGCGTTACGGCGTGACAATGCCTCAAACTGCCTTTCTGTTGCCGACCTCGTCCTCTCCCGTCTCTGCTGCGTCCTCCTCTTCCTCTAACTTTCTCTTAAATTAAGAAAATTGTTCATTGAAATGTGTTTCTGGAAACATTTTTGGTGAGAAATAATCGGTCTTGTTTTTAGATCGTCAGCGGTTGGTTTAAATGTTTTAGAGCTTCCAGACGCGCAGACTCGCCCTGCCGGACGCCACTGATTAGCATTGACCTGTACAATATGCACCGAGCTGCTAACCAGAGTTAGAACAACACTACAGGAGAACAGTTGGTTAGCAATGTGGTTGCTACGTTTCACTCTACATGGAGGACAATCCCAGTTTAGCTTAGCTACAGTAAGCTAGCCTGATGTCTCGCATCGCTTTTGGCTAGTAGAAAGCTATCGTTAGCTTTGTGCAGCTACATCATTTATTGTTGGCTAAAATCAACACTGTCAGAAGACATTAGCTAGTATAATTCATCACGTTAGCAAGCAAGCTAACATTATCCAATATTATACAATATGTTCCACTAGCTTAGCAGTAATGTTAGCTTTGACTGTTGCACACTGTTGGCACTGTAGGGAAGCGGAGAGAGAAGGTTGGGAGCTGTATTATATTTGTGATACAGTGGTGCTGTATTACGTTTCCATTGGTCATTAATTAATAATAAAGTTAACCAGCTGCAGATTATTTTATTTATTATTTTATTTACTAAAACTTCCTTGTTGTGTCTGTTCGAAGGAAACTGATAACGTCCGTAAAACGCTCTCTTTTTCTCAGTTTCCTCACTCTGTCACAGTGTCGGTCGCCCAGCTGTGTGTGTGTGTGTGTGTGTGTGTGTGTGTGTGTGTCTGTGTGTGTGTGTGTGTGTGTGTGTGTGTGTGTGTGTGTCTGTGTGTGTGTGTGTGTGTGTGTGTGTCTGTGTGTGTGTGTGTGTGTGTGTGTGTGTGTGTGTTGTGTGTGTGTGTGTGTGTGTGTGTGTGTGTGTGTGTGTGTGTGTGTGTGTGTGTGTGTGTGTGTGTGTGTGTGTGTGTGTGTGTGTGTGTGTGTGTGTGTGTGTGTGTGTGTGTGTGTGTGTGTGTCTGTGTGTGTGTGTGTCTGTGTGTGTGTGTCTGTGTGTGTGTGTGTGTGTGTGTGTGTGTGTGTGATGCTGTAGGACTATAAATAACCTGCTGTTGTGCTGAGCAAACAGTCCTCCATCAGCCCACAGAGTCCCAGCTGTGCTGAGCTCGCTGCTTCTCCACAAACAGTTAGCATCCTCACAGGAACCTGAAACTGTGGTACTGCTAATACTGCAGCTAATAATGCTAATATCACTACTGACAATATCACTACTGACAATATCACTACTGATAATATCACTACTGATAATATCACTACTGACAATATTACCACTGCTGCTAATGCTACTGCTCCAGTACTGACTGCTGTTAGCTCCACTGACAGTCAACCAATCACTGTGAGTTCTGCACCACCTTCACACAGGTCCTGGAACTAGTTGCCTTCGATAATTATACTTAAACAATTTATGGTCAACCACAAAAAACAGCCTAAAAACACAAAAACCTGCGGTGAGATCAGGAACCCCAGTAAAGGCTGTGAGGTCCTGGAGGGATTCTATATATATGATTCAGTCTGAGGTGGAACCAGTGATCCTCCTCACATTATATTATAGGGGACCCTATGGGGGGGGCCGCGCTGTTTCTAAAGCTTGTTCATGATACAAATATAATTTATGCGCTTGAACGCACCATAAATCACCTTCAGTGTCAGACTGTTACCGCCCTCTCACTGCAGACTGACTGCTGCAGGTTTCTGTCCTCCCCCTCAGAGTCCTGGTTCATTCAGAGTCCTCGTTCACTGTCAGAGTCCTGGTTCACCGCCAGAGTCCTGGTTCACCGTCAGAGTCCTGGTTCATTCAGAGTTCTGGTTGACCGTCAGAGTCCTGGTTCATTCAGAGTCCTGGTTCACCGTCAGAGTCCTGGTTCACCTTCAGAGTCCTGGTTCATTCAGAGTCCTGGTTCACTGTCAGAGTCCTGGTTCACCGTCAGAGTCCTGGTTCATTCAGAGTCCTGGTTCACCGTCAGAGTCCTGGTTCACCGTCAGAGTCCTGGTTCATTCAGAGTTCTGGTTCACCGTCAGAGTCCTGGTTCATTCAGAGTCCTGGTTCACCGTCAGAGTCCTGGTTCATTCAGAGTTCTGGTTCACCGTCAGAGTCCTGGTTCATTCAGAGTCCTGGTTCACTGTCAGAGTCCTGGTTCACATTCAGAGTCCTGGTTCACCGTCAGAGTCCTGGTTCATTCAGAGTCCTGGTTCATTCAGAGTCCTGGTTCATTCAGAGTCCTGGTTCATTCAGAGTCCTGGTTCCCGGTCAGAGTCCTGGTTCCCCGTCAGAGTCCTGGTTCCCGGCCAGAGTCCTGGTTCACCGTCAGATTCCTGGTTCATTCAGAGTCCTGGTTCATTCAGAGTCCTGGTTCCTGGTCAGAGTCCTGGTTCACCGTCAGATTCCTGGTTCATTCAGAGTCCTGGTTCACGTCAGAGTCCTGGTTCACCGTCAGAGTCCTGGTTCACGTCAGAGTCCTGGTTCACCGTCAGAGTCCTGGTTCATTCAGAGTTCTGGTTGACCGTCAGAGTCCTGGTTCATTCAGAGTCCGGGTTCACTGTCAGAGTCCTGGTTCACCGTCAGAGTCCTGGTTCATTCAGAGTCCTGGTTCACCGTCAGAGTCCTGGTTCATTCAGAGTCCTGGTTCACCGTCAGAGTCCTGGTTCACCGTCAGAGTCCTGGTTCATTCAGAGTCCTGGTTCATTCAGAGTCCTGGTTCATTGTCAGATTCCTGGTTCATTCAGAGTCCTGGTTCATTCAGAGTCCTGGTTCACCGTCAGATTCCTGGTTCATTCAGAGTCCTGGTTCACGTCAGAGTCCTGGTTCACCGTCAGAGTCCTGGTTCACGTCAGAGTCCTGGTTCATTCAGAGTCCTGGTTCACCGTCAGAGTCCTGGTTCATTCAGAGTCCTGGTTCACCGTCAGAGTCCTGGTTCATTCAGAGTCCTGGTTCACCGTCAGAGTCCTGGTTCACCGTCAGAGTCCTGGTTCATTCAGAGTCCTGGTTCACCGTCAGAGTCCTGGTTCATTCAGAGTCCTGGTTCACCGTCAGAGTCCTGGTTCATTCAGAGTCCTGGTTCATTCAGAGTCCTGGTTCATTCAGAGTCCTGCCACCGTCACTAAGTCTTCTTCATTAAAGTATAAAAGCTGACTCTGTCAACACGAAGAGTTAAAGATGGCCGATGAGTCGATGATTCAGTGAAATGAAACGTATAAATGAAGGTGGAGAAACTGTGCCAAGGGCGGCAAACAGCTGACTATTTGACCCTGGACAGTTTAGATATTTATATCCTCCAACGATCCAGCAGCTCCACTCACAATTAATCTTGTCTGAGCCTCCCCACACTGTAAGTACAGTACGGCAGCCTGCAGAGGACACAATGCTGTCTCATACATCTGTTAGCAGTCTGTTAGCATGGCATCATAACCTGGGACCTGTTAGCTTTATTCAGTGTGTTTAAGGTGGAACTGCTTTATTCAGTGTGTTTAAGGTGGAACTGCTTTATTCAGTGTGTTTAAGGTGGAACTGCTTTATTCAGTGATTGTTAGGGTGGAACTGCTTTATTCAGTGTGTTTAAGGTGGAACTGCTTTATTCAGTGTGTTTAAGGTGGAACTGCTTTATTCAGTGTGTTTAAGGTGGAACTGCTTTATTCAGTGTGTTTAGTGGTTTTAATCAGCGGGTCTGTTTGTGTTGGAGAGGAGGAGACCTCTGTGGATCATTGGGCTCCCGGTAGAAACCTCCTGAACCATGAACACTGAAGGAATCCTAACCGGGAGAAGCTGACTGCAATGACGCCAATGGTGGTGAAGACAACAACTCCCATGATCCCACGCTGCTTCAACACCATCTAACTTCCTGTTTTTATTGATATACTTTAACCGCGGTGGTCATTATTTAGTTTTTAATCTTTTTACATTTTTGCTGATATTTGTTATTAATGTACAAAATGTAAATAAACACGATATTAAGATGTAATAAAGTCTGTAACCTTCATATTAAGCTTCTGGAACATATTGATTGTGTTAGCTGGATAACGATAGCTAATGTTAATGTCGGGAGAAACTGAAACCAGCAGAAACGTTTAGTTTTATTGATCTATTGATCTATTGATGTATTGATATACTGATGTATTAATATATTGATCTATTGATATATTGATGTATTAATATATTGATGTATTGATATATTGATCTATTGATATATTGTATTGTTTTTATATATTGATTGTTGAGTATTGATATATTGTATATTGATATACTGATGTATTAATATATTGATGTATAATTTTGATATGTTGATGTATTGATATATTGATATATTGATATATTGATATACTGATGTATTAATATATTGATGTATTAATATATTGATATATTAATATATTGATGTGTTGATATATTGACGTACTGATGTATTGATATATTGATGTATTGATGTATTGATCTATTGATATATTGATCTATTGATGTATTAATATATTGATGTATTAATATATTGAACTATTGATATATTGATATATTGATGTATTAATATATTGATGTATTAATATATTGATCTATTGATATATTGATATATTGATGTATTAATATATTGATGTATTGATATATTGATATACTGATGTATTAATATATTGATGTATTAATATATTGTTCTATTGATATATTGATATATTGATGTATTGATATACTGATGTATTAATATATTGATATGTTGATGTATTGATATATTGATATATTGATGTATTGATATACTGATGTATTAATATATTGATGTATTAATATATTGATATATTAATATATTGATGTATTGATATATTGACGTACTAGTACCCTATTACCCCACTAGAACACTACGTTCTCTGAATGCTGGGCTACTTGTGGTTCCTATAGTCTCTAAAAGTAGAACAGGAGCCAGAGCCTTCAGTTACCAAGCCCTCTCCTGTGGAACCAGCTTCCAGTTGTGGTTCTGGAGGCAGACACCCTCACCACATTCAGAGTAGGCTTAAGACATTCTCTTGATAAAGCTTATAGTTAGGGCTGGATCGGTGAGTCCTGAACCATCCCTTAGTTATGTGCTATAGGCCTAGACTATCGGGGGATTTCCCATGGTGCACTGAGCTACTCTCTTCCTCTCTTTGCACTCATTCATGTACCTTTAATGCATGTTACTAACTCCACTTCTTCCCCGGAGTTCTTGGCTTTCGTCGGGTTCTCATGGATCCTGGTGGAGCCTCCTGCCATGGCCTGCTTGACTGCCATTGCAATACTGTTGTTGCTGTGCACCTGTCTGTCTGTCTGCGCCCCCCCCCCCCCTCTCACCCCAACTGGTCGGACAGACGCCACCCACCTAGAGCCGGAGGATCTGTCCTGGTTTCTGCCTTTACGGAGTTTTTGCCCTTGTCGCCAGGTCTTGCTCATGGTGGTCTGTTGGGTCTCTGTATTAATGTTAAGAGTTCGGTCTGACCTGCTCTATTTGAAAGTGTCCTGAGATAACTTCTGTTATGAATTGGCTATACAAATAAATTGAATTGAATTGAATTGATTGAATGTATTGATATATTGATGTATTGATGTATTGATCTATTGATATATTGATCTATTGATGTACTAATATATTGACATATTAATATATTGATATATTGATGTAATAATATATTGATCTATTGATGTATTGCTATATTGATATATTAATATATTGATATATTGATATATTGCTGTATTGATATATTGATATATCGATCTATTAATATATTGATGTATTGATGTATTGATATATTGATCTATTGATATATTGATCTATTGATATATTGATGTATTGATATATTGATATATCAATATATTGATATATTGCTGTATTGATATATTGATATATCGATCTATTAATATATTGATATATTGAGGTATTGATATATCGATATATGATATATTGATTTGTTGAATTACAGAGACGATGACAATAAAGGAATCTGAAGTCGAGCTTGTGGTCACATCAAAGCGTCTGCTGGCTGACTTCCTGTTTTATCTTCACTTTGTTGCAGCCGATCAAAGAGTTTCTTCTTCCTGTTTGTCTTCAAACGTCCAATCAGCTCTCAGCATCTCCGTGGACAAAATAACCTGAACGCCTCAGCAGCAGCTTCTGATCACATTAAAAACAACTCGTCCTCACAGCCACTAGAGTTTATCTATTGATTATCTACCGGTGATTACAGCTAATATTGATTTATCTTTAAAGGAACATTTCAGTATTTTCTCTCATTGAGTCCACATTGACAAACAGATCACCTTCATCAATAACTGCATATGGATCTATTGGCTCCAACTCACTGCACAGAAATATTGAAATATCAATATCAGTATAATATAACCATGATTGATTTTCTATCAGTCTGAAGTCAGAAATAATGAAATCATTAAAGCTGAAGATGTTTGAAAGCTTATAAATGATCAATAATGTTATTCAGTGTGCTAATGTTAGCTTCCCAAACTGAATATCTTTGTGTTAAGAACACTGATCAACATTATCTGACATTTTGTGAACCAAAAAAAATAATTGATTAAAGATGACTGACAGATTAATCAATAATGAAAGTATAGATTAGTTTGTGTTGAAGAATAAACTGAAGTCAGCAGCAGGTTTCTATGGAGGGCCGAACCCGCCAAAATCAAACAAATACATTTCTCTACAAAGAAATCAAACTTAAAGGTAAATAAATAGAATTAATACAAATGTACATAAATACAGAATAAAGAAATATCAATTTATGTCACATTTATACATTTATTTATTCTGAATAATATTCTGGGTGCATTTAATGGCATATTTATATATTTATTGGTTCGTTACTTATTTATTTATTTTATATTTTGGCAGTTTTGGTCCTCCATACATTAAACTGAAGGTTGTAAAACCCTGATGGATTAATTAATAATTAATTATTGACTGTAAACTGAAAATAAACATTTAATTAAACCATTGAAAGTTGTGGATTAATAGAATTTGCTGCATTTCTATCATTAGTTATCGATATTTTATGGAACAAATAATTGAAATGAATTTAAAATGAAAACATTAGTTGCATCTTTATCAATAATCTGATATTAAAATTGATTAGAAGACAAAAAGACACCAAAAGTGTATGAATAATAAAATAATTAAACAGCTTTAATTAATATTAACACACATATTATTCTGAGTTTGGGTTTATTATTCATTTTCTGTATAAATTAATTTCAGTGATCTTTGATGTATTTCTCAGTCGGCTATCGATTATCTGATTGATTTGCAACCAATCAATTAAAATCTGATGATGTTTATTGGTTAAATGTGATTAATTAAGTCCTGGTCCTGACAGCGGGTCTCTGTGGAGGTCTGGAACCAGGTAACAGCTCACCTGGACCTGGTACATGTCTCAGATCGGATCCGCCAGCAGCGCCCCACAGCCCGGCTCTACTACAGCGAACCACTCGGTGTCTCTCCGGGGCCTCTCGACAGTGAAACGCCCGCTCAGCAGCGCCGTTATCCCGGTCTCCTCCCGCTCTGAGCTCCGGTTCCCGCTCCGGTTCCCGCTCCTCTCCGTCCAGCCGGTCCGACGCCAAAGCAGCCAAACGCCGCGGGATCCGGTTTTCATGTCGCTCCGCTCCGGTGGAGGGCGGGATGAAAACAAACCGAGCAGAGCCGAGCCGAGCCGAGCCGAGTCGAGAAGAGCCGAAGTCCACACGGTGACTTCCTGTAAGGCCTTTCACAATAAAAGCGTGAAATTCAAACAGAGTGTTGGTCAGATTACTTTGAAATGTAGTCCGTTACTTACAGTGTTGGACTAGTTACTCTAAAAAATTATTATTTATTCAATTTGAATATTTTTTATATAAATGTATATGTTATAGTATTACAAGTATATAGGACATAATATGTAGATAAATATAACAATAACAATAAATATATATAACGTATGTGACATTAATATAATATATCTATATGTATAATCTGTATAATTCAGATTATTCTGTATTTCTGTGATAAAAACTTTCTGAAAAGAATGTAATGTAAATGTGCCATGGCTCCCCAGCAGCTGTGGCGGCTGCTTAAACGTAATATCGTTGTATCCTGTGCAATGACAAATTAAGGCTTCTTCTTCTTCTTCTTCTAATTTATAAAAGTAATATTGTTACTTTACTTATTGCTCCCTGCCAACAGTAATTCGTTACATTACTACAATAAAATCCAGTTTAGTTTGCTAAAATCAAAGTAATGGAGAACTTCCAAACTAGTTTCCTCCATCTGAGGATGTGACTGATCGTTGGATCAATAGGAGACAATTAAAGTAATGTAACTAACACTGTAATTAATGACGTTGTAATCTGAATACTTTTGGATTACTTCATAACCAAACATTGAAAATGTTGAGATTGAGATTGTGCACCATTACAGAGTTTATTAGTGAGAACGAGGTTTAAATAAAATTGTAATGATTTTATTTATTAATTATTGATATAATTTATTTATTTATTAATGTAACACTTTATTAATCCTGCTCAGATGAACATTAAACAAACATTAAACAACATGTTCCTGTAATTTCATCCTAAATATATAAGCACTTTAATAAATATCACTTATTTTAAATAAACATTTTAAAAAGTTCCCCGCCACAAAGTCTGATTTTGCTCATCGAACGAAACACAATTAAAAGTGTATCTTAATAAATATAATGTAAATCGCTGCTGGAAATTGGGTCTCACTGTTTTAAAGCTACATTTATTTTAATGATGGATGCTTTTATTTTGAAAGCAAAGTCTCACCACTGTCAGTTTAAAGTTTATTTTTCTTTGACACATGAAACACCTGAGAAACACCTGAGAAACACCTGAGGTGACGTAAATGAAACCTGCCGGTGAAATATTTATTTCAAACTGACCAACGGGAGGCTGAGTTTCTATAATGAGCTCACTGATCTAATTTTACAACAACAATATGAACAAACAGCAGTTTAAGAGTTAAACTACAACGATTCACAGCGATTGGTTGAATTTGTGTTAATTGTTGCAACGTTGCAACTTCCTGGAGGAACAGTCCGACTCTCCTGCTGTAAATCCTCCTGAACCTTGTAGTGCACACAGAGTGGACAGTCAACTTCCTCCGATCAGAGGAGGGCGGCCCACCTCCCATGGACCTGATAGCCTTCGGTATAATCAAAGTGAGTGTCGGTATTCTCTGTCGTGGCAAAGAAAGTGTCCAGTTTGGGAACTTTCGGTTTGCGTCTGCACTCTTTGCAGATGATGCAGTTCTGTTGGCTTCATCAGACCGTCACTCGTGTGCAGCCGAGTGGGAAGCAGCCAGGGTGAACACCACCAGGTCTGAGGCCATGGTTCTCTGCAAGAGGAGATGTTGCCCCAAGCAAAGGAGTTCAACTATCTCAGAATCTGGTTTACGAATGTCAGTAAAATGGAACGTGAGACGAACTGGCATATTGGTGAAGCAGTGTCAGCAGTAAATTCAATTCAATTCAGTTTTATTTGTATAGCGCCAATTCATAACAGAAGTTATCTCAGGACACTTTTCAAATAGAGCAGGTCTAGACCGAACTCTTTATATGAAATGAGAACTACCTTCAATAAGACAGACGAGATCCGGAGTCCAATTTCAGACCATCTGGAGGGTCGGATTACTGAATCAAACATCTGGGTTAAATCATTACCCACAATCCTCTGTAATGTGTGATAATCCTGCTGTGGCAGCATGGTCGTCCCACTGGTTGTACAGTGTTAATAAAGTTGTGTTTGTACAGTGTAACATGCTGTAAGCTAGCTAGCCATGCTGTTGCAGATTGATTGACGGGTGAATATCAGGATATTATTGGTTGAAATTGGTCTCTCTCTCTCTCTCTCTCTCTCTCTCTCTCTCTCTCTCTCTCTCACCCCAACTGGTCGAGACAGACGACCACCCACCTAGAGCCGGAGGATCTGTCCTAGGTTTCTGCCTTTTAACAGGCAGTTTTTCCTTGCCCTTGTCTCCAAGGTCTTGCTCATGGTGGTACTGTTGGGTCTCTGTAATTAATGTTATAAAGAGTTCGGTCTAGACCTGCTCTATTTGAAAAGTGTCCTGAGATAACTTCTGTTATGAATTGGCGCTATACAAATAAAATTGAATTGAATATAATTGAATTGAATTGAATTGAATCAACCAGCTGCTGAATCCACAAACTGAACAAGAGTGTACAAGTGAAAGTAACTTTCAGAGAACAGGGAGTGACTGACTGGTTTCCTGTTGGAGCTGCCTGCTGTGCTTTCAGCTGCACTCACAGACAAAATGGCTTCCAGATTAGAGGAAGATCTCTGCTGTCCTGTCTGCCACGGCATCTTTAAAGATCCGGTCATCCTGTCATGTAGCCACAGCTTCTGTAAAGACTGTCTGAAGAGCTGGTGGACAGAGAAAGTAACACGTGAGTGTCCCGTTTGTAAGAGAAGACATTCAAAGGAAGATCTACCTCCTAACTTGGCTTTAAAGAACCTGTGTGAGAGTTTCTTACAGGAGAGAGATCAGAGATCTTCAGAGGCTCTCTGCAGTCTGCACTCTGAGAAACTCAAACTCTTCTGTCTGGACCATCAGCAGCCAGTGTGTCTCGTCTGCAGAGATTCAAAGAAACACACCAACCACAGATTCAGACCCATCGATGAAGCTGCACAGGATCACAAAGAGGAGCTCCAGAAATCTCTGAAGCCTTTAAAGGAGAAGTTAAAGGTTTGTGAAGGAGTTAAAGTGAAGTTTGATCAAACATCAGAACACATGAAGGTCCAGGCCCGACGCACAGAGAGGAAGATTAAGGAACAGTTTAAGATGCTTCACCAGTTTCTAGAAGAGGAAGAGGAGGCCAGGCTGGCTGCACTGAGGGAGGAAGAGGAGCAGAAGAGTCAGATGATGAAGGAGAAGATGGAGGCTCTGAGCAGAGAGATAGCAGCTCTTTCAGACACAGTCAGAGCCACAGAGGAGGAGCTGAGAGCTGAAGACGTCTCATTCCTGAACAACTACAAGGCTGCAGTGGAAAGAGTCCAGCAGCGCCCCCTGCTGGAGGATCCACAGCTGCCCTCAGGAGCTCTGATAGACGAGGCCAAACACCTGGGCAACCTGACCTTCAACATCTGGAACAAGATGAAGGACATGGTCTCCTACAGTCCTGTGATTCTGGACCTGGTTTGATTATTACTACTCTGTTCTGGGCTCTGAGGGCTTTAACTCAGGGACTCACTTTATAGATATAATCAATGATCCAATCACAAACCTATAGCTGCCATCATTCACAGATTGATTAACAACTAAATGTTACATCAGTAATGTGTGTAAACACAGCAGCAAACAGGAACCTGGTTTCTGGACCCAGAAGCAGCTTTTACTGAGTTTATCTGGATCACGTTACTATGGAAACCCAAAACCCCCAAAAACCACTGTAAACCTGCTCATCCACATCACCATGACAACCAACAACATCATCAATATAACACATGTTCATCATCATCATCATCACCTTCATCATCATCATCATCATCATCATCATCATCATCATCATCATCTATTTCTATTGAACAGTCACAGAGACTTTCTCTGGTAGAATCTTCAGCTGTTTATAATCTACAGTGTCAATAAATGGAAACAGTCTCTCAGTGAAAGTGTGTGTGAAGGTGTGTATGTGTGTGTTAGTATCAGGATCAGAGAACGACAGCTTTCCTCTGTTCCAGTCCAGATTCACTCTGATCCTCTGGACCTTCTTCTGAACTACGAGATCAGTTTCTGGAGCTGATGGGGAGGATGCTCTGTAGTCACCAAACCAGAACCATATTCTCCATAATCCAGACTCTATGTCTCCCTTCCTCTGGACAGACTCTGCTAACACACCAGCCTGTACTGTCTCCAACCTCGATCAGCAGGTTAAACTCGGGCTCCATTATTCAGAACCAGTCTGAAAACTGTCCCTTTGGACCGAACAAACCCCCCAGTGCTCCGAAGGCCTGTGGCTCCAACTACACTCTCTCTCTGGAGTTTGTTCAACCTGAATATCAATGGCACCAAACATTGATCCTGATTGATTTGTTTCTTGATGTTCCAGAGATTGTATCTGAAGTTATCTGCTCAGAGTTTGTGTCCACTGTAATCCATCTTGTGTAAAACTGTACAATTAAAGTTTGTCATTAAGCAGAAACTGTTGATTGAACTTTAAAATGAGGGTTGAAGAGTTGCTCTTATTGTCCTCAGGCAAACTAAATGAGGAAGTGATGACGATGCGTTCATGTACATCTGGTAATATTGGACTTCTCCTGTCTCACATTAAAGATAGTTTTTGGTTGATTGGAAGTTTTCCTTCTGTTTGATGCTGTGGGGAAATATAAACATTAAAACCAACATATACAAGTTTAAACTTTCACAAAGTGGTTCAGAAACTCAGTCCAGTCCTTTTATTCTCGTCTGTGTACGTTCATTAATAAAAGTCAGAAATTCATCAACAATTAAAACATTTATTCATTTTCTTTTTACATTTTTCCCCCAAATCAGTTTATTAGTTTTTGCACAGAAATAGTTTCTTAGACAACAGCCAGCAGTGTAAACAGTCAAACAACCCACCCCGGGCCCCACCAGGTCCTGGTCCCTGCCCCCCTACCTCACAGTCACACATACATTAATTTCAGGACACGGGAGGGAAAAATAATGAAAATAAAATAACAAACAACACTAATATAATGCAGATAAAATGGGGTGAAATAAAATAATTAAAGGGGCTGTTAGCTCTTGTCGGGTTTGGCTCCTGGCCCCCCGGGACTGAGTCAGCTAACATTAGTCTTTACATGTGGTAGAAACATTTAGTCTCATTATCAGGTCAAAGAAACTCTGTGTAGAATCTGAAGAACTACACAGATCAACTCTAAAAAGGAAGGACAAAAAGACTAACAGTTTCTACCCCCAGGCCATCAGACTCTTAAACAGTACAGCCCCCAGCCCCCCCCCCCCCCCCCACACACACACACACACTCACTCAATCACTCCCACTGTGATGTGATGTCACACACAGAGCCCCTTATTACTCAGGTTTCTTTGTTTACTGTACAATGTTCTGCACTTTAAGCTGTAAGTTATATTTGAGTTATATTTTATGTTTTAATGTTTTATATTCTTAATTAAATTCTACTCTTCTATTTGTGTGTTGCCTCAGGGAGTCAAAGTAAGATTTTCATTGTGCCTATAAACCACTGTGTTTCTTACTGTGCATATGACAATAAACCTCTTGAATCTTGAATAAAGTCTGAAAGTTTGTTTCCTTTAAAGATTGAAGCCTGAATCAGAGTCTTCATGAAACCAGAACCTGGTTTTGACTCCTTCAGGACCTCCTCTGATGAGCAAAGAAATCCAAAACACTTGATAAACTGAGTCCCTGATGTTTTAATCAACAAGGTCCCAAATATTTGAACTCTGGTTTCAGGAGATGATCGGGAGATCGTGGACCCAGAAACTGAAGTTACAAAACAAAAGTACATTTTTCTGTGATTAATGAAAAGCTCTTCAGGTCGCTCACACCAGAAAGTGATCAATACATTTATCTCACAATTTGATGTAGTCATCACGACTAGTTGGTAAACTACTGTAGCTGGCAAGCTAATGGCTAACATACCCACCAACTGGGAACGTAGTACATAGTGGAGGTTAGCCGTTAGCAAACTGTCGCTGATCGCAAACCAGTCATAGAGCAGTAATAAGCTAATAAGCTGCAATAGCTTCGTCCATTTTGGACAGACTGGCGGTTGACAGACAGAAAGTTTATCGAAGCTTATAATAATAAACTTCACTGCCCTCAGACTTCTGAACACACCTGTATATCCTACAGCAAGGTGAGAGGTCAACCTGCAGGTCAACAGAGACTAGATGTCGGTCACTGAGGTTTACGGTAAAGTTCAATTCCATCTCACCAACCGCAACCTCAAGATCCAAGGTGGCAGCTTTGTGCGTCAACTAAGTGAGAGTTGTAGTAATATTCTGTTTATTAGCACTTCTGTCTTTAGTTTGTCATTAAACCAGTCGTACTGTCCCCCGTCTGTCTGTGGACATGTTGCTATGGCTACAGTGTGATGCCGTTATCAGGTGGTATTGCTAGCAATGGCTAATCGTTAACCTGGCCGGAGCTTGTTTTTCCGACTTCATCCTGAGGTAAAGGGAACGTAGCATGAGGCTGTGGAGGTCAGGGTGGTGTCTCTGAGTGGCTGAGTTGGATTGTGGGTAATGTAGGCGCAGGGTTATGACAGAGAACGTTCAGATGTGTGTGTTGCTCCGCAGTTGCTCAGACTTTGGCGCTGCTGGTTTTGGTTCCTCGTCTTCGTTTGTTTGCTGGCGTCATCACCTGTGATCGTGACATCCCTGAGGCCCGTGTCATCAGCGGTGACCTGGGTACCAGCGTTAACCAGCTCGTCTGCGACGGTGGCAGCACCGACCTCGTCAGTCTCGGTGTCAGCGGTAGCACCTCTTCGACGGCCGCCACTCTGACGGTGTTCTTGCCGTACAGCCTCCTCTCGTACTGCAGCAGCTGGTCCCAGAAGCCGGCGTTCAGCCTGACGTAGGGTCGGCTCTCCTGGACCCAGCGGTGCGCCTGGCGGAGCGTCACCCCTCTGTAACGCATCAGGTACGCCATCACCAACGCCGGTGAGCGGCTCATACCGGCAGCACAGTGCACCAGTGTGCCCCCAGCACGATTGCCATGGATACGCTCCGCCACTCGGTCGAAGTGGTCTCCAAGGCGGGCGCTGGGCAGGTCGGAGACTGGAACCCGCACGCACTCAACTCCCGGGTAGGCGGGGCAGGCGTGGTTGATCGTGGCATTGACGATGAGGGTGATGCCCTTCTGTGACACCAGTGCGGCGTTGAGGGGTCCATCGGCCCCGCTCAGGAACAGGCTGGGAGTGATCTGAGAGACCGACATGAAGCCAATCTGTCAGGAAACACATGTTGGTGTTAATGGACAAGTTAGCATGTTAGCTCTTCTGGTTCCTCTCCGCTGTCTGTTACATCCTCATATAAACTGAACTTTTGTTTATGGAGTCCCACAGGGTCGCAAACTGGGTCCTCTGTTGTTTTCACTGTATAATAATGATTTAAAGACAACCTGCTCTACTGAAACCAGGACCTGAGTTAGCATTTTAGCTAACAAAGTCAATGGTCAGATATGTCTGAAATAATGTCTGTGTGAATGTTGAAGCTTTTGTGTCTTAAATAAATTGGTTGCTACGAGAGTTTAAATGAGACTACAGAGGTTGCTGAGACTGTTCTGCCTTTACAGCCTTGTTGTGTTTCTACTGTAAACTGTTCTAACTCAAACTTTACAACATGTAGATTTGAATTAAATTTGAATTACAAGATGAAACTTAAGTGGTGACATAGTCATGTGATATAGTCATAGTTCCTTTATAATTCCTTTATAATTTAACATTAGCTTTTTACTTCTTCAAAAATTGTAACAGTGGAGTTTACTAGTGAAGATTATCTTGCAAAATGTAGTTCTGCACTGATTTAGGTCAACTTTATAGGATAACTTACATAGCCAGACACAAATGCCAAGTTAGCACCATTCACCTATATATATACTATACATGCCTATATGCAGGTCAGAGGTCTGTAATGTCTTTTTGATTCCTATTATAGTAACAATAATCATATTATCAACATTAACTTTAGTGAAGGCCAATAATTTGACACCAACTGTCTTTCAGAAATAGCTAATAAAGTCTGTTTGACAATAATACCTACAGAGGACAGTGCTGTAGATACAGGGCATAAATCAGTGCTGTAGATACAGGGCATAAATCAGTACTGTAGATACAGGGCATAAATCAGTGCTGTAGATACAGGGCATAAATCAGTGCTGTAGATACAGGGCATAAATCAGTGCTGTAGATACAGGGCATAAATCAGTGCTGTACATACAGGGCATAAATCAGTGCTGTAGATACAGGGCATAAAGGAAATATTCTCGTTTATTTATATAATAATAACTATATATATATATAATATTCTTTTATTACGTTTTTTTGGACCGTTATAGTTCGAGCTGTAAAGTCCACATTCAGATATTTAAGTAAACTTTATAATTATTATCGACAGCATCGACAGCCGACAGCCAGGCCTGGATGCTTTCTCTTTTGATGGAGGACAACGGTTTCCCCCTGCTTCCAGCCTTTGTGCTAAGCTAGGCTAACCACACCCTGGACCTCTCTAAATAATTTCCCCCTGGGATTATTAAAGTATTCTAATTCTCTGTATGAGGACAGTGTTCCTCTGTCTCAGGTCTACGTTAGGTTAATGTGTGTGTGTGTGTGTGTGTGTGTGTTACCTGCTGTCTGGTCGGTCTGGTTGTTTCTTCCTCTGATCACTGCTCTGAATGAACACACACACAAACACACACACACACACACACACACACACACACACTGATACCATAGAAGGGTGTGTGTGTCCGTCAGCCAGCCAATGACCTGAAGGGTTAATTTTAGTCCAACAGCTGAAAACTGCTCCTGAAGTCACGTGACTTTTATCAAAATAAGACCAACGGTCCTGACGACTGCACAGCCGTCCACACTCTGATTGTGTTATTGATTATCAATAACAAAGATTATGACTCAAAATCTTTAAAGTAAATTTCATGTGTAAAAAATGTTGAACAACAGATTATTGTTGTTGTTGTTGTTGTTGTTGTTGTTGTATACTTTGGGTTCAAACTGTATATGGAGGATTAAGGTTGTTATTATATTAATGAATCACTTGAATAAATAAATGAAATAAAAACAGAGAAATGTACAAATAAAAGCCAAATTCTTAAATAAATGCAGGTTAATATAGTAATATAAATAAAGATGCACATAAATAGAAAACATCTTATTTATGTGTATTTTATTATTTCTGTATTTCTCCACTCGTTTGTTAATGAGGGTTTGATTGCTAATGAATAATAACACCTCATTAATATTACTGTGGGGTAGCAGGGACACACTGATCCATATAGATCATTTATTTATTTACTTGTTCATAAATGTAATTATGTCATTACTTTGCTTAAATAGTTTTTTAGTTTATTAAGTTTCCTCATCAAATTTACAATAAAATGTTCATTATGAAAAGGTCCAAATACGTTAATGAGGAGGAACGTAGAACATCTAATAACAGGATAAATATTATAATAAAAAGAAAATACTGTTTCAGGTTCTGTGGATTGTTTTATTATTTATTAAAGGTGAGGGGTCAGTAATGATCTGTTACGGCCTCATTTAGAGTCACTATTTACTGATTTGATGAGTCCACCGTAACATATTTAATATCATCATATCAACGCTTTATTGAAATATCAAATATGAGATTAAACCAGCAGATATTTCTTCAGTATTTCTCTGGACCTTGAACTCACCTGTTGTTGTTTATGTAAGAACAAAATCTGTATTTATATATTATAATGAATGATATTAAGTATTTATTAACAGATCATTTATAGAACAACAGAAAATAAAATAAAGCAGTACAGTGTTAATTTCTATAGATAACACTATATATTAATATACATTAATAATAATATTTATATATTATTATATAGTGTTATATATTATATAGTGTTATATAATATACATTAATAATATATTATAATATTATTAATGTATATTATATATTAATACACATTAATAATATTTATATATTATTATATATTAATAGACATTAATAATATTTATATATTATTATATATTAATATACATTAATAATATGTATATATTATTATATATTAATATACATTAATAATATTTATATATTATTATTAATTTATATTATATAATAATATTCATTAATAATAATATTTATATTATACAGTGTTATATATTAATATACATTAATAATATTTATATATTATTATATAATAATATACATTAATAATATTTATATATTATATATTAATATACATTAATAATATTTATATATTATTATATATTAAAACACATTAATAATAATACTTATATATTATTATTAATGTATATTAATATATAATAATATTTATATATTATTATTAATTTATATTATATAATAATATTCATTAATAATAATATTTATATAAATATAGTGTTATATAATATACATTTTTTTTTTAATAATAATATATAAATATTATTATTATTATGTATATGAATATATATTATATATAATATACATTAATAATGAATGACACGCCCCACGCAGCATTCAGGCGCTCTGATTGGCCAGACCTCCGTCCTCATCAAGTGACGTAAGAAAGCGTAAAATAATCTGTACACGTCATGTAAAGGCGACCGCGGTGGCCGGAAGCAGTGAGCAGCAACAGTGACTGTTTGTTATTGATTACTAATCATTTAATAACTGATACACTTTATTGATCCCTTCAGCTTAGAGGAACAACCGGGAATGTGATTCTTCTTCGGTCCTGTTGGCGGCAGTGGCGGACAGCCGGAAGTTCAGAGAGCGCGAAGAAGAAGAGCTGCTAGCAGTTAGCCGTTAGCTTCCTCCGTCATGGCGGAGCTGAACCGACAGCTGCAGGAGTACCTGGCCCAGTCCAAAGGCGGCGGCACCAACACCATCTCCCAGTCCGGCTCCAGCACCGCGGTGGACCTGGACGACCCGGAGCCGGTCTCTGGGAGCTGGTTCGGGCGCTGGTCGAGCCCGTGGACCGGGAGTCCGTCCGGACAGAGCTCCGGTGGAAGCAGCAGCTTCTCCTGGCCGTGGTCTGCGGACCCGGACCCCTGCCTGCCGGGGCTGAGCCGCCGGCAGCGGCTGCTGGGCTCCGCGCTGTGCGCGTCGTTCTCCGCGCTGTGCTTCGGCCTGTCTGCGCTCTACGCGCCGCTGCTGCTGATCTACGCGCGCAAGTTCGCGCTGCTCTGGTCGCTCGGTTCGCTGTTCGCCATCGCTGCTGCGGCGCTGCTTCGCGGCCCCAGCAGACTGGCCGCCGGCCTGCCCACCTCCCCCGGAGCCGCCGTCTACCTGTGCGCCCTCGGAGGGACTCTGTACGCGGCGCTGAGCCTCCACAGCACCGTGCTGACCGCGCTGGGAGCCGCCCTGCAGGTCGCGGTCATCGTCGGGTCCGTAGTGTCGCTGCTGCCCGGAGGGAGCGCCGGGATCCGGTTCATGGGAGGGATGGCGGCGTCCGCCATCAAAAGGACCGTGACCGGGAAAACCATGCCGATCTAACCGGGGACAGAGCGTCACACAGCGGACACACTCAGCCCCTGCGCGGGCTCTACAGACTGAGTCCCAGTACAGGGTCCGGGGGCCTCCAGGGGCCGCCGAGGAGTCTGCAGCGGGTCCAGACTTTAATTCACTGTTGATACATTCCAGCCTGCTGATTATTGATTATTGGCTGCTGACAGATACTGACTGTCAGCTGAACCCTGACCTACAGGAACATACAAGAGTCTGCCTACTGGGGATCAATAACTTCATCCTCTACACACACAGACACACAGAGAGACAGACAGAGAGAGAGACAGACAGACAGACAGACAGACAGAGACACAGACAGACAGACAGGCACAGACAGACAGACACACAGACAGACAGACAGACACACAGACAGACAGACAGACAGAGAGAGACAGACAGACACACAGACAGACAGACAGAGACAGACAGACACACAGGCAGAGACAGACAGAGAGACAGAGACAGACAGACAGACACACACAGACACACAGAGACACAGACAGACAGAGAGAGAGACAGACAGACAGACAGACAGACAGACACACACAGACAGCAGACACACAGACACACACAGACAGAGAGACAGACACACACACACAGACAGACAGACACAGACAGACAGGCACAGACAGACAGACAGACGACAGACACACACAGACAGGCACAGACAGACAGACAGACAGACAGACAGACACAGACAGACAGACACAGACAGACACACACAGACACAGACAGACAGACACACACAGACAGACACACAGACACAGACAGACAGACACACAGACAGACAGACAGACACAGACAGGCAGACACACACACAGACAGACAGACAGACAGACAGACAGACAGCTGTGATCAGAGGACCAAAGATGTTTCAACCTGATAAACTTTATTTTCTCCGATCAATAACTTGTATCTGACTTTAACACAGGAAATAAATTACTAACCAGTATCATCTGTGACCTTTGACCTCTGGGTTCTGGATTTATTGATTTGATTTCTTCCTAAAATAAAGTTGTTTATCTGGCATTGATGCAAACCCATTATTGATTATTGAATGTAAACTGAGTTGAATTGTGAATCTTTATTGTCCACCTCAGTGAAAACACAAACATAGAAATCTTTTACAAAAGGTTCTGCAGACGACGTGTTGACTGTGAAATAAAAGACGGTATTTTACTGTAAAATCATCCTCAGGTGTTACCGACCAATCACAGTCTGTTCCCAGGATCTGGACCTGGTCTCAGGCCCCGATCAGGGACCAGCAGGGAAGAGACGACCGGAGGAGAGGAGGATCATGGGACTTTTTCTTTGTTTTTCTTCAGGACTACCGGCCCCGGCCGCCCCCCCTCGGTGGTCCTCTGGGTGCCGGTCCTCCTCTCCTGGGGCCCGGTCCTGGTCCAGGTCCTCCGCCGGGACCCCAACCGCCTCGTCCGCCCCGACTAGGTGGACCGTAACCCCCGTCCTCTCTCTGAGGGGGGCGGCCTGCGGAGACCACATGAGACCACATGAGTAACAAAGTTCTGATTCTGGTTGTATCGACTGATATTGATTTCATATTGATTGATTCAATGACTATATACTAATATATGTGTATTGATTATATAAGTCTGATTCTAACCTCCGTCAGCTCCCGGGGACTCTCGCTCTCGGGGGTCTCCGGTTCCCGGGCCGTCCTGCCACGGACGCTTGCGGGGGGGCAGAGACGCCATGTCCATCCCCTGCAGGGAGGAGGAGCGCTCGCGACCGGCCGGAGACGACCCATCATGCATCTGCTGACCGTCTCGATAACCATCATGACCTACAGACAGGAAGACAAGGAGACCACCGCCACAATAAGAGTCTGCAGAAAGTTATTTTTTGTTATATTAGTATAAAAATATGAAGTTTATTTGCTGTCTCAAGGTCTTGCTCATGGTGGGAACTGGTCTCTGAAGTGTTTCCTAACATTAACTATCAGCTGTAACTAGCTGTGTTTTATATTTATAGCAAAAATTAATAAAGGAAAAGGAGGAAGTTGACCGAGGTTTGCTCAACTGTTAACAGTAAACTGGTTTGGACAGACAGTCCTGGTTCCTCTCACCTCCTCCTCTGGGTGGACCTCCCCCTCGAGGCGGCCTCCCTCTGCCTCCGTTGTCCCAGCCTCGACCAATCTCCTCCGAGCCGTCGAAGCCCTCCTCCTGGCCACCGTACTCGTCAGGGTAACCTCGACCTCCGGGCCGGCCGGGGCCTCCTCCTCTGAACCTGAAACACCCAGAGTCCAGTTCAGACCTCACAGTCTGCAGGTTTCAGTTCTAGCTCTGCCCCACTTCACATTCAGCCTCAAAAGGTGTCTCACCTGTCGTCTCTCCGTCCTCTGAACTCTCCTCCACTGAACCTCTCCTCGGGGCCCCAGTTCCCCCCGTTCCCTCCTCCTCGGTGTCCTCCCCCCCTGTGGCCTCCACCTCCTCCTCCCTGGTACCCAGGTCCAGGTCTCCAGCCCTCCTCGCCTCTGCTGTGGAATTCCTGGCCTCCATCAAAGTCCTGCGGTCCACGGCGACCCTGCTGGTTGTCCCCCCAGTAAGGACCCGAGCCCTGGTCTGGTCCTCCAGGACCCTGCCGGTCAGGAGGGCCCATGTGGTGGTTGGGTGGCGGCCCCCGAGGGTCTCCTGCAGGACGACCGTCATAATATTAAAATAATTAAATGATTATAGTCCGATGGATCTCGTTCCACCTTTACAGCCTGGTTGTGGTTCTACTCTGAACTGTTCTACCTTTACATTTTAATTGTTACACTAATCAGCTGTTTACTTCTGGTGATTACCTTCAAAAGTCCTAGAAGTGGTTAACATGAATCACTTCAAGCTCAAGGAGGCGTTTGTGGGCCTCACATGGAATAAATATGACTCTGGTCTTACCTTTGTTGTTGGGCCCCTGCTGCCCCATCCCATGCATCATAGGCCCCGAGTTCTGGCCCTGGAAAGACCAAATCAGATTTATCTAGTACTCCTTCACACAGCAGTTTTAAAACCAGCCTGAACCTGGTCCTGAACCAGTCCTGATGATACAACAGGAATCCTCTGGGACTAAACACATGAACTCACCTGGTGCTGCATAAATGGGGGCCCCTGCATATTTGCTGGAGGTCCCTGCATTTTTCCATGGGGGCCCTGCATGTTTCCTGGGGGCCCCTGCATGTTTCCATGGGGTCCCTGCATGTTTCCTGGGGGCCCCTGCATGTTTCCATGTGGTCCTTGCATGTTACCAGGAGGGCCCTGCATGTTTCCATGGGGTCCCTGCATATTTCCTGGAGGCCCATGCATCCCTCCCGGGGGCCCCTGCATGTTGCCCATCCCATAGTTGTTTGGCATGTTGCCGTGTGTCCTGGGTGGGGGCCCCATCATCCCACCCTGCATGGGACCCTGAGGGCCCATCATGCCCCCCTGAGGTGGAGGCCCCTGCGGATCCCTTGGACCCATTCCTCGAGGAGGGGGTCCCATCATCCCACCAGGGGGCCCCTGCATTCCTCTGGGTCCCATACCATGAGGCCCTTGGGGACCCATGTTTCTGGGAGGACCTGGATGTCTCTGCATACCTTGTGGTCCTTGCATGTCTGGTGGTCCCATTATGCCCTGAGGGGGCCCCTGGTGAGGCTGGGGTCCAGAGGGTGGCCCCATCTGTCCAGGAGGCATGAATGGAGGCTGCATGCCTCCAGGGCCCATGGGAGGCCCCATGTTGTTGGGCATCTGCTGAGGAGGCATGCTTGGGGGGAAGCCTTGCTGGCCAGAAGGCATCGGCCCCCCAGGACCTCCGGGGCCTCCTGGGCCAGGGAAGGGGGGCATAGGACCTTGTCCCTGTGGGGGGCCCATGTTCCCGTCGGCGTTCATCTGGTTCATCCGATCCATCTTCATTTGCTGCACCAAGAACCAACGAGAAAGAGGTCAGACTGACTTTAGATCATAACTGACACTTTTATAAGGTTTACTGGGTGGTTGTAAGGGGGGCAGTGGGTACCTACAGAGGTCTGGGTGGTTGTAAGGGGGGGCAGTGGGTACCTACAGAGGTCTGGGTGGTTGTAAGGGGGGCAGTGGGTACCTACAGAGGTCTGGGTGGTTGTAAGGGGGGCAGTGGGTACCTACAGAGGTCTGGGTGGTTGTAAGGGTGGCAGTGGGTACCTACAGAGGTCTGGGTGGTTGTTAGGGGGGCAGTGGGTACCTACAGAGGTCTGGGCGGTTGTTAGGGGGGCAGTGGGTACCTAAAGAGGTCTGGGTGGTTGTAAGGGGGCAGTGGGTACCTACAGAGGTCTGGGCGGTTGTTAGGGGGCAGTGGGTACCTAAAGAGGTCTGGGTGGTTGTAAGGGGGGCAGTGGGTACCTACAGAGGTCTGGGTGGTTGTAAGGGGGGCAGTGGGTACTTACAGAGGTCTGGGTGGTTGTAAGGGGGGCAGTGGGTACTTATAGAGGTCCGGGTGGTTGTAAGGGGGGCAGTGGGTACTTACAGAGGTCTGGGTGGTTGTAAGGGGGGCAGTGGGTACTTACAGAGGTCTGGGTGGTTGTAAGGGGGGGCAGTGGGTACCTACAGAGGTCTGGGTGGTTGTAAGGGGGGCAGTGGGTACTTACAGAGGTCTGGGTGGTTGTAAGGGGGGCAGTGGGTACTTACAGAGGTCTAGGTGGTTCTTAAACCATAAGTGGGCGGGACTAAGCTGAAGTTGCTAATTTAACCCTGAAATGGGGTTGATCAGAAGTTGGGATATTTATGACCATTTACAGGACAGCCACAGAATTGAGCTTCAGATCAATGTTATTGATCATGAAAGTAAGACAACTATCAGTGTAACCCCCAAATTCCACCAGTCCTAGACAATGCTCGACCCAGAAGGGACTCTCTGCTCTGCTCCACACAGTATAATGTATGTATGTATCTAGTATATGCGGCTGGTCTATTTTTAAAGTGTCAAGCAGCACAGAGCAGATAGCACTGGCAGGAAGTCCAACACAGAAACACCAAAGGAATCCAGTCAACTTTCAAAATAAAATACTGCATGCAGACTTCGGGTCAAATTTCACACTGGATCTACACTGTGGCTGCAGGCAGAGGCCGGTCAAAGGAGATTTGAGGTGGAGAAACACATTTTCTTTCCTTTTCAAGGAGAAAATACACAAGTGGACAATGTATGGCAGATAACATGCTTCTGAAACAATCTCGGTGGGATTTGAAGACGAACGTATCACAGACATGGTATTATAAAGCCGTGTACACCAGTAACGGTCAGTGCTGATGAGTCAGTAGTGAGGAGTTGAACTGCCCACCTCCAGCAGCATGGGATTGGTGTACTGCAAAGCTGCCATCTCCTGCTCGATCTCTGCCTGAGTTTTCTTTTTCCCGTCCACTTTCTGCTCCACTTTCCGGTCTTTGGACAGTTCTCCACCGGGCGGCATCATAGGTACTTTATTCTCTGCCCAGGCCTGTAGAGAAACAAAGGAGTTCACAGTCAGTGACACAGTTTCTCCTTACGTCATTAAAACACTAAATATCCACCAGTGCTCAGCGGCAGGTGTTTACCTGTTGGAACTGTGCTGGGATCGGTTTGGCGTACGGTACTTTTTTCTGCGGGACCTTCTTGGTGTCTTTACCCATGACTTCGTCCATGCCCCAGTCTAGACCGGGGATAGACATCTCCACCTCAGGAGCTGCCTCTTTACCTGGAGACAACAGTTACACCTGAGTTACACCTCAAAGTTTTTAAGACCTACAAACATGAAGACATTTGTGACAAATCACACAGAAAGGTTTCAGTCAACGGGTTCATCTGGTTTGTCTGCCATGACTCAGCGTCTCTGTGTCTGTAAATTATTTTTCCTTTAGTCCCTGATGTTTTCTTTCTGTCGTTTTCAATCAAATTGGGTTGAAAAATGATCAGACCCTTAAAAATATCTTGCAGGCAGGGTTCCAGGATGTTCCAGGATGTTCCTGGATGAGACTTACTGCTCTGTTCCTGCTCCATGGCGGCCTTCAGCTGCTCAGGGATCCCCATACCGGGGATGGAGGCCACGTTGTTCAGGTCCACGTCATCTGAAACAGCCGCACAGAAACGAAAGTGATTAACGGTGGCGATCCAATAAAATCACCAACATTTGAGTGTTTTTGATCCTCCTGCGACTCACCGTACTCCATGCCGTCCTCTGACATCCCAGGAAGCAGGTTCAGGTTGTAACGGTCCCTCATCTTATCACCAGGCCGATTCCTCGTCCAGAATTTACTGACAAATACAAACAGAGAAAACTTGTAAATTGTGTATTTATTGTGTATCTATCGTAGAGGTGCACGATAATTATCGGGCCGATAGTTAGTGGGCCGATAACAGGAAATTATTACGTCATTCCGATAAATCCGATATCATGACGAATAGCCCCGATAACATATATAATTTTGTCAGCACGGCAGACACTATGAGACCTGAATGCCCCGCAGTGAATGCTGTGTTCAAGTGACGTTGGCATAATCAGAAAAACTCTGACTGGGAAAATTCAAGAATACGCCTCATGTCGGAAAATAACTCGTTAACTCGGTCATAATTTTGGTAGTTGCTGACTTGAATTGATATCCACAGTATTTTTCCAGGTTACACATAAACAATAGAAACACGAACTTAACAAGGCCGAAAGAATGACTAGCAAATGTGGGAACAGGGAATTTCCGTTATACTGTGAATGCAGCACAGCGTGCTTACGTTTGAAAACAGACAATATGGTGTCGATTGTGTGGGACTTTTACAAAGTTTCTGAAGAAGACAGCTCGCTTGTTATTTGTAACAAACTAGTGCAGTGCCCGTAGGAAGTATGTATTGCTATAGAAAAGTGGGAGGTTAAGTAGCTTTTTCATGGATGGCCAAATGAGGCTGTGTTTGAAGGTGTAGCAGCTAGCTACAGACAAACATCCACAGATTCTGATTCCAGTTTGTTGTCCTCACGTATCCGGATCTCCTCAGACCGGAACAGACTCGGTCCGGACTCGTTCAGTCTCAGTAATCCACAACAGTCAGTTTAGATGCACAGAACGGGACCGAACAGCTGGCAAAACCCGCTGCAGGTATAAAGCCGCTCGCGCCGCTGCAGGTATAACGTTAGATCAGCGTGTTTCGGTGTGTCGTGGGGGTGGGCTCTGCAGTGATTGGCTGTGCAGTGATTGGCTCTGCAGTGATTGGCTGTGCAGTGATTGGCTCTGCAGTGATTGGCTCTGGTTGAAAATGCTAGTGGAATTTTCTCTAGGTATTCATTTGAATGGAACCATAAGCCAAAATCATTCAAACTTAGTTTTCTGTTACCATGGAATGCACTTTTTCAGTTTGTTTACACAGACAAGTGTAACTTGTGTCAGTGCATTATGCACATTTTATTTATTGTTATTGACGAATGCACTTTTTCAGATTGTGTTTACATAGAAATGTTTAAATCTAACTTGTGTCAGTGCATCAATTTTCCATATTTATTTATTTTTTTGAACTTCTTGAACTTTTTCAGTCTGTAATCCCGCTGCATGTATGTGCATCAGTTCAAGGGGCCTTTTTTTTGAGAGGCTTGCCAATAGTTTTTCATTGGAAAAAATAAATAACATTTAAATTTAAACATTTAAAAACAGTTTTAAGTGTTTTTGGTTTTGTTCATTGTATTAATGTCATGATCTAAGGTCATGATCATATATATTATGTATATGTGTGTGTGTTATCGGTATCGGCCTTTAGGAGCTGAAAGTTATCGGTTATCGGTTTAAAAAAAAAAGTTATCGTGCATCCCTAATATATTGTGTATATATCGTGTATATGTTGTGTATATATTGTGTATATATAGTGTACCTGGTGTGGTCGTTGGAGCCGGAGCAGAGGATGTGACCCAGCGGGTGCCAGGCCAGACTCCAGATCATCCCCTCATGAGCCATCTCCATCCCTCCAACCTCCTTTTCCACCCTGTATTCAACCAGTACACAACCAGTCAACCCAGTATCAGACCAGTACATTGAGGACAAGCAGGAGTGGACAGAATAAGAGAGACAGGCTATGACAGTTGCTGACTGTGGGTCAGTTTATTACCCAGTGTGCCAGAAGAGCAGAGAGCCGTCAGAGCCTCCGCTGGCAAACAGACCCTCATGGACGGGATGCCAGGCCACCGCTGAGGACACACAGACAGAGTTCTTCACAGACCACCACCATCACCAACATCATCATCATATTGCTATTAGTGCTTCAGGAAGTGGTTTTACAGACTTTGGTAGGTTCCGGTCCAATCATCAGCCTTTATCAGGCTCTGAACTGTTCTCAGTATCAAAGTAAAACCAAATGTACCAAACTGAACTTCAGTCTGTGATGTGATGTTCTGATGTAAGGGACCCCTAGTGGCAGAAACTGCACACTGCTCAGACTCACCAGTCGCCTCCTTCTTGTGTCCTCTGAACACCTGCAGCTCCTCCTTCAGGTTCCTGATGTCAAACAGCTTACACAGGTGGTCACGTGACGCAGTCAGCAGCCAGTTACCGTTCAGGTTCCACTTCACCTCCATCACTGTGTTCTTGTGGGCGTGGCTGAGAGAGATCAAACACAACCATCAGAGCGCAAAGAGCTTCCTCCTTCACCCAACACAAGCTGTATGTATTTATTTATGTTTACGTTATATAAATATATGTGTGCTTTATTTAAATATATGTGTGCTTTATAGAAATGTATGTTTACTTTATATAAATATGTTTACTTTATATAAATATGTGAACTTTATAAAAAATATATATGTACTTTATATAAATATGTGAACTTTATAGAAATATATATGTACTTTATATAAATATAAGTGAACTTTATAAAAAATAAATATGTGCTTTATATAAATATATGTGTGCTTTATAGAAATGTATGTTTACTCTATATAAATATGTGAACTTTACAAAAAATATATATGTACTTTATATAAATATGTGAACTTTATAGAAATATATATGTACTTTATATAAATATATGTGAACTTTATAGAAATATATATGTACTTTATAGAAATATGTGAACTTTATATAAATATATGTGAACTTTATAGAAATATGTGCACTTTATAGACATTTTTACTTTAAATAAATATTTTTGTACAATATGTTTATGCTGTAAGTAAGCAGAGATTGAAGTGGTTCAAATACACATCAGAAAGGATGAGAACTAAATCTTAAAACGACATCCAGGACTGGGATCCAGGACTCAGATCTGATCAGAGGTCAGTTTTTAACTTCCTGATGAACTCACAGTGTCGCCAGACTCTGTCCGGTCTTCGGGTCCCAGAATTTGATTGGCTGCTGGCTGTCTTTACTGCCAGAGACCACCAGACCTTTGGTGGGATGCCAGTCCACACACTTCACATCAGCACCGTGACCTACAGACAGACAGAACAAATGATTATTGATTATTAGAAATGTTGCTCTCCTACTTACGTTTCCTCTTTTGAGATCTACAGAAACAGAATGTGGATTGTGGGTCCGTACCTCTCAGGATTCTCTCCTCATGGCAGCGCAGGAAGTCCCAGATACGAACTGTCCCGTCGTCGGAGCAGGTTGCAAACTTATTGTCTGTGGGAGAGAAACTGCAGGCAGAGGAAGACCATGAGATCTGATCAAAAGCTCCAGCACACAATTTATAATCACTAAC